AGCCGAGATGGTCGAAATTTTTGGCACCAATTGGGGGTCCTTCGACAAGACTACCAATCAAAACGTGTACAGTGGAACGGGATCGATCGAACGGAGCACAACTCGGGTCCGATGGTACGAGATGGAGTCGGCAGATTCTTCGGCTCCAGTCAAATTGCAATCTTTTAGGAAGGTGTCTTGGTTCCGTAGCCGACCATGGTTTTCCGCGGTAGGACGTAGATTAATTTAATCAAAAGTAGATTAAATAGCCGTTTTGGTCATTTTGAACATTTTTGAACATTTTTTTTTTCAAGGTTCCTGGTGAACAACGCCACAATTCCCAATAGTTCAGCGGAGATAGTGGAAAGAATTAGAATAGATCCAATAGAAATGTCGACCAAAACAGATAGAATTAGAACAAAAGAGATACAGAACTGAATTGGGAAATAGGAAAACGGTAAAAAATGTCCTGGATGCGGACTTATCCGATTAGTCACGCAACCAGGCCGGATCCACGTGAGGAGTATAACAACACGAACTCCCCCGAAATATTAACGTTTCTCTGCCACATGGTTTTTTGGCGGGGTTTGGCAATCTAGTTCCCATCATGGCACCTTTAATTCAGACATTAGTGAGCGGTCTCGCCTTGGTGAGCTCCGCTGTTGCTCAACAGACCGACAGCTTAGTCGAATCCCAGATCCTCACTGATCCCTACCTCTACGACTTCCCTCGCCTAGGTGGCGATGGTGCTGCCCAGTTCGCTATGCGTCCCTGTCACGGCTTCCAGCTGGAGGAGGCTACTATTGATCAGATTCAGGCCCAGCTGGAGCTTGGTACTTTCACCGGCGTCCAATTGCTGGAATGCTACATGGACCGCGTCCACCAGACCCAGCCTTACTTGAAGTATGTTATGTTTAATCCCGGTCATAGAATTATTGGCTAACAGTCCTACTAGCGCTATCCTGCAAGTGAATCCGGATGCTTTCTCCATTGCCCAGAAGCTCGATGCCGAGCGTGCTAAGGGCATTGTTCGTGGTCCTCTCCACGGTATCCCCTTCATTGTCAAGGACAACATCGCCAGTAAGGATCGTATGGAGACCACTGCCGGAAGCTGGGCTCTGCTCGGTAACGTCGTGCCCCGTGATTCTCACGTCGTTCACGGCATGCGCAAGGCCGGTGCTCTGCTTCTCGGCAAGGCTGCTCTGAGCGAGTGGGCCGATATGCGCTCCAACAACTACTCCGAAGGCTTCAGTGCCCGTGGTGGTCAGTGCCGCAGTGCTTACAATTTCACCGTCAACCCCGGTGGCAGCAGCACTGGCTCTGGTGTCGCTGTCGGCGCCAACCTGGTCCCTATTGCTCTTGGAACCGAGACTGATGGCAGTGTCATCAACCCCGCTCAGCGCAACTCCATTGTTGGCATCAAGCCCACTGTCGGTCTGACCTCCCGTGCCGGTGTCATTCCCGAATCTGCCCACCAGGATACCGTCGGCACCTTCGGCAAGACCGTCCGTGATGCCGTCTACGCCCTCGACGCCATCTACGGTATTGACTCTCGCGACAACTACACCGTCGCCCAGGAGGGCCTCACCCCCGTCGGTGGCTACGCCCAGTTCCTGACCAACCAGACCGCTCTCAAGGGCGCCGTCTTCGGTATCCCCTGGGAGTCCTTCTGGGCTCTCGGCGACCCCGACCAAATCTCCCAGCTCCTCGACCTGGTTGATCTGATCGAGTCTGCCGGTGCCACCGTCATCAACGGCACCGAGCTGCCCCACTACAAGGAGATCGTCTCCCCCGACGGCTGGAACTGGGACTACGGTACCACCCGCGGCTATGCCAACGAGTCCTCATACTCTTACATCAAGGTCGACTTCTACAACAACCTGCGCGACTACCTCTCCGAGGTCGAGAACACCAACGTCCGCTCCGTCGAGGACCTCGTCCAGTACAACATCGATAACTACGGCTCCGAGGGCGGTCTCCCCGGTATCCACCCTGCCTTTGGCTCTGGCCAAGACGGTCTCATTGCTTCCCTCGAGACCAAGGGTCGCATGGACGAGACCTACTTCCAGGCTCTGGAGTTCTGCCAGCGCACTACCCGCGAGGAGGGTATCGATGCTGCCCTCAAGCACGGCAACGTTGCTCTCGACGGTCTCCTTGTGCCTCCCGATGTCGCTCAGAGCATTGAGATCGCTGCCCAGGCTGGATACCCCGTTATCACTCTGCCTGCTGGCGTCAGCGATGTCTCGGGCATGCCCTTTGGTCTCGCTATCATGAACACTGCTTTCTCCGAGGCCACCTTGATTAAGTACGCCAGTGCTATTGAGGATCTGAAGAAGAGCCAAGGCGCCGATGGTGAGCGCGCACTCCCTCAGTGGCGTGGCTACCTGGAGCGTCCTCTGCCCGTCGCCTTCTAGGTGATTGGAGTGGATCTTTGAATTATGGTTATGTATAGCTGTGTAATCATTTTTGCTTCTTTTTGTATACCACACATCATTATATAGACTACACATTTTTAATGGATAGAATACATTTAGAGTCATCCTTTTTTCCCCCTGGCTTATAGATGAAACACTATATTTTTATCTTCCTATTTCTCCAGCAAATCGCCGAAATTATTTCGAAAGCTTCTAGTGGATCCCATGACAGCTCTGGTGGACCTGTACCTGATCGTCTGATCTTCACAGTTTAGACTGTGATTGATGTGATAACAAACTCCCCAAAGATCGACAAAAATCACTTTGCCAAGACGGAGAAATTCTTGTTCTCAAACCTCACACCTGACGTTGACTCTTAAAGGAAACAGGCGAAACGCCAGAAAAGCGAACACGGACCAAGCTGCAAAAAGGAGCACAGACTGAATCTCGGAGACAATGCTCATCCAAGTAAAATGTCCGGTCACATGGCTAAGCTTACTTCATGGTGGGGGAACATCCCAGATGTGAAACATCTTCAGACACGGAGTCGATCCCTTTAAGGCTGGATTGATTTACACTCAACTCTAATTCCTGGAATGGCTCTATGTTGTATCGGCCACGGAGGACTTGGTATACAATTTATCCAAGCAGTCACCTTATTGGTGTATCTACCATATTCCATGACACGCGCCAATTCATCCACCGGACTTTTTCCAAATGCACCCCCTGCATAGTACTAGCTTTCTCCGCAAAATTGTGGATATGAACAAGCCAAAGACTTGGGGCCCACGTTCCCATACCAAGCCCAAGGTCTAGCTAGGCCATCGTTCGTTATCCGGCGGGTCAATGGCTTCACCATAACGGAGATTAGCCATATTCTCAAACATGCTTGTCTTAGCTCGGAGCTATCTATATTTGATTGCTTATTTCTATATAAGAACACCACCGCACCCATGTATTCTTCAGTTCATCTCAACCAGTCCAACTTTCTCAAAAGCCCACCATGAAGATCGCAGCCATCATCGCAGCACTCGCAGTGCGAGCCGCTGCAGTCGGTGTGACCGGCGCAGCAGAGGGTTTCGCAAAGGGCGTCACTGGAGGTGGCTCTGCCACCCCTGTCTACCCCAGCACCACAGCCGAGCTGGTCTCGTACTTGGGTGACTCTTCACCGCGCGTGATCATCCTGTCCAAGACTTTTGACTTCACCGGCTCAGAGGGAACTACCACTGCTACTGGCTGCGCGCCTTGGGGTACGGCCTCTGCTTGCCAGGTTGCTATCAACCAAAACAACTGGTGCAAGAACTACGAGCCGAATGCGCCCTCTACTCCTGTCACCTAGTACGTAAAACCTCAAACCAAATCTCTCCCTTTATACTGACTTTCGCAGCGACAACGCCGGCACCCTCGGCATAACCGTCAAATCCAACAAGTCCATCGTCGGCTCCGGCTCCACGGGTGTTATCAAGGGCAAGGGCCTTCGAATCGTCAGCGGTGCGAACAACGTTATCATCCAGTAAGAAACAAACACCTACCTTCTCCAAACCCCAGACCCCAAACTAATATCTATCTACCAGGAACGTCGCCATCACCGACATCAACCCCAAATACGTCTGGGGCGGCGACGCAATAACCATCAACAACGCCGACATGGTCTGGATCGACCACGTCACAACCGCCCGCATCTCGCGCCAACACATCGTCCTCGGCACTGAGGCCTCCAAGCGCGTGACGATCTCCAACAGCGTCATCGACGGCACCAGCACGTACTCTGCCACCTGCAACGGCTACCACTACTGGGGCGTCTACCTCGATGGATCTAGTGACCTCGTTACTATGAAGGGTAACTACATTTTCCACACTAGTGGACGTGCGCCTAAGGTGCAGGGAAATACGCTTTTGCATGCTGTGAGTAGATTTCTCTCCTCTCTTTCTCGCGGGATCAAGTCTCGCGGAATATCAATATGAATACCCACTAACATTTACGACAGGTCAACAACTACTGGTACCAGAACGTCGGCCACGCATTCGAGATCGGTGCTGGTGGATACGTCCTCGCCGAGGGCAATGTGTTCCAGAACATTGCTGCTGTTGTTGAGACGCCTATTGCTGGACAGTTGTTTACCTCGCCGGATACCAATACCAATGCTGTTTGCAAGACTTATCTCGGCCGGGCGTGTCAGACTAATGGATATGGATCGTCTGGGTCGCTTAGCCAGGCCGATACGGGATTCTTGGCTAACTTCGCTGGCAAGAATATTGCCGCTGCGTCGGCTTATACTTCTGTTGTGGCGAGTGTTAACGCTAATGCTGGACAGGGTAAGCTTTGAGGCGGAGTTTGGTGTTTGGCATACTGGGGATGGGAGTTGTTGAGGATTGTCTGTCTGTCAGTTAAGGTTATAATACGTTTCCTATGGGATTCACTGGTATTCTTGTTGCGGAAGTCCTAAGCTTCCAATATTTATATATTAACAAGAATAATAAGACTAGAACTAGAACTAGTTCAAGTTGATGGAGGTACAAGTTGTGCTCAATTCATAGGGCTGATAATGATAGTGATGTGCGTATGTAGCGAGTGATCTGCCAGAGGCGGGTGAGGTTAGTCTTCAATTATTCGATGATGAAAAGGGCAGGTCCGGCGAGAGTTTCCTTTGCCACACTATATGCATTTGGGAATGGTCCCTCCGTTGTAGTCACCGCAGCGATGGTCAACCCGTTCATCTCATATGCCTCATAGGGGAACAGAGCCTTTGCAATGAGCGTGCCTTTCTCCTTTGAGATAATGTGAAGAGGTTCCACGATCGGCATATTCTGCTGGTTGATATAAGTGACCCACAGTGCGTCCTCATCAGTCTCGTCGCTATCATCGAAGGAAACTTTGATCTGCCCGGTCTCCGCAGTTGGGCCTTCGATGACATTGATAGGTGGGAAGGTTTTCAGCGGAATGGTATCGATATTGGGGCAAGTGCCGGGCACGACGAAGCTCTGAATGGCAGTAAAGGCAAAGTTGAGATCACGGGTTGTCAAGAAAGGCAGTTCGCTAGGAACCTTGCCCTGCATGACACGGAACCATCCCTGCTGTTCTCCCTCTTGGCCAATGACGGAGGAAATTGTGCGCGACAGTCCAATGTCACCGCCGATGGCAAATCTCTCCACGACATCCTGCAGGGTTCCCAGCACCACATCTGTGAAGGTAGTGGCGAGCATAATGGCCGCATCAAAGTCATGGACGGGGAAAGTATAGCGACAAGGCTCGATTGGGTCAACTCCAACATGGGTCAAGGCGTTGTTAGCGTCCAGGGCATGGAGCTCCTCTTGCTGCGTCAGATTAGTAAACATCGCCGAGCAACACTCACGGGAATATTATCACATACAGCCAGAATCACCTTCAAGCCATTCAAAACAAAGGTATAATCGTCTTCATCAGAGAAGCGATACCCCAAGATCTTGTCGGTGATGTTTGTGATCAGTTGATCGAAAAAGGCAACTTCAAACAGTTCGTTGAATGCGATAAGCTTGAGGTTGGTAATTCCACCTTCGCTGATACCAGCGGGAGGAGGTCCATTTGGCAGAGTTCCGTGCGCATTCAGCTCAATCGTCTCCAGCTCACTGGGACTTGGATTAGGCATTCCATCCGCAAGAGGGTGAGTCGAGACATTCAGAAATGGAGCGGCGAAAGTCAAGTGGGCCACACCCAGAAGGGCGGCAATGTGGAAGCGCATATTGGTAAGAAAAGTGTTTGGAATGAGAGAAGTTGGTATCAATGGGTTATGATAGCAGAGTTGATGATGTATGAAAGAGTGGAAGATGAAGTGACAGAGTTGGGAAGTATGGTAATTTATAAAAGGAAGGAGCAGCCATATACTTTCTTGTCTGTTTGGACTTTTATTCTTGACTGAATCCCATACGATGGGACTCACGGCTTAGCGCACAGACATGTTGTCTTTGCTTCTTCTTCTTCTGACGGGAGGATATGTCCCGACAGTCTCATTATTCTAGGGGTTCTATTACACGTGGGCTCGCCTTTCAACAACACTACGAGTGACGGTTGATCTGGAAGTTTCCGGCGATCATGAAAAGGTTAAGGAATGGGCTAGTCGACGTTGATACTATTTATCTGACGAGTTTGAAAGCCATCTCAGTTTTATCCAACTGGCATGTATGGGCTCGACAAATATTTCACAAGATATATTTGTTTCTCTTCAGTAACCAAGTGGGTTCAACCGGATAAATCAAGAGAAGTCTTTATTTGTATCTCCTTGACATGAGAAGGGCATCCTCCCCGCACACTTTGGCAGACCAACCCTCCAGATCTTGTTTTTCGGTCACGATAGTCCGATCATGGATTAACCACGACCCATCTTTCTGTCTCCGAAATATGTCCCTCCAGTGTCCCGAGTGATCAAAAAATTTATGTTCGGTCGTGGCAAAGAATTGGGCGTTCGAGTGTGCTTCGTCTTCATTGACAAACACAATATCGATTGTTGTTATATGGTGGCGAATATATTTGGCCTCGTTACCCCGGACGACTTCTTTCGCTTGACTTGGGAGTATCTCACGACCGTTTGATAATCGATAAGTTCCATCTGGCTCAAAACAGCTGGCAATGGCGTTCCAGTCGGCGCCATCACGTGCGTGCGAAGCATAGCGATGCATCACAGCAGTAATTAAAACGCGTGCTAGGGCCTGTTTCTCAAGGTCCATGGTGGTCCTTTTGATTGGAAGGAGGTGTTGCTGAAACTGTAGGTCACGGTGTACTAGCGCAGCCGATGTGTTTTCAATGTTGTATCCCCGGGAATTTTAACTCGATGAATGGCTTTTGTGGTAGTTACAGTAAAAAGCAAGCAGTCTTTCCGAGGGAATGCTGTGCAATTATAAATGGCTCCCTTGCTGTCAGGAAATAAAATGAGCGAATTGACGCATAATGAAGATCATGCAATACATCAATCAGTCTGCTTCTGAATCGCCGTTGTGGTGGGACCAGTTTCCGTGCTAGCATACCCCCGCAATATCCGAGGATTTCTTCCTCTACCAGCATTATCTACAGTTACAGATCCACTTGATCCGAAGCGCTAGATTAACGGTCCCGGTGGCGGTGGAACGCTAGTTTGCCGGCCTTTCGGATTTATTCCACTCGTTACAATTACCTACATAGGTAGGTAATCTTGAAAGTTGACCTAAGGATAAATACGTAGGCACAATACATTCCTTGCAACATCTCAGAAGTTTATCATTACTCAGTTCAAGCGAATTCCGTCCTATCGCCGACTCTGCTCTCAAACATTACCTATTCGCAATGGCTTTTGAAGCCCAAGTCATTGTCGTCGGAGCCGGTCCTTCAGGGTGTCTTCTTGCCTTGCGACTTATACGACAGGGTATTCGAGTTGCTCTCATAGAGCAGGAGGTAGAAATTCAGCCTCATTTCCGTGCCTTGGGATATCCCGGCTGTACCCATGCCGCCCTCGAGAAAGCCGGAATCTGGGAGGATGTCAAGGAAAGAGGCTTCATTAAGCGAGGATTCTCCTGGAGAAGGCTACCTCGCGATGATGTGATGGGTGGAAGTAAAAAGAATTGGGGGGACTTGATTGCGACCTGGGACCCCTACATCAACTCTCCCCTTCAGGATGGTGACGTCGGCCATGGCATGCTTGCCCTTCCACAAAACCGATTTCGTGAGATCATTATGCCTAAGATCCTCGCCTCGGACTTGGCAACTGTCTTTTTGGGACATACTGCTGTTGAGCTCCGGCAAGATTCGACCTCCGCTACGGTCACTGTGGTGGACTCTGTCGGTTCCGTGACCGAGATCACCGGGGCGTTCCTCGTGGGGGCCGATGGCGGCAAATCAGTGATTCGAAAGCAGCTCGGATTACATCTCAATGGATTTACCTGGAACCAAATTGTGGTTGCGGTGGACATGCTCATTGATCTTCCGCCACCAATAGATGGCCCTTCGAGCTTGTATTATGTTGACCCGATTGATTTCGCATTTTTCTCTGTCATTGAGAAGCCTTCTGGAACAGGGCCAATTCTCTGGCGTTGCACTCTAGTAATTACAGAGGAGGAATCGCAGCCGGATATTTTTGACCAGACTTTGAAACAGAAGTTGGACAAGCTGACCCCTGGTCCAAGACCTCTTAAATATCAACTTCTGAGAGCGCAGCAGTATCGCATACATCAGAGGAGCTGTGAGACGATGAAACGAGGTCGATGTCTTTTGGTTGGAGATGCCGCTCACTTGACCAATGTACGTCTTCTCTATTTGCCGCCTCTGAATGATCGATCGAGGCCTTGCTAACTTGAAATTGCTTTGTAACAGCCATGGGGAGGCCTTGGACTGACTACGGGAATCTTAGATGTTGATTCTTTGGCGGACGTGCTGGATGGGATCTTCAAAGAGCAAACATCCGAATCTGTCCTCGATGCATGGTCTGATGCTAGACTGAATGTGTTCAACAATATCGTCAGCCCTACCGCCATTAAGAACTTTAAAAGATGTTATGAAGTAGATCCCAAAATGCCGTTCTTGGACCCCCTTTTCAAGGCGATTCATGAGAACAGTGATGGACTCAAATGTTTGAACCAGGGTTTGGTGCAATTGGTAACTGATGTGAAGCTGCTTGTCGCCCAATGATACTATGTAACAGTTAGTGTCGTCATAATTTGAAGATATTTCTACTGTTTTCACGAATACTGTAAGATACCAAATTTTCAAACAAGTCTGATCAAGCCAATGGTACTATTCATAGGAGATAGCATGGCGACTGAGAGAGGGCCGTAGTCTACGCTCCGTACTCGGGTTTCACAATCCACCAAGGCCTCAGTCGATAGGTTTGCATTATTGTTGAAAGTTTGGTGAGAAATATCGTAAGCCAGTGACTACACCAATTGCTGGATGATCGGGGCGGACTTACAAATATTCAATGTCTATTCTTAATTCCCCATCCGCAAAGGATGATCCCGAAGTCATGCGAATATCCGAGATCAACCTTTACACTCATCGCGAGACCTGCTGCTCTCCAAACTCAGTCAATGACTAAATCTGGTCTCTATAAATGAAATAAGTCAATCAGAACTTGATGTTGACATCGCAGGTGAAACTAAACTGCTTATATTCGCGGTAAAGCCATCTTAAAAAGGTGAGAAGTAAATTGTACAGCTGTGTCCAATCTATTTATCCTTTGAACAGAAGCCTTCTTATGGACTTTTCTTCCACTCATGTAGATTAAACTCCCTGTAAATAGCCTCCTCTCAGTTGCATTTATAATTCACTCAGATAAACTGAAAATTGCTTTCCATTCGACTGACGGAACGCAGAATTGAAACATCCCCTATAATACAACACTGGGCATATGGTATACAAAGGCTCAAATAAATGGTAGTACCAGGCTCGATTCGTACCTCCCTCCAGTGTGAATAACATGTTCCCCTATATTCTCATTGCTAACTGGCTCCATACCAATCGTCTCGGTCTCCGGGTAACACATATCATGACCGGAAACACGCAACATCAATCCTTCGCCAGGGGCAAATACCATTCCGACAGGCCAAAGGGTGATCTCGAGCTTGACGATAGAGCCTGGTGGAATTGCCTCGCGCTTATCGTGCCTATAAAATACCTCCTGATCCGTGGATCTTTCGGGGTCTTTTGTGATACGATGCGAGGCACGAAGAAACCCTTGCGGTCCTAAGCACTTGGCGGTATTGACGTCCGGCACTTGTTCGCATGGTACAGGGCATGGATAATTGAGGTGCTCCAGAGGCTTGCCGTCTCGGGAAAGCTTGCGGATTTGCACTGCGATGTCAAAATCATCTTTATCTTTGCAAGACATCCATAGTGTAGATTTAGCATATCCTGCTATTTCGGTGTATTCTTGAAAGAACATGGTAAAATCCTACTACTGTTAGCTCAAAGACATCAAAGCGTAAAATAGCACTAGCCACTCAAGATTGAACAAGGAGAGACGAATACTCTCCAGGCCAGAGATCAAGCTGGCAACTAAGATAGACCCACGCAACCCTGGCAGTTTGATAGAATGGAGAAACTCACGGAAGTAGCTTTCAGATCCTGGCTATCATATGAGACAGATGATGTTTCATGCGGTTGTTGCGGTTGAAGCTCCATTTGAGCTGCATTCAAATGGAACTTCTTCAGGGTTTGTCGAGGCAGAGGCCACGCAAGCTCCGGTCGTTCGCAAATGGTCTTCGTATTTCCACCACTGGCTTCGAAGCCTAACAAGGACAATCGAACAGGGGGGTATCAATTTCCCAGCCATTTTCAGCTTCTTTTAAGAATCTATCAAAGAACCTTTGGAGGTCATCAACCATTTCCCCTCGGTAGAGGTCGTACCACTCTTGGTATGGGTGAACTCGCAGCCATTTTTGGTGGGAGCTAGCAGAACGGAATGTCTCAAATGAACCCCGGCTATGCAGCATCGACGAAAAGGATGCAACAACATATGCTGGGATACTGATTCTCTCAGTGTTCATATATTTGCTCTCCCAATAGTCATCGAACAGTGGTCTCTTCTCCAACATCAGGGGCATATTCTCCACAGAATTCCGCCCAGCAAATCCAGCCAGGATAAACTTTTGGAACCCCGCGTTATGCTTCTTGCCTCCCCTTGCAAGAGAATCCCGATACATATCATTCCTCCCTTCCCATGGTGCTATCGCCTTTAGTGCAGGATGCTCCAGACGAGAAGCAAAGTTGATCTGGGCAATTGCTAACCAAGAATTCCCTGCCATACCGACAGAACTATTGCACCAGGATTGTTTGCTAACCCAGTCAATTGCATCGTAGATATCCTCTGCTTCCTGCTGGCCCCAGAATACCATGTTCCCTTCCGAGTCACCGGCGCCTCTCGCATCGATATTAACGATCGCATATCCACGAGGCACCCAGTCTGCAGGATCAGGCCCCTCGAACTTCTCATAACCCGAGGTTTGGTTCAAGTGCAAACCGACACGGAAGGGTGCGATGTTGTCGTAATTAAGACACCCGTTTCCTGTTTTGCCGTATGGACTCCAAGGAATGATTGCTGGGACCTTCTGCTCTCCACCCTCAGGTGAACAAGGACGAAAGATATCCGCGTAGAGCTTGATTCCATCGCGCATCGGAATCGAGACATCTTTGTCGAGGATGGTATGTGCAGTAAATGGACGCCGACCCGGAGACCGAACATGTCCAGTTGAAAGAATGATTCTTCCGGGTTGAAAGCCATGATAGGTGTAGCGTGGGTGAGCTTCTGGAGTTGGTAACTGGTGCCATTCCAGATCAGGATGCTTGTTTTGATGCTCCTCAACTGTGGTCGGCATTGTGGCGGCAAGGTGGACTGACAATTAAAAAACACTGATATTTGAATATGGTTCAATTCATGGGCTCACACCTGCCAGTGTTATTTAAGGGCTGTGCGTATGTGGTCGTTCATGATGCCTGCGTATTTTGTCACACTTGCCCGGCTGCGTCCCACCCCCGCTCACCGTCTGGTCATTTTGCATTGACTTTCCTGGCCAGACTTAACCTTCGGTACCACCACATCCGTTCCGGGGCTAAAGTGGTCCCCAGATACTTTTGTGAGGAAAGAGTCGCTAATGTATCCACTAGAGTGTCATTACCCAATCAACAGTCATATCGAAACAAGGTTTCAGCTAGGCGAATCCTCGGCCTCGGTTTTTGGGGGGCTCCCGGTGGGGGTGGGGCAAAAGCTCACCGGAGATCATCTTTCTAAATGCGGGGAATGAAATCCATGGATCAAAACAGATATTGTGATGTCAGATCAATAGCTAGGAAATCCATCATGTCTCCCAATTCATAAATACTACTTACAAACGCAGTTCGACAGAGCTATATAGTCAGGGTTGAAGTGGCCACTTTCGGTCCTCTTATATTTCAAATAATCTTTCGATCCACTTCGCTCACAACCTTCCGCCCAGGATGCAGATCCAAGATTCCGCAGAAAAGTCATCAGCGACGGCAGAACATTTGGAGATCTGCGATAAAGGGGGATCCTTGTTACCATCAACAGGGGTCTCATATGAACAAGCGGAAGTGGACAGAATTGTACGCAAAGTCGATATTCGGCTTTGTGTTGTTCTTGCAATCATGTACACTATCTGCCAAATTGACCGAACCAACTTGGCCAATGCGTATGTCTGTTCCACATCACAACACAGGACGTGAGTCTAACATATCATCTTATTATAGTGTTGTTGCTGGGATGGGAAAGGAGATTGATCTCTCCGGCAGTCATTATGTACGTTTTAATCATTCAATTATCTACAATCAGCTGACCAGGTGACATACTGCGGGTCAAGTCCACTATGATTGTTGTCTTCTTCCCTTTCTATACGATATTTCAGCCTCTCATGACAGTTGTTGCCCGGAAGATTGGGCCGAGGGTATTCCTGAGTGCAATTACAATTGCATGGGGCATTATCATGATTGGATTCGGTCTTGTGCACACCTGGCAGCCGTATATTGGACTGCGAGCCGCGCTAGGATTTCTTGAAGCCGGATTCTTCCCGACTTGCATCTTCCTCATCAGCACATGGTACACAAGACATGAAACGGCAAAACGAATTGCGATGTTCTACCTTCTTGGTAGCGCGCTGAGTGGATTCGGAGGGATTATCGCTTATGGAGTGTGTATTGACCATTCATGCACCGCACCCCAATTAAGTTGAATGAAAGCTGACTGGACCAATATAGCTACAAAACATGCATGGCCTCGCTGGAATGGCCGGCTGGCGGTGGATTTTCATTGTAGAGGGTATCTTGACCGTGGTTATCGGACTAATTGGGTGGCTTTTTATCGTCGGGTTTCCTGAGGATGCGCAACAAACACGATGGTTTTTGACCGACGGAGAAATCGATATCATGATGGACCGGGTTGAGAAAGACCGTGGTGATTCTCATGTCACACCATTTATTCTTAAGACGTATCTAAGTCATGCTCTGGAGTGGAAAAGCTGGATGTTCGCTCTGAATTTCTGCATGACAACAGTGGTTAAGTAAGTTCCGACTGACATATCTACCATCCAGCTGAGAGAACGCACTACTAATCCGGTGAAAAGCTACTCCGCTGTATATTTCTTACCAATCATTTTGAACGAAGGACTTGGATTTTCCCAGGCTGCGGCGCAAAGTCTGAGTGCCCCTGTAAGTTTCATACTTTGTTTTATCTGATATCGCGAAAATTGAGAAATGCTGTTAACAAGTACTGGTAGTGTTATATCTTTGGGAGCATTCTCGGGTTTGCAGAGAGTTGGCTGTCTGATAAGTACAAAGCAAGGGGCATAGTCATTGTTATCAATGCGATTTTGCAAATCGTTGGCATATCTGTATTGGGCTTTGCAAAACAGAGCCCTGTTCGTTATTTTGGGGCATTCATCCTTGTCGGAAGCGGTAGTGCAAACATTCCAGCCTCTCTGACCTACCAATCCAACAATATAGTTGGCCAATGGCGGCGAGCCTTTGGGTCCGCCCTGGTCATTGGAGCTGGTGGCGTAGGAGGAGTAGTTGGAAGTCTTGTCTTTCGCAACCAAGACAAGCCAACCTATAGGTCCGTCGAATGACCTCAAAACTCTAACTCTATTTGTTCTCTGATACTGACTGATGGGCGTATACAGACCTGGTCTTTATACTTGCTTTATAGCAGCCTCGATTACAGTGATATCTGTTCTCATCACCTCAATCGCTATGAGGCGAGCAAACAAACGACAGAAGCGAGGTGGCATTACTATCATGGATACACCTACTTTCCGTTATACTTTATAAATTCAAAGTGAAATTCCCTTGGGGATCTCACTTATTGAGTTCGCAAATTTTCCCCCGAAACTTGCAAAACATTCCTCTTACCATTCCTTGGTAGCCATAGGCTTAACAGTAACATTTGGGGCTGCGGTTCTATAATAAATGAATTATTCGTTGTTCAATTATTCCAAGCGATAACAAAATCGCTTTCTATGAATGTGAGTTCTCAAACATAATCGCATTATTCGCAGGCATGTACTATTGCCGTTTCCAAAAATATAAAATTTCCACTCACCAAACCGTGAAATATCTCGAAACTCATTAAACGTCCCGATACTCTACGAAAATCATCAGAGTAAAAGGAAAAATCCCCAATGACTACCGTTGTTGCGGAAGGTATCGAGGTGCATTCATTCCCCATGTCGTACAAATAATCTGGCTGAATGAACGTTATATATTTTATGTTTCACTTTTAGTTGCAAACGGCGTGGGCGATGCCAGCAATTTCGAACATACAGTCAAATACCCAAGAACCGAAAGACCGACAAGTAGTAACAAATATATGGCACCTACTGCCTTCATGTCTAATCTCAACAGGTTAATCCATCCTCGGCCTCCGCATACGGTATCCCGCAATCTTTGATGTCTTGTAAAAAATTGCGGGAACTGTTGAGAAGCGGGGAATTTAGGGATTTTGAATCGTCAAGCATCTGTATGTAGAAGTCGAAAATCCTCGGCACATCATGCAGCGGAATATGCAATCCATCAGAATCCTGGATACATATGATGCTCTCACCAGGATGGATGTTCCTCCCATGGGTAGTCATGTCTCTAGTCGGATCATTTAACACGATCAAGGATCCTGCACTGGAACTAGTGGAGTTGACACCTCCCACATTGCCGATAGGGCTATATAGTCCGACGGCGTAACACCACATCACCAGGGCAATGCGGGACACAGCTATGGGCCACCAAACGGGGCGATCCTGACTGGATTGAAGGATTCGTACAACATTTCCCGCACGCGCGATAGCTTTCCAAGCGGATGGCGACTGAGCCCATCTTTGTAATTGGGGAAGATATGTTTTTCCCACTTCAAAACCATCCTTGCCAGCGATCAACTGGACATCATCGAAACAGATATAAAGCTCCACCCAGACCAGTTGAGAAAGTAGCAGGGGCGTTGTTTGGGATTGGCAAGGTGGCAAGCCGTCAAAAACTTGTTCTGATAGCAAATTCCATTTCACAAGTGTCTTTTCCAACTCTTCTTGTTGATGAAGTCGTACGAACTCAGCGGTTTCCGGGACAGGTGTCGAGGACTCAAATCCTTCCTCCATGGGTACAAATCGATAGCGTTGTGAGTACTGGATGACCTGGGTTTGAATGGGGCATAGTAGAAGCCTTAACTGCAGTGGGGTTACGCTCAACTTGAGATTAAAAAAGTTGTGGCGCAAGAACATGCGATAAATTGATGCAAGAGACGGGGGATGGATCTTAGTGGATGAGTTTGTATCTCCAGTCCAATCAGCAAGCATCTCTCGCCACTGATCTTCATTATCCAAAAGGAAAAGCTCATCTGACACTGGCATCGGGCATTGCAACCTGGTAAAAGGGATCGTGGGCTGAACGTTGTGAAGGAGGCTGATTTCATGGTCGACTAGGAACAATACCTGACAAAGCCTAAGCTCTCGTTCTTTGTTGATCCACTTCGACCAGGAGTCGCTAGCTTCAGATTGGCTTCCAGGATTGGAATTAGGCCGGGCTTTGTAGTATCCGCGGCGAAGGAAATACTGGGCTCATGAATCAGCAAAGGGAGTTCTGCCATTCCGGGGGCTTTGCGGCATACAGTGCTGGGAATACCTTTGAAGGCTTCCGCTATTTCCATATGTCTTTTACTGCCTGACCAAGCACTAAACGCGAGCGTCATGATCCATGCACTCAATACCCACTTGTCGATGAGGCAAATCTCGTCTTGAAAGGCGTTGTCAGTGATGGTGAAGCGAATTAGGTATACTAGCTCAACGGAAAATGCACGCGCCTTTTCCACTGGAATGACAAGACAGCCAAGCGCCATGGTGGTGGCGAGGAAAAGCCCAATATCGCTATCGGGATCTTGAGTATTGCCGGAGGATTTAAGGAAACTGGTTGGGTGAACAATTGGATACAATTTCGAGAAGGTTTGCTGATAGGCGTGATAACAATATTCAATTGTGTCCAAAGGAGGGAAGCGATGCAAGAAGCCACTGCGATCAAGTAATTTGTAAAGCATCCCGTGGACTCGAGCAACAATAGTGTCTCTCAATGATGCGACAATCTGAGGTATTGGCTGATTTGTTCTCAAACCCACAACGGCAGATTTGACTTGTTCCCAGCTCTCTTGGTCGTGGAGAAATGTGTAGATTCGATGAGCATTGACTGTCGGGCCTCGTTTAAATCGATACTCAAAGGGGCAATTGGCATAGGGATTGAGGGTGCCATCAGTTCTTAGGACAGACTTTCCTCGCCTACGCCCTGTGATCTTTTCCGCCGGTCCATCTAAGGATGTTGAGACTTCACCAGGTTTAGCCTGGAGAAGATGACCCCCGGTAGGCCAGTTTATGATGCCGTCATGGGGGCGAGGGGTGGGCACATCCCAAGGGAAAGACCAGGAAAAGTCCAGCAGGCTTAGATCATAGCCTCCCAGTTCACCTGGTAAATTCATCGAGAATGAATCAGGTATATTTGTCATGTTTACGAGCGTTTCCCCGTGGTTGGAGGGCGACTCGAGTGATGCTGTTGTTGAACAAGCGGATGGGAGTACCTTTTACTCATGACAATAATGTTAAAAAGCATGATTTTATGCGCCAAGGAATTAAGCTAAGACTGACCTGGGGAGCCACTGGCCACACTATGTCGGAATTCATATGTGCAGCATGATTGGCGTTAGGTAATGACGGCCCGGGCAGCCCATCAGCTGCTTGAAATGGTTCATTTTTTCGTTGTTTCACAGCGGGATGCGGTCTGTCCATTTTACAAACTAGCGATTTGCGCTGGCACTGACTGCAGGGAAACCGGCCGTTACAGCGAACCTTGGCTTTTGCACACTCATCACAGGCGATGGTAACTCTGGGATTCTGGTGGGACTGGGTCCCGGATGTTGGAGGCAATGACACGACATCATCCGAATGACGAGTTCTCTCATGTCTCTGCAGGACATCTCTAGGCCGTGTGAGGGACAGTTTTTGCCGTGAGGGGACTGACGGGGGTATAACCAAACCTTCTGTTAAATCGTTGGAAACATCTTTTACATTCAAATTGCCGGGTCACACCATCTAAAAGGGCGATTGCTTAGCCGTTGATCTGATATTTAAGAAAGTTCCACAAACACCTTACGCTTTACCAGGTGTCTTTGCAGATGTTCGTTCCTCGTGAAATGTTGATTGCACAGTGCACAACAGTGACGTGGAGGGGATTGAGCCATTGGATGCGGTAGCAGCTTTTGGATCGTCTAGTATTTGTTCGGGGTTTTGCAGAGAAGGACTTTGGGGGAGTTGGTTCAATCATATGTGGACAAGCTGGACATGACAGAAACAACACTATGGGCGCGTATTTGGAGTATTGCTCAAACCGGGAGGATGGGTAGGAAGGTGCTAAGATGGATTTGACAGCTGCCCCTTGACCAAAGGCCCTTCCTAACGCCTATTATTATTATTATGATGGTCATGGGACCCTAAGCCACCCTAAACCTTGGCGGGGCTTCCGGTGGGGGTGGGACAAAAGTCCGCTAGAGATTAGTCTTCTGGATGCGAAGCAAGATTCTTCCCAGCGTCCAGAACATCCAAACTCATAAGAATAAAGAAATTACCCCGCTTTATGGGGTTGCACGCCGATTCAATAGACAGCGTATGGCCCTCCATCGCCGCCTAGATGGTACTACAAATCGCTGCGAAACCTGCACCAATGGTTATAAATTGACATAAATCGAAGAGACATCGCTTAGAAATTACATTCGTTCTATAGATGTCCGTGGATCACTCCTAGGCCTTCCCCAGTTCGAGAAGTAGCAGATTTCTTACCCGCAGCATGAGGATTGACCCCAGTCCAAACACTTGGCGAAAATTAGGTCTACAAATTTATGAAAAGACATCTTGAACTCCCTGCACGCTTCTCAGGACGCTGTAATACCAATATGTAAAGTTTGAAAATCCAAAAATTATTCAAGAGTGGTTGAATCTCATGTATAAATCAAATCTTCAAAATGGCATTGACCTACATAATGTCTAGAAATTTGGTAAGACTGGATTTGTGATGGGCTTCATTGTAACCGCCAAGGGTATCATAGGAGTAGATTATTATGGTCGGAGATTACTTTTGCAACCTGAAAATTGTAGGTAGGTAACCGCAATTGAATGTACAGATGTATCGGATGGGCTCTTCTTGTATCCGTTATTTTTCAAAGCGAGGTTTATATTCAAGGCTGGGTTTTTCGACAGAATTTGTAGTCAAAATGCTATGATCCCAATTTGTATGCCTGCGCACTTAATGGGCTCCACAATTACTGGTTGCGAACTGGACCATTACCTGTGTGGAATGATGCAATGTTGGCGCTTGCTCACCTGTCCTAAAGACCTAAAGATAGTCGTGACAAGGAGACATTATAAACAGTTGAGATTCCTTTTCTACATCCTTTGCTGTTGCAGATGTACAGCCTACATATTCCGGAAACCCATATCACGTCATAGAGCTAACTACATCAGCTACGATGCAATTGGAAGTGCATCAAGGATATGTGGGAATACTCTAGTTCTCTACACCCCATTTATCACTACAATCATGTCGTCCTACCGTTTAGACCTGCACTTCATTCAATGCCAGATCATTTATAACAATCCTAAACTCCTCGTCGCAGAACTGGCACTATCCACTTTCCTAACTGCCATCGAAAATTCCTCTATTGCATCACTTACAGTCTATTTGATGGTCTAATTTAAGATACATCAATGATAGCAAGGCAAAGGTAGAAACTCAGTATATTTATGATTTTCAATCCCTAACACCAAGGACTGGGAAGTTGAAGGTAGGTATACTCTTCACCGGTGAGGTAACTTCCAAAGGTGAGACCCGTGGGAATTGTGGGACAGCGGTACCATGGTACAGTATAAGAACTGGATATGTATTGCTTTCAGACGTCCCGCTTTCCCCCACCCTGCAATCTTCCGAAGGTCCCATCACATACCCGTAGCTTCTATCCATGTCTTTCGTAAGTTCTCGCCACGTCATAACTCTTGACACTGAAGCAAACTCGATTCCGAATGCCATCACGAATTGAGGCAATAAATACTTTTGATCTTATGCACAGAAAGGCGCTTTTACAACGAGGACTTTCTCAATCCCGTCATGGCAGCCACAAAGACAAGTATTTCACTCTGGCGGGAGACAGTTCGTCCGGATAAGGTAGATTCTGGCTATGAACGACCGGAGACCGAAACTAAAGTGCTACCGGCTGGATGGAAGCTGACTGACAACCATGCGCCTTTCTTGGTGGACACAATTTGGGAAAAAAACGTGAGTGTGCGATTACGGGATGGTTGTGCCATCTTTGTGGACGTATTCAGGCCTCAAAACGCTGCCGACGGCACTGTTCCAGCCTTGCTCGCATGGAGTCCATACGGAAAATCTGCTTGTCGTACCGGAGGTTCGTGTCCATTCGATATAATGAGTACGGCTGCGTCTACTAACCCTATTTGGCCAGGTTTTAATCCTCTAGATATGATTCCTGGCCGCATGGGAGTCCCTCGGTCTCGTTTGTCTGGGTTTGAGAAGTTTGAGGCCCCTGATCCTGCTAAATGGACTGCTAAGGGATATGCAATTGTGAACCCGGATCCACGAGGCGTTTATGACTCGGAAGGGGATATTTAGTAGGTTGCTCACCACCTTGGCCGATAGGTTCAGCATAGAGCTTATTGAAAATAGCCACTTCGGACCAAATGAAGCGGACGACGGCTACGACACAATTGAGCATATCGCGAGTCTACCGTGGTGCAATAAAAGTGTTGCCTTGGTTGGTAACTCGTGGCTAGCAGTGGCCCAGTGGTTCATCGCCGCGACGCGCCCGCCTCATCTGAAATGCATTGGCCCTCTCGAAGGTGCGGGTGATCTCTACCGTGATGTTCTATGCCGAGGTGGTATTCCTCAGACTCCTTTTTGGGACTTCCTGTCAGGGGTACTTCGAGGTAATTATTTGCTTTCTCTTCCCGTGACATAGACCGCGATCAGTTAATTCTTTCTGTGCAGGGCGCAACCGGCAAGAGGATGTGGTCGGCGCACTCAAAAAATACCCTTCAATGAATGAATACTGGAGCAGTAAGCGGGCAGATATGAGTCAAATCACGGTTCCTGCCTACATACTTGCAAGCTATTCAACTTTTCTCCACACATTCGGCTCGTTCCGGGGTTTTACAGAAATTCCTCATATGAAGAAATGGTACTCCCTTGAATCCCTCAATACTTGAATACCAAAATTTGACAATAGCCAAGGCTACGAGTTCATGCTACCCAGGAGTGGCACGACCTTTACCAGAAGTCGACCAATGACGACTTATTAAAGTTCTTTGATCACTATACCAAGGGCATTCAGAATGACTGGGAAGATACACCAAACGTGAGGGTATCATTCCTACGCTTCAATAAGGTGGGCAACAAAGATGGCTACACTGCTGGGGTACAAATCTAAAGTAATTATAACCAGGGTCCCTTGATAGACCAAGTCTATCCGGACTGGCCAATTCCCAACACGACTGCCCGTACTTTCTATCTTGATGTCAAAAATTCGATGACTGAAGATCTTCCCCTAACTCCGAATATCATATCATACGTGTCAGATGCACCTTTCCAACAAACTGACGCTGACTCAGAGGAGCTCAGTTTCACATACACTTTCACAGAGCCCTGTGCTCTCGCTGGATCAGCACGAGCGATCATTTATGTCTCGGCCGAAAATGCAGAGGATATGGATGTATTCGTCCAGATTCGCAAAGCTGATACAACTGGCAAGCTTCTGCGGAACATAAATATTCCTGTCAATGATCGGAAAATCTGCAATATGCCCGAGCCGATTGATTTAGTGAATCCTTTGATCTACTTAGGCCCTACCGGCTGCCTCCGTGTGAGCTATCGTGATCTCGACAAGAAATTATCGAATGAGTGGTGGCCAGAGCATGATTACTCCGTGAAGCAGACTTATCAGACTGGGCAGGTCATTGAGCTAGACATTGGACTGTGGCAAACTGGAATACTCTACCTACCAGGTGAGAAGCTGGTTTTCAAGGTATCTGGGCACAACATGACGCTGGCAGAGTTTCCGAATCTACGTGGGGTGATGCCCAACTACAACAAAGGGAAGCACAATCTCCACGTTGGAGGATCCTCTGCTAGTCGACTTATAATCCCGACGGTCCCATTTCCCAGATCATGAAAATGCGCTTTGTTGCCACATTGACTAGGTCTCTCTTTATCGCCTTGAAATTGCTGTTTTCTTTGTTCAGATGTTGTCTTTCTTTTGCGAAACAAAACGTGACCAAACCGCGGGGCGTACCGTGGTACTGAGACTTTTGTCCCACCCCCACCGGAAGCATATCCGAGGTTAGAGTACCTTAAACCTTATTTCGATTGATTTTTTGATTGGGCAACTAAACGCCAAATAAGGACCATTTCCCCACAAATATATCTGGGACCACTAGCGCGGCTCGGGATGGATGTGGTGTACCAAAAGTTAAGCCTAGTCAGAAAAATCAATCGAAATGACCGGGTCACGAACAGCTACATTTGCACAGCCGATAGATAGATGGATAGATTTCATTGACCCTGACCCCTCGCGAAAAATTGGATTATAAACCACAGCCCACTAACTAGAGATAGAAAATTTCTAATATTCGTCAGAGAGTGGTCTATCTAGGCTAAAATCGATAATACCTTCTCTTTATGTTAGAAGTCGACCTGTCGATCAGGCAAGGAAGAAATGCACCAGGTAGAATTATAACAAGACTGTTTCTTCGGGAGCTTCTAAACCCGCTCTCTACTTCACATCTTTTATATATATCAATCCTCTGTCGATCGGAGGGGTTGCCGGGTCAGTCAGGACGATCAAAATGAAGGTCGACAGCCACGTAGTAGAGCTGAAAGGAAGAGGGGTCAATTTAATATAACCTGTTTTCCTTATGCAACGTTTCCCCTCAGCTAAGTGGTGTTGATGTGCCGCCGAAATCCCGCCCTTTGGCAACCTGATGTGGTTATGGCATTAGATGAATTCCTAGACTTTCCAGGAGAAAATTTCGACGTCCAAGAGCCTGATTTATCTAATATCATCGTTTACTTTTCTGAGGAAAAAACAAGTGGTGATTATGGTGATCAGGAGAGCGAGGACGACCAGTGTGACTATATATTCGGACCACCGCCGGATATCCTCTCGCGTGTCGAAGCTATTGAAGATATGCAAAAGCTCTTTAATTTGCTCAACACCAAGAGGGTATTACTATGAGAGATCTACATGATATAGAGAGGAGAGGACAGCTTTTTTCTCGACTACAGATAGATGGAAAGAAACAGAGGAAGGTGGATGACTACTTTAGACCAAAAATAGACTAGTGATTACCAAATTAGGGCTAGCGCAATAGGCACACCAAAATTCTGTTGCCCGAAGCCGTGCCGAAAGCGGGAGTTTACTGTAGATAACTAATTAGTTTTGTGGTGCCGTTAGTAATAAACTGCGATGGCCTTATCAATTCCCAGAAGCCCCCTTGGGCGATGTGACCAGCCACATAGCTGCCACCGCTGGGCTTGAATCCGCTTGATCGGCCTCCACGGGCGCCCTAGACAGACAATGGCGAGGAACTCGGAGGCGGCGTTTCGGTGGAAGTAGACCGGGCGGAAGGTGTTTATCGCAACGTCCCAGTGCGGTCTGAACCAGAGAAAGTAGACGAGTAGGGCGTAAGAGTCACGCGACTTGGTAGTGAAAACGGTGTAAACGGAGGGGTCGGTGTAGCCGACAGAAACGGAGCTGACGCTGACAAACTTGCTCGTACTGCAAGATATCATGTTAGCAGATATTTTATGGGGTTTGATCTTGAAATATCACCTTGTAAGGTACACAGTTTCCGTGCCAATCGGCCACATCAAAGGGGTTATGCTCTTGTGACCTAACAAAGTTAGACTGCGACATCGCCCGTCCACGGTGGGCGGTGGGCTATTTGATGTTTCGAGTGCCCGTCTATAACGCCTAAGGCCCACGGGCATACCTATCCCGGGCATGCCCACTATGCCCACTATTGTATAATAAATAACTGTTATTTACACCTATTTTGCTAACTCCATATAAAATCGCGGTTTTAATCTATAATATCTATAAATTTTAATAAAATATCTGAGTATATAAGAAACTAATATATATATATAATACGACTTGGAATAAAATTTTAATCGAAATATATCATATTATATAGTATTTTTATTAACTTATTAAATCATACTATAATATTTAAAGATATATATTTAAGCTAGGAGTATATGCCTACTATTTTCTATAAGTAAAATACTACTTATAGATTCCACTTTATCTCTCGCTCTAGTATATTTCTTATAGGTAGATCGAAAGTAAATTAGTATAATTCTTATTTTACAAGCTTATATCACTAAATTATATTAGTATATCACTAAAAGTCTTACATTATTATTCTAGGAGTTTCAAATCCTTCGATTATAACTTAAGATAGGCGTTTAGATATATATCTATAGGTATACGGTATACCTATAGGTACGCCTATAGACTTAAGTTATTTATGCACTTTATTATAGACTATGTTATATAAAAAAACCACGTTAGTTAATATTGAAGGTAGGGACGCTTATACACCTATAAATAATAGTATTTTATCTGATTACTTTATAGATTTGTATAGCCGAAAGAGGAAATTCTTGGCAAAGTTATGCTAGCGTGGGACTATATGGGAGTCCTATAAGTCCCACGGGAGTCCTATAAAACTGATAGGGTTATGGGACCGGAATTTCTTTAGTCCCATGGGAGTTGGCAAGGCCTAGTTATGCGTCTATTTTGGGTGACTTTATATAATAGTGGGCATAGTGGGCATGCCCGGGATAGGTATGCCCGTGGGCCTTAGGCGTTATAGACGGGCACTCGAAACATCAAATAGCCCACCGCCCACCGTGGACGGGCGATGTCGCAGTCTACTCCTCACTACGCCACAAGTTCATTCAATGGATCTTGAATATGAACGGAGATGTTTATTATTGAAATCTGCTAGTATTTACTAATATTTAGGTCTAGAAAACAGGCCCATGAAGGGAGGAAGATAATGTGTGTGGACCAGGAGGGATTGTGGATTGCCTACAACCAGTTGGCAGCCTTCTGCAAGATTATGTCAGGGCGATGGCATGAACGAACTATTGGCAGTTTTTCCAGAAAGGTCGAAATCCGAGGAGTTTGGGCTCTCCGGTGCTCTTCTACGGTCACATACGACGATATCTATGAACCATAACGGGGGTCTATTACTACGCGGCAAGCGCCTTTCTATTTAGTCCTGCTCTGAGAATCCGAACCCATGTTTACTACGAAGAGTAACACGTAAATCGCTCTGTGCACCCAGCAGTGGACTCCTTGACCAACTGTTGCGAGACATACAACGTCATTAACGTCATTCTATACCAAATAGAGCAGATTATAACATAGAATCACGTAAAGTATTATCAAATTAATTCAAGCTGCGTAACAAGCAAGTATGCGTGGCACATGGATATCTTTTCACAATGACGAACATTCAAACGAACAATCAAGCACGTTCCCTATACTCAGGAGACTCCTTCTCAGTGATTGCAATCTCCTTCTCGACCTGCTGGAGATCAACATGAGCCACATCAGCATCCTCACCATCGAAGATCTTAGCCAGTTCCTCGAGAGTGGGACCCCGGGTCTCAACGTAGAAGAAGTACACGAAGCAGAGCTCGATGAAAATCCAGATGGTGTAGATCATCGACAAATTCCAGTGGTGAGGAAGGTTCTCCCACGCAATTGGATTGGTGTAACTAGGATGGTCAGCTTGGTCCAAAGAGCGGGTATTAATATTCAAGGCAACTTACTTTCCGAGAACCAGAGATGCCTGCACCGTCAAGTTCATAATCATAACACCCTTGGCGCGCAGGCGGTAGGGCAGAATCTCGAGCGAGTAGGCGACGAGCAGACCCGACCAGGCGATGGCGTAGAACACGGAGAAAAGCCAGACGAAGACGACTTGTGGGTAGCCGGTCGTTGCGACATCTCCGGTCTTTTCGAAGACGGAGGAAACGACAGTCCATGCGAGGAACATGAGAACCATGCCTGAGAGGAGAAAGTCAGTAACTTGGTAAATTTATCACGGATGAGGTTGGCATGTACCGATTGTGGAAACCAGGAAAAGAGGTCGGCGTCCAACTCGGTCAACAAAGAAGGCACTGGAAACACTGACAACGAGACTGAGTAGGGTTTGTCCACCATTGAGCTATGAAACGTCAGCGAGGGGTCATTTGGCAGATCGCAAGGGGAAACGAACAGGAATCTTCTTGGTTTGTTCGGTGATACCCATGCTGTTGTAGATCAAATTGGTGTAGTTACTAAACAAGGCATTGCCACTGTATTGGGAAATGACTCCCAGGGAGATCAAAAGTGCCAAACGGTAACGGTTACCCTTGGTCTTGCAGAAGTCCAAGTAGCTGCTGTTCTTCTGGAACCGCATCTCCAAGCTGATAGTCTCCTTAATCTCACGGTACTCGAACTGAACGGTGGCGTTTTTCTTATCTCCATTTCCGTGATAGTAGGCGAGGATGTCCAATGCGTCCTCGTACCGCTCCTTAGAGACGAGCCAACGGGGAGATTCCGGGACCCCTAAAATGGTCAGCGTGGATACAATCTAGCACAAGCAGATGGGAACTTACAGTAGATGAAGACGATCTGAATGACAGCGGGGAGGATTTGGAGGAGGGTCAAACTGCGCCATGACCAATCGTTGGGGATATACATCGTTCCCCATGCAAGCCATGCGACAACTAAACTCAGTCAGTACAACGCCTGAAGACTGGTCGGAAGGATACATACGGAGTGCGCCCAAATTCCACAAGCAGTTGTAAATAGAAGTAACCTTTCCGCGGTGTTGGGGGTGGCAGATTTCGGTGAGTAGGACTGGGGATGCCATCTGGGCCAGACTGTTGCCGAATCCGAGGAGCAATCGACCGGCGACATACACTAGAGAGAATTAGCAAAGGTATAAGTGCGAGTATCTGAATGGTCAACATACTTCCATAGTTTGTGCAGAATGCACCCAGCAAACCACCGACAATCATCAGGACACATCCAATCATGATGGGAATCTTGCGGCCCCATCGATCAGCGATAAAGGGACTATTCAAGTTAGCAAGCTTCCGTTGTATTTCGCGCAGGGCAGCTTACACGAAAGGGAAACTGGCAAGACTACCAATCTGGTAAATTGCATTCATCAATCCCAGCTGGGCACCATTGGGATGATCGAAGTACACCTGCCACGCATCCAAATTTTGGGAGGTGTTAAGCATCATCCTGCACCCTGTCAGCTCTAAACATATTAATTCACAAAGCTTTGAGGCTTACCCATCGTATCCAGTAGTAGCAGAAGCAACACAAAGCACTGCAGCCCAGCAATAGAGCCTGCGCAGACCAGGCTCTTGCCACCAGTTAACCTTCTCCAACTCAGGCCTCGCAGCCTGAGTCGCGTCCAAATCGGACTGCAGAGTCGACGCTCCGACAGCGATACCCATGTTATCTGTAGAGTCTGCTTAGACAAAGTGTATGAAGTATATAGGTAGGAAGTGGAGATGTCCACTAAGCTTGCGACACAAAGCAGAGGAATGCAGAGGTAGGGGGGCTCCTGGGAGTTCTTAAACAATTCAGATTTGCCATCTTAAAATATTTCAACTTTGATATTAACCGGCTAATGTGGGAATTGAGGAATTGATGTCTTGGCTGAGCTGCACGAGTCAACAGCTCTCCCCAGTTTTCGATCGAAACACATACTGAGAAAAATAGATATAAAGAAATTTGGATGTTTTCCAGGACGCTAGGACGGATTTCGTGCAGCGCCGGGACTAGAAAATGCCTATACATGCACGGACTAGCCAGATTGGTGGTTGGTCAGACCGACCTTGCCCTATTGGGGATGCCAGTAGAGCAAAAACGTTCCATCCCCGGGCTTTAGCTCCAGGTATCGAGGCCCAGGCTAATCACACGAGTTCCGCACTTGGCTTCAGAGTTGTGATTGGTGCTGATAAATGGGCTCTAACAACCGAGTCCCGTGGTTCAAAATTGCCCTCGCTTACTTGGGTACCGCGTCTTCTTGAGGACCCTGTCTTCGGGTACGAGACAAATTTCCTTCTTCCCCACAAGCGTGTGGATTGGGCGGCCCGAGGCCCACAAATTGATAAACCTGGAGAAGAGAAAACGCATATAATTGATATTCCTCCGTGTTCATTGAGGTGTTAGCTTGAGTTTGTTCTTGATCAAGGTTTGAATGCTTCGTGTTGGGGGGCTTCCTGTATGCCTAACACGCTCAGGGTCCAAATTTCCCTCCGTGCCGGATTGAGTGACTATATTAGCCTAGACGCCACCTGACGGGAAATGAGGTGGTATGAGTGGTGATGCCAAGACGTGCAGGGGAAGTTGGGGGGAAGTTGGGGACATTCTTCATTTGCGGGGGAAATGGCACTAGGCTAGGGTTGACTCTTTAGCCGGAAGACCTATCTTGGCAACGCCATTTATTAGGCAATTATTGGCACCAAATCTTGTTCAGCTCTAAGCAAACGCCATATTTTGTTTGAAGAGGAAACACATGCAAATATCAAACAGGGGTGTGTTTATATCCGAGTTCACCGCTTGCTTAAAAGGGGGAAGGAACCGCTTCTCATTGGTCAGACCCATATCGGCAGAATAAGGACGGCAATTACACAACAAACAGCTAGCCGCCTTTCCCAAGTAAGTAACTGCTACTCTTGCAGCTATTGATTGACATTGGTTCTTTAAATATGGGCTCATGCTGTAGCTCTCCTTCAGGAGACTCAGAAACAATGGCAGCTAAACCCAACTACAAGCTCTCACAAGAGCAAATCGATCATTTCATGAGATATGGGTACGTGCGTCTCCCAGAGTGTTTCTCCCGGGAGAAAGCAACCGAGTGGGCAGGCGATGTGTGGACTAGACTCGGCGTGTCACCGACGGATAAGTCAACATGGACTACTGAAATTACCCACATGGGAGACACCAAGGAAGAGCCGGTCAGGACCTTCGCCCCCAAGGCATGGGCGGCCATCTGCGAGCTTCTCGGGGGCGAAGACCGTGTGGCACCGGAATCGGCCACTTGGAACGATGCATTGATCGTAAATCTCGGCTCCCCCGAGTCCGAGGGCACTTGGCCCAATCCTGCTGATCTGCCGGGATGGCATGTGGATGGCGACTTTTTTACCCATTTTCTTGATTCGCCTGAACAGGCCCTGCTCGTTATACCGCTATTTACCGATGTACAGGATCGCGGAGGTGGCACTATGATCTGCCCGGAGGCGATGAAATATGTTGCTCAGCATCTGGTATGTGGCCAAGCCTTCTGTTCCATCTTTACGTTTTTCTAATTCGGTCTAGTACAATCATCCCGAGGGTGTGACACCATATATGTATCCCCGTGGCCAAGAGCCTGTTGGAAGCCCCGCGGATACGCCCTTTTACTCGGATATTATGAAGAATTGCACGGAATTCCACCAGATGACTGGTAAAGTGGGCGACGTGGTTCTTCTCCATCCTTTGATGTGTCACTCGATCTCTGTCAACAGCCTGAGACACCCACGAGTTATCACCAACCCACCAGTGGCCTTGAAACAGCCATTTAAGTTTGACCGGGATGATCCTTCCAAATACAGTCTCGTCGAGAAGAAGACGCTAGAGATGCTTGGCAAAGACAGGCTGTCTGGCTGGAAAATTAAGGGGAAGCGAGAGTTTGTTCTTCCGGAGAGGCTGAAGGGTGAAAGCCGATCGAGTGAGAGCAAGGTAGAAAGACTTGCGAACATCACCGGACAAGCCATGCCAGCCGCGTGATTAGCTTAGCCGATGTGCCGTGTTTCATTCATATGTCAAATTAGCCTTTAGCCTGAAATCCAAGATATTCTTACCAAAGTTCAATAAATCCATTGGTCTCTTACTCTTACACTCTCATTATACTCTATCAGGTTAGCTGACCGTGTTACTTTGAGACCTCCGGGATGCGACAAATGTGGTAATTCCAATGTCCTTCAATTCTGACACGTTTACTATTCACATGATTTTCTTTCGCCACAGGAAACCAGACGAAATCCCCCCAAGAATAGCCACGGCTGTGATGAGATCCCATACCGCTTGAAATGCCGCGACCGAAACAATTGTAACCGCCTCTCTCTGTTTACTTGTCATGCTGACATCCTTCATCAGAATGAGATATCCGTTGGCAGAGTTTACCATGCCTCGATCCAGGTCAACACTTGCAAGTCCATTGCCGAAGAAGTTCAATAACACAACCCCTCCGACAGGGACCGCGACTGCCATACCCCAAGATCGCATGTAATATGACATGGTTGTTGGCAGGGTCGACAGGGAGCAATCCCCGTCTTTGGGCAGATTCTGGATGCGAACATTGTAACTCGCAAGCAACAGACCATGCCCAAGGCCTGCTGTAAACAACAAAAATACCCACGCCACGGTCGGCGTGGAGCTATCCAAGAGGATAGAGCATCCACTGCCAAGGGAAGTCAAGATCCAACCACCAGAGATGATCCACTGGGTACATCTCAACTCTTTCGCAAGAATGATACCAACCACAGTGGCCGGCGCAATCGCAATTCCAACCATGGCTAGCAGGGTGAGACCTGACAAGGTGGTGGACATATAATGAGTGGACATGAAGTATAACGGGAATAATTGCAAATGGGCAAAGACCTAGACTGGTATGTCAGAAAACACAAACCAAATTCGAAGAAAACATCTACTAACCACAAAGCCATGCAAAAAGCACCCTAGATGTGTCATAGTCATCATCCTCGACCGAAATACCCTCCTCCCAAACTGCGGATGCAGCGCCCACTTGGACTCCCAAAAGAGAAGCGCAAGGAGAATGACAGCACCAACCGCAAGAGGTACAATTGTCTGCCAGTCCCTCCAGCGATACAAGCTCCCACCCCAAGAAAGACCAACCAGGATAGTCCCAAGACCCAAAAAGGCCAAAGTAGCACCCGACCAATCCAAAATGCGCAATTTCCGCAGCGGGATATGTTTCAATGCACGAAGATCAACAGCAAATGGAATAGCCAGCAGACCAAGCGCGCAGAAAATAAAGTTGAAATAAAACGCCCACCTCCAGTTGGCATTATCGACAAACAAGCCTCCGATAATGGGGCCCAGAATGCCTCCACACATGCGTGTAAGCAGGATATAGCATGAATACCGTGAGTGAATGGATTCAGGCGCGGTCTCGGTCATTATCACGAAGCACAGGCTCATTGTGCCGCCGCCGCCGATACCCTGGATCATGCGGCCAATTATAAGTTCCACAAGACTCATGGAGCCACAGCAGATACCTGTGCCAATTGTTGCGAGGACTACGGCAATGATCCATATAGGTCCGTGGTTGAAGACTTCGCTCATCATTGTGAAGTAGAGTTGACTGCTTGCGCCGAAAAGGAGGTATACCGTGTTGACCCAGAATGTGCTTGCTAGTGGTTTTGCAAATGTGTTTGCCAGGTCCTGGATTGAGTCTCTGGTCAGTTCTATTATAGGTATAGATTGGTACTCAGGGGTTGTATGTGACATACAGGTAAGGCTGGGATCAAAATGGTCGCATTGAACGAATCCATCATCGCCAGGATAACGATACAGATAAAGACCAGCCATTCTCGCACTTCAAATCTTCTTTGCTGTTCTTCGAGTGAGGGTTCCCTTTCGAATAGTTGGATTGAGCTTCCCATTGCTGGGTTGTGCATCACACCGTCCACGCTTCGGACGCTGTCCGGTACGCCGAAGTTGATTTTAGACTCATTATCGTAAATTTCTTCGACGATTGAATGGCGTCCCATTTGCGTTGATCCTTGCCGTCGAAAGGCTTCTCGATATATATACTAGCCGTCAGGTTGTCGTTCCTCACGGGAATCGGGACACTGTGGTATCTGAGGTTGATTGCGGCATCAATCGAAACTTAACAGCGATTCTCGGAGGAAGTCTCATAGCTAGCATGACAAGATTATCCACACAAACGTGGGATAGAAGAGCTGCAATCATTGGAGGTGATAGGAGCTCCCCATCCACCCCTTGGTCATCGGGAAACCTACAATGGAGCCCATTTAGTCGGATTCCACAAGACAAGGGATACATAGTAACTGCATTGCAATTGGTCCGAGATCTGCCATATCCTTATTCACACCTTCTATCTCGGGGATTAATACCGCCAGACCCCTAGGAATGATGGGTTAAAGGGCGCCAGGGCTTTATCACGGTTGGCATTCCAGCCTCCCTATCCCTTCCCTTGTTAGCTGTCGTGATGACGGTGCAACGAGCATTCCGTGCATAATGCAAGGAGTACTGCTGCATGAACTCCAGCTAAATTAGTATCTTGTGGTGGTAACTTCAAGTTGTATCGTAGCGTTTATATATAAGCGTGTAGTTGAATAAAAACATGCAGCGAGTGGATAGGCTATATATAATCTTAGGGAAACGCTAGAAAATACTTTTGACCTCGAGCTTTTTATTTTGTTGACAGTATAAATACAGAGAGATAAAAAGGCACCCAATGATTCAATATTGATTTTTATACTGATACGCAGAGAAGTGAGGCCCTTTGAACATCTCGTTCATTAGTATGGCGTCACGTGTAGAAATGCCCACGGCTGACTGTGCCTACTTCCACCCCCTCTCGTGTTGGCTAATACTCACCGTAGGGGTCTGCGATCCTGAATGACACCCCACTATCCAAAGGGAGACACACTACTCTCTCTGCGTGCTCAAACCAGATTCTATAAATCTCTAGTCTGGACTTTGATTTCATATTGTGGATCGTCTCCCTGGGAGACATCCTCCCCAGGATGGGAACCAGGGGTTTATGGAACTTGCACGTGAACGGTTGGTAAAATGCATGATTATTTATTTCGACATGCTTACGGTTTTATTAGACTGCTGGTATCGCCTCTGTCATCCACTGGTTCGAGTTAGCCCACCAGAGGCAGCCGAGACAGTGAGCAGAGTCAAGGAGATACATGACAAGACGATCAATCTTAAGCGGTGGGAGCGAGTTCCCTTTCCAAGCCCGCTAGATCATTACTTCGATTTTGTCTATACCATCGATCAGGATGCTGGCACCTTCATTATTTCAAAGTGGACGGATGATGGCATACGAACGCCCCTAGCATACGAAGCCAGGCTTGCCGATATATGCGACAACTCTAGTATTTCCATCGAGTCCTTGCGAGAATCGCCTCTCCCCTCAATTCTTGATTCTGGAAAAGACCGGGACCCGGGATTTGACTCGGTCAGCTTGAAACCATTAAACATCCAGACTAGTCTGCCTACGGCCATGTTGGAGCTTCAACAACAGTTCTTCTTGGATTTTGTCTATCTATGGCGCACCTGGATTGATGACCCTATCACCTGGCATTATGGAAGCCGTGTATTCAAAGCATTTAGCAGAGCTATCCTATGTCTCGCTTCATGGGATTTTGAAGTGTCTTACAATTGCGACGTACCATTGCCTGTCAATCATAGCTCGATTCCTCGCTGGCAGTTTCCCGAAGAAGAATCGTATTGGTTTCATGAATTTCTCATTATGCTGCAACCAGATCTTGAGTCGCGTCAAATGCTTCTAACGGCCATCGCTGGAGCCAAAGCGCTCATTCGCAGTTCGAGTCGCACAACCCACAAAGCTCGGTCCATCCTTATCTCACCGCGCCATATCGCCTTCGTTGAAATCTTCGAGGACACCGTTGCGTGTAGCAAAGTTCTCCCGCTACTGGCTGATTCCTCGGCATCAAAGTGCTCCCCGGGCTTCCGAGTATTAGCTCAGGCTCTATCTACTGACTGCTGGAAAGAGACCTGGGCTCACCGAGAGAAGTGGCCTTATCATATACCACCGGAGATCTTATCAGAGATTCTCCACAGCTCGGAGCCCAGAGATGCAGTGTCTTTTGCACAAGCCTCCTTCGAAGCTGAACGCTCGTACTACGCTTCAGTGCCCCAGTTCAAGCATGTTTCTGTGCATAGCCTGTACCTTTCTATACCCTGTTGCGGCGATCGAACTGGATTAGAGGATTTGGGCGTATACTGTAGCAAATGTCGTATATGGCAGCATCAAAAGTGTATTGGGCTAGAAACCCTGCCATCTGAAAATTCATTTACATGTGCCACCTGTCTTAAGGAGGACCAGAAAAAGACACAACTCACACCCGGCGGTATTAACAGGCTGGATGGGCGGCTTGGAAGAAAAGCTCGCGCTATCACAATCGATGGATCCATGAAGGACCTTCGAGTGCGGCTCTCCAAACCTGCGCACCTTCGACTGGAGCTACGAAATATTGGGGATCTAATCCATAGATTCCCGAAAGGCTTGGTTGATTTTACTATTCGGTTCAATGGGGACTTTACAGGATTAGCATATGGCCTGGATGATATAGAAGTTGAAAGCAACTGCCGATATTGAACAAGGCATTGATCATTCAAATTGAACCTCGTCCTGCCACTCTCGGACGTATGCAAATCTTCGATCCACTTTGTCTTCTCGATCTGATGAGCTGGTTTCATTTGATTCGGCATGTCCCTCCCCATCAATCAAAAATTCCAACCATTCGTGTTTCCAAAGTGCCTTTTCTTCTGCCCTGATACCTTCGGTGAACAACGTCCAAGAAAACAAGTTTCGTGTGGCAATTTGAGAAACAGTATCGTCAAACTCTTCAGTACTGGGATTTGCAAGGCTCGGCCCAATTGATAGAGGCCTTGTTATGACAGTGGCTGGCGATATTGATGGCAATGTACGACTCGTAGAACTTGGGTTTGCTCATTGTGATCCGCATGGCAGGCCAAAATCAACCAGCACTTTCCCGCTTTCGCATAGCCAATTCCAAGAGTGATATTCCGGCCGATGATTGCACAAAAAGTGCAGTCTAACCTCAAGAGATGTGTTCTGAACATCTAATAAGCCAAACGGAGGGTATGGAGAGATCGGTGGGTTTCCGTACACCTGCGAGACCTCATGCGTGACGAATAAAAGGTGAAATTCATCTTATCTTGGAATCATATCTAAGCCATCAATATTCTTAATTGGCGTAGGGCGGTGATATTGAGGGTCCATAAATGATTGAGGAGATGAAGTCCAAAAAACAGGCTCCAAGCAGACCATTGGTAGGAATGTTCTCGATACTTTAAACACCCGGGGCAAAAGGCCTGTGATTGCAGCACCTAGCCATAGAAAAGCCATATTCGGGGTGCGCTCAGACATGGCAAGAATGAGGGGGTGCAAATTCTTCGATTGAATGAACGAGGGGAATACTTCTTTTAAGGGCGTTAGCCACTGACTGGCTAGATTGCATGGGATGTCCGGTTCCCAAAAAGAGCTCAATAGACACGACACAACGAGACCTGAAGTGCATGACAAGGCCATGAAATGAGGAAGCTCGGCAGTAGTTGGAATTTGATTGGCATATATCAACTCGGTGTTTTGCCGTGAGCTGGGCCTATTAAGAGGCTTAGGCAAGGTAATAGAAGCACTAAATCGGTTCTGCGATGGTAATGTGAGAGCAGCAGCAAATGCGCCATTGACCAAAAGCATCATGAAATCGGGTGAAATTGCAAAGGTAGTCATAGGCTTCTGCTGCAGATGGTGGCTCGAAGGCAGAGATCGAGGATGGCACTTGTGCGCAATGATGCAGTCTGAATGAACTGCCGTCCAAATGACATTCCCATGGCGGATAGTACTGCTTACCATCCCGAGTCGGAATCGCCTCCCACCCACGTTCCTCTGCGAGGACTGCAGTCCACCATTGAACTTCAACCATATTGCCACTCTCAATATCAAGGTCAAAGGAATTGCCGGACTGATCTCCTCCACGCCTAGTCCAGTGTGCATGGTTGGTTGTATACAAAACCTTACCATCTGTTGTTCGCCGGCGTAACTCTATCATCCGCGCCGAAAGAATGTATGACCAGCCAAGGACAAAGATACAGTGATAGTTACCCACAGGCTCTTGAAGTAGTTGAAACCCAGGCCATTTCGGCATGTATTCTGCTGACAAAGTGCATGTCCTCAAACGAGAGCTTGCAATGAAGACAGTTCGAGGTATATTCTTTTTGAAAGAAGGCAGCTCACAAGTACGACTTGACAGTTTACCAGCCGGCAAGAGTGTTCATTTTGAATAGCCATCTAAGGACAAATGATGCTTTCCGTCGAATTCTGTGGCCTCTGTGGATTGGGGGATTGAAGGCGTTTTATTGAGGAGAGATTTCACATTGCTGCATGAATAAGGCAAGTTCGTTGCAGACTGAGCCGAGGATAGTAATGTATACCATTTTGACCGAGAATCAGTCAACATCTTGGATGAAACATGGATTAAGTGACACGGCCATGAGCTCAATTTCCACGCAAGACCACGCTTTTGGTTATCTATCTTACTATGTGAATAATTAATTGTGCTACTAATCAAATCCATACGCGAGACCAGAGAATACCCCATTGAAGAATATCGTATAATCGACGTTCCGTGGAGGAGGCGGGCCGTGGCTTCGGATTAGCGATAACTCTGGCCGGCGAGAGGCTGGCTTTGTAACTCGCAACAGAAAATCCGTAGCTTTGCCATCATGAACTACACTGCATGATTTTCGTACCCGAATTTCACGGTAGGTTTGGTGAATACCGCCCGTCTCAAGACCAGTAGAAGGTGTGCTCTCTTGACAATCAGAACAGATATACTTGGCAGTGTCAGAAGGCACATGAGCGGACAGCTCTGCACACTCCATATGTGACCAGGCATAGCAGACCGAGCAGAAAATCCCGGGTGCGTTCGATGTATATCGCTTGCCGCAACATGGTATCGAGAGGGCAAAGTTGTGTACCTTGATGCCACAGATTTGGGGAATGGAAGAGTAATACCATTTCTCAACCAAAATAGATGCCTGCGCCATCGAGACCAAATCCCGCGGCGTGAATGCCTCAAGGATCATGCTGAACAGCTCAGTGGGTATTGTACCCAAATATTCTCCCGACTCCGATGAATGTCCCGCCCAGTGATTTGAGGTGAATATGTAAGCCAAAACCCTGAATCCTGGGGAGCAACACATGGCTGAAGTGTTGGTAACAAGGGGAATGGGCGGAGAATGAAATAGATCGCCATTGCGAATCTCAAAAAGTGCTATATGCCGCATGGAAATGGCTATCCCAACTATCCCATGAGCAATCCTTGCGTGGTTGGTACTGCGGGACAAAAAGTCATTTGCCTTTGCAGCGATAGAAGTGCCAATTTCCTCGGTGTTGCAGCACACGATCAGATATTTGTGGAACCAGAATACGTTATGAGTAGGCGCCTTCCATTGTGGAAGGGAGGAAAATGTGATAGGCAGGTCCTCTGTATCCCCATTCCTGACCTCAAAGTCCCATGCTGCGATACGTAATAGTCCAATAGCAAGGGCAGAGAAAACAGGAAATGAGTTTTCCCAGCTCGAAGTGTCATCGAAATAAAATCGCCACATGAAGACAAAGTCCGTAAAGAGCTGAAATTGTAGTTCGTTTAGCGGCGCGGGGATGCTAGGGTTGATTCGGAATGATTTCAATAGATGCTGCACGCCGTTTTCTTTTGAATCACCCAGTAAGTAATCCTTGTGCCTAGAAACTACCATGACATCATCAAGGAGCGTGTCTATTGTACTGAGTCGTGTCTCTTGAATACTGGCCAACGTCGCACGTCGGACTATCGGGTATAGAGTCTCATTCACCTCTGTCCACTGGGTGACTGTAAAATGACCAGCATCTTTATCAATGGTATAGACATAGTCGAGTTGAAAATGAAGCGGTGTCGGAAATGGAACAGTCTCCCATTTGAACTTGTCGGATATCAAAAGAATCTTGTGGATAGTGTTCAGTGTTGCTTGCGTGTCTGGGCATGAAGAGTGTCCGCGGGGAGGGTGGAACCAACGATACCATTTCCCTACAACGATGTTAGCTTTGGAACAACTCTTGGAGGAAGTCCATACCATCGACATGTAAGTTCCAGAGTCCCCTAGTCACCATCGCCGAGCAAGTCAAATTATGGGATAGGGGTAACTCCTAGAGTTACCGGACTTGTTGAGACTGTAGTCACGTGAACCTGTTTGCCAGTCCAGGACTGTTTGTACTTCTCTCTCTCTTGATTTCCCCAATCTCGATAGCCAGTGCTGTGTTGATCTCTTTCTTTAGCTCCACGGTTGTAAGTGTACCCGCAATTTCGGTGGATCTAGGATTCTCGGCTCGGCTCGCTTCCTAGCATGTCCCCAATTCCCGCTAGGAATCCGTCTAAGCGAGATCCTACCCAGGGAACCCAAATTCAAGTCGATCAACTCGAACGACTTATGCACGAAAAAAGGCACCGGATTTGGGGTTTGTGTTGTACCGCTGCACAAGAATGACTCAGATTGAAGAAGTTTATGCGTCAATACCTTGAACCAGTCAAGATCAGCCTAAACAAGAACAATAGAGCATTCGCTAGCTTGACGTCATTTATAATAAGCTCGAAACCTGAAGATAAGGTATAAGAGTGACTCCTAATACTTCTTAGGCAAGACATATCCCCCAATACTAACAAAGAACTGCATAGCCTGACTCATAAACCCAGTAAGATCCTCCCCCAACCACACAGGCAAGAGGTTTGCCCTGGGCTCCTCAAGCTCTCGGAGATACTTACCAGCGACCTACCCAAATCAAAAGAGAATTAGCATCATACCTCGAGTCATTACTCCATGCAGTAGTTATATCTCACCATAACACAATTCCCCTGCCGCTTCTCATCCAAAGCCACAACTGCAATAGCATCCGCAACTCGACCGGGAGTATTCTTCTCAAGACCCGCCTCATCCCACTTATGCGCAAAGCCCGCGGTGATATGAGTCGGTGTCAAAAACGGCGCGACGGCATTAACCCGGACGCCGTGTGCGCGCGCAACATTCTGACACGCCCGTAGGAGACCCAGCACGCCATGCTTCGACGCGATGTAGGCGGCTACACCTGTTCCGCCGAAATAACTCGATGTGGATCCCACTAACAAGATTGACTTTGTCGGTTGGGGGCATGGGGTGGTAGATGGGGTGGATTTCATATAGTGTAATCCCAAGCGGAGAGCTGTTTCATGTAGACAGATAGACACGTCAGTATGTGAGCAAGATAGAACTGGGATTCAAATCGAGATTTAAATTGAAGAGGATGGGAAACTTCACTGTTCAATGTTCCTTTTAGATTGACATCGATGACCCTCCCCGCTTCCATACTCTCGAGAAGATGTCCATTCTCATCCACGTTGTCCATGTCCAGGACGGACTCGCACTCCATAATACCCGCGTTAGCTATGACGATGTCGACCTTCCTGAAGGTGGTGATTGCCGTTTCGAAGCATGCTGTTAGTTCTGCCCAGTTGACGATATTGGTAGATACGAATATTGCGCGGTTTGGGAATTGCATCTGCTTCTGGATGACTTCTTCGGCGCTATCTCGCAGTTGGGGGAGGTCGGCGAGAACGACATTGGCACCGTGGGAGTTGAATAAGATTGCGGTTGCGGCCCCGATCCCCCGCGCTGCACCGGTTATCAGGACTGTTTTACCGGCGGATTGAGAGAAGGAAGCTTGGTCAAGTTTGACGTCGGTCATTCTGGTTGGTTTACACCGAGCAGATGTAAATATAGAAGGACGAAGAGAGTAAGGCGTTGCAAGTCTAGGTATGAAGATCGACCGATTGTGGACAACTATATTGCGGGGTATGGGAGAAATTGACCAGTTGTACAACGTTGTGGGTCAATGAAGCCAATGATATAATCATGTCTATGTACAAGTGCTAGAATATGTATTTAGAAGCTGCGCACCGTGAACAAAAACCAAAAGACAATCAATCGTTCTTATCCCGATCACCAGGTCTCGATGATGCATACTCGCTCAAATCCGCTCTTGATCCCGTCCGAGAGGGCATTCGTGACTCGGCCATTGACTCTCCTGTGGTTACAGCATGGAAAGAGAAGTCTAATTCACCGACTAAGTCTTTCACGAGGCTAGAATGAATACGCATATTAGCAAATCCGGTCAGGTCTAACAACGGAGTTTGTATAAGAGGCGTACCGGAGTAATCTGTCCATATCACCGACAATGCATCGGGTGGAGATCTGCAAAACTGCAAATGCCGCGAACCCTGGCTCGGCAATGTGCCGGAGGCTGAGAAGATCACTGTCAAGAGCCTGTAGGCGCCTCGTGAAGCTGTACGGGCGGGGTGCTTTGAGATACGGGGGCAGAGGTTGTCGATTCGTAATGCTAGCAGAGAGAAGACAGAGTAAAGACGTGACCTCGTGAGTGGTCACCTTGGCAGTATTGATCAATCGTCGGAAATCGATCATCCAGGTGTTATCGGACTCATCTTCGCCCTCGCCGAGATACATGAGGGTATCAGATGCGTAGCCTAGCAAACTGAGATAGTTCACGATGCTAGAAAGGTAACAGTTAGTACCTGGAATGAAAGGGGGAGGAGATGACATACTTTTCTACACAGAGAATAATCGAATCATACTGTTTCTTGGGGAATCTACCGCCAACCGGAACCTCCCACCGAAGGAACCCAGAGTATGTCCGTAAACCAGCTAGCATAAGCATTTGCTTCGAGAACACTTTGTGTCGCGCTTTCTCAAGTTTGCGACCCGCAGATGTCCTTTTGAGTAGGTATTCACCTTCGTCACCACGCATGCGACCGGAGATCGTCTCGTGGATAATCGAGTAGTAGTTTGCCAGAAGATACAACGATGCTCCTAGACTTTGACGGAGGACTGAGTGCTCAGAGATCGGATATGGGAAGAACGTCCAAATGAATGCGATAGCAATACCGCCTGCCACTACAGCCAGCCGATAAGGCGCCAAAAGGTAAATGGGGTAATAGACCTGTCCATTGGAGGTCGCAATTGCCTCGCCTACTCGGCGAACTTGGAGCTCATAACCGATGATCATGCTTGTAGTGACGATGCTGATGATCCCGACAGCTCGGAAGCGGAACATCTTGATGGGGATGTAGGAGGCAATGGAAACAAAGATGAACAGAAAAACGATAATGCCCGGGGTCCTTTCACCTGGGATATACCACATCAGAAGACTTGCCACCATTGCAAGGAATGTACCAAAAATCCGCAACACGAAACTGAAAATGCTCTGTCCTGAGGTGGGAGACATGCTCATATTGATCATGATCATGGCCCACACTAATCTTTGTGCAGTGAAGAAGACCTGGGTCTGGTGTAGGAAGCCAATTATGGCAACAGTCATGGTGGCACAGGCGACACGGAAGCCGTAGGTCGACTCAAACGAGCGCAGAAACCAGGGGATAACCCGTATCTTGTCTCCAATCCTCTCAAAGAGAGTAGTTGGTGGCAAATGCTCGGGGTCTTTGCGAAGCTTATACGCCTCGCCAAGCTGCAGGATGTTGTTTTGTGTATGAATGTCGCCCATATTATCATCATCAGTGTCCACCGCACTCAAAAAGGACTTGGCCCACTTCCACACTCGCTTACTGCCAGGGATAACGAGCCGAGTTTTCAATAGTTTCCCTTTGGCCTCAACATGATCGGCATACCGGACGAAGTTCAGCACGGTATGGCCGGTCGAGTGCAGCAATTGCTCCATCTGAGGGTGTGTTAGCATCAACAATACTGAGTGACCGCTAGACGAAGACATACATAGAGGAATAGATACAACTGTCGTCGGCTTCGCTCTTGTTCCGTAGCCGAGGTATCTAAAAAATCGGAGTTCAAAATTTCAGGAGAAGTAGGATGATCGAAAAAGTCAGCCGGGAGCGTAACACCCTTTTCCTCTGCCCATGTCTGCAAAGCGAGACGTTTTGCGATTCGAAATTCTCCAAGTTTCTTTTCATAATGCTCGATGAATGCCTTTTGTCCAGGTGCAGTGTTCTCGGCTCTGGCCTCCACATCATTGCCTTCCCCCGTTGAATTGTCACCTGAAGACTTCGCTGCACCTTTTCGTTTGGGTGGTTTGGTCAGCCTGAAAACATAGGACGTATGTAGCAATGCCTCATCAATAGTTTGGATCATCGTCGCGAATGGATCGTGTACCGCTCTCATGATATCATTCCACTCGTGCACAACGCGTTGTCGGATATCCTCTGGGACAACAGGCTCGTTTAAATCAATGGGTCGATTCCATCTGTTATAGTCTGACATTCGCTGAAAGATATCCACCACGAAGCTCAACCCGACAACCGGTATCATAATCTGGCGAAGATGACGAAAGATCGCCTGGATATCATCGGGTCCCAATTTTCCTAACGCGATCTCACGCTTCGCAAATGTGAGATCACCATGGAGTTTGGCGTGGATATCGGTGATCTGTCGGACCGCACCGCGGATGGCTTCTGCCTCGGGACTATAGACCTTTCCCTTCTTGCCAAATTTCTCACGGCCTTCGTCATAGGTTTCTGTTCGGCCAAACATGTCGTCTCTTTCCAATGATTGATAATACAGAGCATGGGCATTCAAGGCTGAGCGAAGCCCGCCAATGTAGGACGCCATTTGTTTGAAGACAACCTGTCGTGACGTCATTGGAAGGATGAATAGCGAGGTTGCTGTTGAAATTGCGAGACCAGTAAAGAATGCTGCAATCAATTTCTTGACCATAGCAAATGCAGCTGTCATGTTATGCATTTGTGGAGCGTATATCGAAGTAACGTTCGCGAAGATTGCGTAAATAATCACGGGGAATTGCAGCTGCGGGTATTTGGCGCGGAAGGTGTGAACCATCCAGATTTGGAAGAACAACCACACAGCACTGACAGCAGATGCGGAGGAGTTGTATTTCTCAGTGGGGTCAGTCTCGGTATGTTGGCGCGCACTGACACTGGAGAACATTGTCAAAAGAGCAAAACATGCTGCTAGGCCGACAGCCAAGATGTCAAAAATCATCATCTGGATGAACTTTGCGCGAGGCATAATTGCGAATCCCAAGATAGAGACGATGGGCACGAGATAGCTCAAGGTCGTGAACTCGTGGGCAACCACCTTGGATTGGCAGCTGGACTAAGGGTCAGGCCGATTCTGATAGACCGGGAACTTCCAAGGTAACTCACATTGAAATGGCTATGGTGGGTGGAAGACCGCCCCTAGAGCAGCTGTTAGATATCCTACTGTACCACACTGGAATTTTTGTCCCAAACTCACTTCAGCATCAGGAGGACGGTGGGTCTGTCCAAGCCCAATTTCTCCCATGTCTTTTTGACGGAATCTAAGAGTGAAGTTTTCTCCTTGCTAGACTCATCTTGCACATCATGCTGTGATGTCGAAGACCCGAAGGATGAGCCCGACTGATTAGATCGAACATGTGCCATATTGACCGGGTTCACACAGTGATGCGCCTTGGCGCAGCCACAAAAGGATCAGGATCTTCAACGCTATTTTATCAGCATCGCCCACGTGACCTCCAGATGATGCAAGGGCAAGAATGTGTGAGATTGAGAAAAAACTGGAATATTATAAAAGGGCAAAGAAGCCGGGAAGTCGGGTTGAAGTCCCGATCGCGGACGTTTGCAGTACACACCCCGCCTTCGAGTGATTGGCTACAGCATGTGGGGGAAGATGCACTCCGCATATAAACTTTGGTGCCTTGTTGGTCAGGCCAACAACCGAGGTCTCTTCTCTTTCTTGGCTTCCCTCTGACAGACTGAATACAATTGCTGTATTTGTTGACCTTTCACTCATAAAAAACCTGCATCTTGAATTACGACAGAGAGAACCCCCAGAGAAACGCCTACACCTATTCCAACTACAACAATTTTGTGATTGTCCCCTACTAAGCCCCCTATGATTGTAGTGACGGTAGCCACACTAGAGTCGTTTCCTATAGCGACTAATATCGCTGCAAGGTATAGCGTAGTAAGGAAGCGTCGATCTTAGCCAAGAGAACACCGGTATCCCCTGTTCGCAATGGTTGCACTACAGGCATCAGCACAGTTATCGCTGGGGGAAGGAGACAGTAAGCAGGAAGATACACGGCGCGTTCCGTTTGAAATATCGACCATATGCAAAGCAAGTTACCTACTTGACCTATCCATACTGTATAATGCGGTACAGAATTTGGTGGCGTGACATTAGATGTGGCTCCAGACCAGGACGACCGTTAAGCGGTGATCGGTATTTTATTTTTCCTCTTAAGTAGATTAGAGGATTACGAATCAGTCGCAACCAGCTGATATCAAGAAATCATACAAAATCCGAAAATCGATCGGCCGCTCCTTCATACATGGTGACTTCGTAATGTAGATATGAACTAACTATAGAGTATTTGTAGCCTAAGAGACCATTATTGTGACCAGATCACATAGTTGTTAACTCCTTATTGTACTGGCTTGAGTGTCACGTACTAAAAGTCCAGGAGTGATTCGAGAGGGGAACCCTGTCACATAGGGCTGTTAACGGGCCCTCGCCAGGAACTCGAAACCAATGTCAAGAGCGACATCTTTCACCACCATAGCTGTATGTACTAGTGCGAGGCTGTTTCGTATACATAAATGCGACGGTAGAGTGCACCTCAGACAATCATGATGTAGTAAAGGAGCCTTGCATCCCGAGGTCCTTCTAGGCATCAAAGGACCAATAAAACAGCCCATGTGACCATTGACATGTGCCGTGGCCGCCCAAACACCCTAGGCTGCAGGATGCTTATAATTACCGATTTCTGCATGTAGCGGTGGTTGTCTAATGTCTGCTCTGCTACATCGAATTTATATGAAAAACAAGTGTTGGGATGATAGTCAATATCGGTCGCACGCTGTACACGTTCACCAAAATGTGGATTGTTTCTTTCTTCGCCGCCAAAATAGGTAGATCGGCCAATCTCTCTGTTCGCATGATGGGGTGTTTGAATGGAAGACCTTGCAGTTCCGACAGTTCTTTGAGTTTCTTTTACCCGTCTGAGTAGTCGAGGAAAAAAGAGGGGAGGTATACAAAGATAACACAAATGACACCAAAAAAGCAACGAACAAAGAGATAAAAAGATATAGTCGAAAGAATAGTTGACAAGTAGTGACAACGTCGTATCATATCATCCAGACAGTGCTCCTCCTATACAGTGAATAGAGATAAAGCAAGAAAGATTACTCCATAGATTCAGAGTGGTTTAGCAATTACTGCCTGGGTTTATAGGAACCCATACAACAGCCCGTGAGATAGAGGGCTAACAAAGGAGTAGCAAACAAGCGCTCAATCTGACAAACAATCAAAGGACAGTCCGAAGACGGTCCGATATCCAACACTTCCTACAAGATCTACATGTACATTAGTACATTATAGAAGTCCCAAACGGCTTATATGGAACCGAGGCCGGGGTGTAACCTTGAAACCACTCATGATTAGTTGCAAATACCATTTAAGGTTGTGCTATCTAGAGTCTATTATACGCCGTTATCCCTCCAAGGGATATGTTGCGTTCTTCGATCTTCCGATTCTTCGTACATTATAATAGTGTCCCGAAGTCTGCACTATACATAGTCTGTCTACCTAGTGAATTTCGAATGTGAGATTGAAGACATGGATGTAATTGATTCAAGGTTAATGTGAAAAACGGGTGCTGCTCTAGTTCTACACATGTATGATTCCAACATATAGACAGCCACAGCCCAACAAATCTAACGAAACACTCCTTTCACTCCGGCCATTTCAGATACTCCGACTTGTTTCTTGACTATGGGTTCTGATACTCCGCGGCATTTCGATGGGCGTAAATACTCACACCGTTCGAGCATGAGAAGTCTGCCCGGAAACAAAATATAAACAACGAATTCCAGGCGCTTTTTGAAAATCTTTCCTTAACTTCACCCCCTCTTCGTTGAAAAACAAAAAGGAGACAGCCCGAAAATGATTTCCAGCGCAATATTTGAGAACAAGGCCATCGCCATGATGGCATTCCTCTTTGTGGGATTAGCCGTTGGCACTCCAATGAATCCTCACGGAAACATCACATCTCAGGATGACGACCAGTAAGTAAACAGACACGAACTTGCCCTTCTTTTTATCCCTCTTCCTGTTTGCACATTCACAATCGAGGGCCATCCTAACCCTGGTTCCAATCGCAGGGCCAGCCACGGGAACAACACACACAACCCAACCGCAGGCCAGGCCTTTGGGGGTGACCTAACCTGGTATGAAACCGGGTTGGGAGCATGTGGCTGGTTTAATAACGGGGGAGACCACATCTGCGCCGTGTCTCATATTGTCTTTGACCGTGCGAATGTAGACGGTAACCCCAACCACAATCCACTCTGTGGCCGGTTGATCCACATTCAACGGGGCGACAGAGGCATAGATGTCACTCTCGTGGATCGATGTGAGGGGTGTGGGGAATTTGACGTCGATGTCAGCCGTGGTGTTTTCGAGCAACTCGGTAACCTCGATGAGGGCCGGGTTCACACTGATTGGTGGTGGATATAGATAGAGCCATTGTTTGGTACTCCTCCCTCGGGAGGTCATTGTCTGTGAGGCGGGCCCTGAAGGCTGACAGATGGATAAAAACAGGAAGGAAGGGATATATTTTAGACAGTCATTTCATGTACCAATCTAGCGGCCTGATTCTTTAGTATTCGGGCCACGAGGAATCCACTTGTTCTTTCCATGATCGTAGTCCTCCACGAATGTCACCAATGAATCTCTTCCCATTCTGATCTAGTCCTAGGTCTTTCAATTTCTTGACGACGATTTGCGAGTCGTTCCCTAGGCGGCAGACGACGTAAATTGGATTCGTAGATTCAGGCGAGGCAACCTCGGACGGTAACCAAGAAGGTATTTGTGCAGCTTGTTGTCCATTGTCGGTCCCCTGTGACCCAGCAGAATACCCCGAGGAAAGGATGTTAGAGATAGGAATGTTGATGCTATTCTCCAGACTGCAGATTCCAAATTGAGCTTCGTCTCGGACGTCAATTATCGTGTGGGGCTGTGACGAAGCGGATGGGACGATTGGGTGTCTTTGGCTGTATTCCAGAGCAGAAATACGTTCCTCGGGACCAAGTAGGGAGGGCAGGTTTGCAGATCCACAAAAGAACAAATAGTCCATTGAGCCTGATTTGATTGTATCCAGAGTGACAGTTGCGTCGGCAGAGCACACAGCACAATTCGCCCGGCGCGAACGAAGACGGATTGTGCGGACTAGGGGCGATGAGTAGGCGGAGAATATATGCAGAGACGGGGGGTCCCGGGGACGAGCTGTAATCACATCTGGACCTCCATCAATCTCAGGTGCAGTAATGACATTGATCGCCTCCAGGGCCTGCAAGACGCCCATCGTCCCAACAACCGGCCCAATAATACCCCCGTCTGCACAGCTGACCACGCTATCGGCTGGTGGTGGTTTGGGGAACACACACCGATAGCATGGCCCTCCATCCTTGTCACCGGGCGCTCGGGGTGGGTTGTTCAACACCATCAACTGGCCCTCGGTGCGCAGGGCAGACGCAGAGACCAATGGTTTTCCAAGAAGCACTGCAGTGTCTGAGATCAGGTAACGAGTCGCCGGGTTATCGGTGCAATCGAGAATTAGATCATAGTTCTGGAAGATGGCGGGTGCCCCCTCTGGAGTGAGGTGTGTGCGATGCGCAATGTACGTGGGATGCGGATTCAGTCTAGCGAATGTCACAAAAAATGGTCAGCGCCCAGCTCGATCTTCCTACTCGGATGCACTCACTCTCGCAACGACTCAATTGCACTGTCCACCTTGTAATTACCCACATTCTTCGTTCGATGTAGCACTTGGCGATGGAGGTTCGACACTTCAACTGTATCCCCGTCGATGAGCCCAATAGTGCCAACGCCAGCACCAGCGAGATACTGCGCAGCTGGACATCCCAGTCCTCCGGCTCCAACAAGTAGAACCTTGGCCGAGCGGAGTTTGAGTTGACCTGTGGATTCAGAAAAAAACGCGATCAGTCCCACTGCTCAAGGGGGGTACTTCCCAACTTCCACCGCCAAACGAAGCCATCACTTACCTTTGAGACCAACTTGTGAAACAATCATCTGCCGTCCATATCGCTTATATTCCTCTGGAAGCAAGGGCCATCGTCTTCCTTCGCCATTCCCGTCCTCGCGCTGGATTTTCACAGTCGTGGCGGTTTCCGATTGCGCCGCTTGTTCGGCGTTTGCAAGGTCGTGTTTCAGCCCAGCAAGTTGTGCTTCTGTAGCGTTGATCTGGGCGCGCAAAGAAGCGCATGTTTCGTCGAGGGATGCCATGTTGATTGTTGGCGTCAACGCGTGTAAAAGGAAAATGACGCGTGGGGGAAATCTCAAAGTTCCCCGCGGTATTTATTGTGGGGCTCTGCGGACGAGATTGTGTAGAGGTACATGAGCTTATATTTTATTCCAACGTCGAAATGAATTCCAAGCGCTTATATGCTTATATGGAGTGTTTATGTATTTATCTCTCTCTCTATACATGCCAATGTAGCATTCTTTGACCCGCGGATATCTCAATATGGAGATGTAGACCCCCATCATCCAGCTCACTCCTTGTGCTCACTAGTATTTGGAGTCTTCTCAGTCTCCGTAGCTTCTGCGCTCTCTTCATGCATAACTTGAGTCTTTTGCAAGGTGTGTTCCACATCAGCACGTCTCTGCTGCTCATCAACAGCACCGAAAATGAGATCCATCTCCTCCAGAGTCCGGCCCTTGGTCTCTTTGAAGAATATGATAACGAAGATACACATGGCAGAACAGAAAATGCCAAACATGAGGAAAGTCCTCCAACCAATCTTGTTGATAGCACGAGGGGTGATCTCAGTGATGACGAAGTTGAACAGCCATTGCGTGGCGGCACCGAAACCGACACCGTAGGCGCGAAGGCGAGTTGGGAAGATCTGTCGGAAAAGAAACAAAGTTAGCGACTGCGATGTGTAAGGATATATATTCGAATGAATAACTCACCTCACCAAGATACACCCAAGGAACTGGTCCCCAGGATGCTGAGTATCCAATGACATATAGATAAATCATTGCAACCATGGCGATGGAGGCCGGTGAGACGGATGCGGCGTCCTTAACTGGGGGATTAGTAGCCAAAACTGCTCCTATGATGAACATCATGCTAGCCATCCACACAGCACCACCAATCAAACTCTTCTTTCGGCCCCAGCGATCAATACCGACGATCAGGAAGACACCTGTTGCAACCACCTTGACTGTTCCGTAGATACCAGTGGCAAACAATGAGGTGTCTGTCTTGCTCAATCCGACCTATAATCATGGAAAAAGTTAGGCTCGGACTAGTTTGAAAAACATGGGTATAGAAACGCTGTGATGTACTCACGCTGGCAAAGATCTGAGGAGCGTAGTATCCAATGCTGTTTGTTCCGGAGAACTGCTGCCAGAACATCAGGAGGAATGCGAGGAAGAAGCGGTATCGGTTGCTTGGCTTAAGACATTCCCTCCAGGTCAGACCCTCGGTAGCCTGCGCTTCCTCGTGGATAGCAGCCGAGATTTCAGCAAACTCTAGTACAACAGCCTCGCTGGTTTCAGGCTCATTGCGAATGTAAGCGAGCGACTTCAGTGCCTCGTCCTGGCGTCCCTTAGACAGCAACCAACGAGGAGACTCTTTGAGGAAGAACAACCCGATAAGCATCAGACCACCTGGGACAAGCTGAATGCCAACTGGGATACGCCACTGGCTTGTACCCTCGGGTACATGAAGCGCCACACCATAGTTCAACCAGTAGGCGAAGGTACTGCCGATAACTAGGAATTCCTGGAAGAGACCGGCAATACGGCCACGAGTTGCCGGGGGGCAGTTCTCACTGACGAACACGGGTGTGATACTAGACATACCACCGACACCAAAGCCGGCGATAACACGTCCGCCATAAATTAGGCCAATGTCATGGTGAGCTGCGACTTGGACCGAGGCTCCAACAAGGAATATCACAGCAAAGATCATTAGCGAGTACCTACGGCCCAGTCTATCGTTCAGATAAGCAGCAAAGATGGCACCGAAGAAACATCCTGCGGTGAGTAGCGACACCACGTTGGAGGAGATATGAGCGTTCTTTTCATCGCTGAATCCGGATGAATCAACGGGGAGGCCGAAGTCCTTTTTGAAACTTGAAAGGGCCAGGACTGAGCCCATAACACCCGTATCATAACCTAGGAAGAGCATCTATCAGTGAAATTCTGTGACCAGGTTGACCAAATCCACCAACCGAAGAGCAGGGAGCCCAGATAGGCCACCGAGGTCAGGATGTAGACCCGATAGTTCTTGAAATTGACGAAACCCATCTTGACTAAGACTGGATGATCACCCCAGTCAATATATCAGCAGAATCAAGATTGATAAGAATTGACCCTAGGAGAAGTCTGCCGTAACAGAGAAAGATAGAGAAGAAAGAAAAAGAGCCATTGAGGTCGGATAGCATACGCATTTATACACAACGTGGAGATCAGAGGGTGTAATGCCAAGCGGCGAGAGAAGCATCACAAGTAATCTCGTGGCTTCCTTGTAATCTCACCACACTGATAGACCTCGGGAGCTACCAAGTTCGACAGTCCGGGGGCTGCGGGTGTGGAGACTGGGGAAGAAAATGGGGAAATTAATGGCGGGGGAATACGGGGGTCCCACTGGATGACAATATCATCTGGTCCTCCACCCATTAGGAATGCCTAGGCTCAGGGTAGATGGCTTGATACCTTGCTCGCGTGGAAAGGTGATTGGCGTTGACATGGACGGGATGGCTTTTAGTGGGAGCGACGGCTATTAAAGTGCGGCAATCGGTGATTGGAAGAATTATATCCACGTTTTTTCCTTCTCCACAAGATCGACTTGTAGTGATTATAAGATATGGGGTTCGCTCTAGTTATCGGATGTGAACTAATTTTATCTTGTTATATTTCTGTTCTGAGTATCTACTTGATATGTCGATCATCGAACAGTATCGATGTTCCTTGCAAGATTCTCAAAGGCCGTCGGTGATTGTCTTCAGTTGCCGATGCCAGGGTGCTTTTGCAGTCCTAACCATTTATAAGGGACACCCTCGGGCCAGAGAAGTTAGTTATCGTACATTCAAGCCACATCCTCTAGCCATTGGTTGGACATTGTTTGAGTTGTCAATGGCTTTTGTTGTCTGGTCGGGGTGGAAGTGGGAGTTTGGTTCTGCCGAGACTCTTTGCCGAGCTCCAACGGCAAGCTTTTCAATTCGTGCAACGGCGGTGGTGTTAGTTGGCGAAAATCGCGGTAGTCCGGCAATTAAGACTGCCGCCAGCACATCAGAAATGGAAAGGGTGTCGAAATCTCGAAAACCCCAGTGGACCTTGCTATAAATCCTATTACTAAGAGCTAATAGGCGAAAATCTTATATATGGGAGTGATAGCAATGACAATATGATCAACTATGTGACCCTCTGGTTGTATCCTTGGAGTCTGAACGGGTGCCTTGGATCATCTGAACCAACCCCCCAAGTGGAGGAAAGGAAAATAACGACAAAAACGAGAGAAACAATAACAGTAGAAGTTGCAGGTAAACCAAACCAAACCAAGCCGAGCACTTCTGTTGAAGATGCCTCAAAAAAAGCCGCTCCTATCATGTTGAAGTGTAGCTGGCATTGAAAGGTAGTATTCAATACACTGGTGGCAGTTCAGTCGTTTCATAGACCTCCCCATTCCGGTAATCATGAACATCCAGAAGCACCCGAATCACGAAATTCGTGTTAGCCGAGTGTGAAAATATTCCATGCACTACCTTCCATTGGGTTCGGAGGGCGTCCATCTGATAATAGGAATTATCTGTCTCCACTCGATACGACATTGTCAAATCATACAGGTTCAATCCATAACCACCACAAGACATCATATGTCGGATGACGTCCCGGAATGATGCGCCCGTTCTGCATAATCGAGGATCTTGTGTCATCATCGGATCTGTCGGAGGGAGCACTTTCCCATTATGTGCGATACCTGTGAGGACGCGGCACAAATTCATGTTCCTGAGTGTGTTTCGGTTCCTATCCCAGGTTACCTTTACCTGAATTGGGGCAAGGTCGTTGGCACTCTCCTCTAGAGATACAGAGGAGCATTGCTGAGCTATCACAAGGTGGTTTGGTCTTGGTATTGTCCCTGTCGGCATATTGCTGTCGTATATGATAGCCTTGTTTGACGAGGAGACAAAGAATCCCAGGGCCTTTTCCCAAGATTTCATATAGGGGATCAATGAAACATAACCCAAGATTGTCCAGCAGCGATCGAATTTGTCATTCGGCTCATTTTTCCAAGATATGAGCTGGGGTCTAGGGTGGCAAACGTTGTCCAGCGGGATATCGAGCTCCAGCATCGCGCTTAGTTCACCGCGATATCTCCTTGTGCGGTGGAAATTATGCAGATCACTGGACATGATGTGTGTGCTCCTCAAAGAAGCGTGCTCCTCCGACTCCTGGGGGCGTTGCGGCCAAATCTCGTAAGGGTCTACGATACAGGATAATTCTTTGCCATCCTGAATGAGGTGACTTATCTCAACTTTGAGTGAGATTGTCTGCTTATGTGGTGCCTTGATCCAGGTCTTGATGACAGGCCAGGACAAAGCGAAATTTCTGAGGTCGTGTTTGTGCTGAAGTCCAAGATACACGGCAAGTTCTGCCTCATCACGGGAGTCACGTAGGAACTTTCTAAAGTTGTCAAGGTCGTCAAATGTGCGATCCGGATGGTTCGCCGCACTTTCTCCAGTGGGCCATGGTGCCTTTACTCTCCGAAACTAGCCGTTGTCAAATGGGGACAATATCTCTGTTTTCTCACCGCACCATGAGGCTCCACGGGGACCTGTGGATATTGAGATGAAGTTTCCCTGGGCAATGTGTCACCAAGATTTAGGGGAAGATTCTTTTCCTGCTTCTCAGGGTGAATATGTGGTATTCTGACAGCAGCACTTAGTCGTACCTTGATTAGATTGATCCTGGCTGACTGCCTTTGCGGAACTTTCATATCCCTGGACTATGGAATCTTGAGTTAGTGACATCGTCTCAAATTCATTTGGAAAATAAACCTTCCTGGACGTTGGGTCTTCAGAAGGCGACTCGGGCCGCTTTCTCTTGCCCTTGTTATCAGTTGGATGAACACTAGACGAGGGGCCTGTTTCTGAACTCATAATTGTACTGTTAGGAATCCTGCACTATGGGATAGATAATTGGTGATTGTCTCCAGAAGGTTTCTAGCCAAGGAAGATAATCTGACATCCACGTAGAGTGTTTCTGGTAGGTGAGAAAAGAATAGTCCGACACTATGAGAGGCCAAGTGTGGTTCTGTGCAAGGTGCAGAAGGTACACAGGAACCAGATCAAACCACAGTTGTTTGTCATGTAATCTTGAGCAGTCATATTAGCTACATGGATGATTTGAGTCTTACTGTTTTTTGAATTTGTTCATCTGTTGCAAAAAATCAGATGTAATATATATTGCGCTCACCTCAGGAACGGTATCCCCAAGGTAACTCTAGCCCTATGTTCCGCTTCCTTCTCGTTGAAAAGGACAGGTGTGGATTTGTAGAGCGTATGGTATCCGTAGAAACTGAAACAATATTTGTGTCAGCCATCTAACCTGCCTTGACAGATGAGTCGATATCAAACGCAAAGAACGACAATTGGGTGATATTGCCCATGAGTCCCACCATGAAAAGAGCCCACACTAGTAATTCCCATGAGCATACTAATGCCCACATTCCTCCACGTTGTCCCGGCATGGTTTCCATGGTGTGAGGATAAGACATGCGATGGCACATAGTATTGCACAGAGTAACGCAACGTGTGTGGGCCATATAAATCCAATATTTGGAGCGGCCAACAGAATAATCAGGACGCAAGATTACTCCAACCATACCATCAGATGACCGCGAAGATAAATTGATAGCATAATCAAGTCATTGAATCAAGAATGACCAATATACCCACACTTTATGTCAAGGCGGCAGTTCTTCGGGGATATGAGACAGGGAACCAGAAGGTGCTGGGTTCCCGGAGTTTTTTCCCTAGGCTTTTTATTAGATTGAGCAATTATCTGCTACCACATACAGTCGCCCAGAGCAATCATCAGTGCAAACCAGTGCTTTCATCGACTCCATCCTGAAACACTGCCAAAAGGGTAATGAAGACACACATAGCAGAGGTTGTTGCATGCCACACCAAATTCCTATTATTGATTACTATTGATACCTAACATTAAGTAGATCATATTCCTCGCACTTGGACCTCAGTGATACTCTCGCAAGTGAACTGCCAATAGGCAATCATTACAGACCTCAACACATAACACCACTGAATACGAGCAGCCCACACGCTACCCAAAATCCCAGGCATAGCTCCAAGTTATAGCGAGGTCGCCTGCGTTCAAGCTTGCCTGAACAGTAATCCTTGTCGCGAGATCGCAGAGCGCACGATGAACTAATCACGCGTCGTCTCATAGGACTCCTTGTCGGCTTTCCGTTTCAACATTCGTCGATACGCAAAGAGTGCTATGATACCGACCACGACGAGAAAGACAATACAGAAGACAAGCACGACCCCGCGATTCCTATTTGCCCAGTTGCCCTTGTGGCCGCTTCTTTGGAAGATCGAATGGAGAGACAGGGATGCAGAGCTGGTGTGGTGGATTATTTTGGCCGGTGCCATGTTGTTGGAAAGGCTGCAGATCAAAGGTGGATTTCTATTTCACAGCTTAGTCGCCGGTCAGACAATGCACTCAGATGCTCATTCACGCAGATGAATCAACCACCCGCGATCGAAAGGTATATGCTCACTGAATACTGTGGCTTTGCGGCTATATCAACCGACGACTCGACTATACACAGGGAATATCAGCAACGGCCCAGGTCTCGTTGTATCAGAACTACATGAATGGAGTGACGATTGTTGTCATTGACCAGAAAGAAGTTTGGACGAAATCAACGATAGGAAGGAACGTCACAATGGCGCGGGGATAGACAGGGAAAGACACCTACTATCACACCAATAACAAGACTATCGAGAGAGACGGATCTGTACCCAATGATATCAAGACTGGCAGAGTTCAATGGATGCTCAGCGATCACTCTAGCAGACGATGGTGATATTGTTGGGTGAATCTTGAGACAAGTGATCAGGCTCACTCGTATGGGGTTCGTTCATCAGAGGAACATCCGGCACACGACGGACAAGGATCATTGCCAATCAATGATGGCGACTGCCCTGGTGCCTTGCATCGTGCCTGGCCGACCTATAAGCTGAGACAGGCTCCCAATCTGATTGGATTCCCGATGATTCTCTACCATGGCTATTGCATTTAGAAAACTAAAGATGCCAGAAAGCAAGCTCCGTGAAGCTCCGATGTCGAAGAGCGAGCTCTCCCCACATGTACATGCCCATGTTAAGCTGCAAGGTCGATGTACTTTGACGACTCACAATTTAGATAGCTTGCGCATACAAGAAGTTTGGGCTCAAGCGTGTTGAGACAACCCCATGTGGCACAACGACATCTAACCACAAATGTGCAACTCTGGACACCCGTCCCGGTAGGGCTGCGTCACCTATGAATCATCCAGGTGTTCTACACTGGGCTCGTCGGGTGCCTGGTGAGAACCCGATCTGGTGTGACTGGGATGTTCTGGAGAATGGGGCACAATGCCTCTCGTATGTATACACAGGGGTAGGCAAATTGTTGGACTTGCAGCCGACTTGAACAATGCCGGCCCTGCAGAGCGAAAATCAAATATATTGTTTCGGTAATGACTTTGTGCGCATCACACCTTGGAAACTGTGTTTTGACGTCATATCTGGTAGCATGAACCGGGTCACTTATTGAAAACTTTCAAATGCTACTATTATCATTCATTTTGTCACCAATAATATTGGGGGAAACTACATACAATCAGATGTTCCTGTTGATTCGCAGATCGACGGTAAATATACCTATTTGCCTGAGGCACCAACTCTTAGCCTTCACCGAAGAGGAAAAAGATCGCATCTCAGATCCAAAGATAGTACATAGTGACCGATTTCAATTATGGTTCACTCCTGTCATGAACCCTGCAATATCGTATCCTTATGCCGTTAATCGTGTTCTATCCCAAGATGGTCTCCCGAAGGACCCTAATAATGGGCACTATGTTGATCGTCTACTAGCTACTACTAGAACGGATGCGATTTACTCCGTATCATAATCATAATTCTAACGTGAAGCCTAGGTAAGTAAGTGGAAATTAAACCTAGACCCCCTGTCAGCAATCCGACTCCTCCACCAAGCATTCTTGTCCCGCAGCCCTTGGTAGTCCCTGTCCATCTCTACTCAATGGTGCCCCAACCTGTGAAAGACCAGAGAAAGAGAACAACTAACTCCATATGTGTTGCCTTACAGATATTACTATCCATTTATCTTTGTCCTCCTCCACAATACAGCAGACGATCCGATGGTGACAGTTTAAATTTTTCCTGAAGGCCCATCACCTCGTATTCGGCCCACAGGGCACCAATCACCGTTCTCAGCGGACAATATGGCTGCAAGCCGAGACTCCAATATGCAGTATTCGCAGCATGGGGACAGAAATAGTTAAAGTATTTGGATTTAGACTATTTTAACAGGGATAGTACGAAGTATGAGGACTGCTGCACCCCGTATTCCATGAAATGGTCAGCCACCATGTGCCAGTCATTAAGTTGCATTGTAAATTCACGCCATACGTCCGCTACATGGAGGTCGTTAGCATACCTCGAGATCAGCCTCCATTTGTGACAGTCTTTGCCTATGACTACGTGGTGAAGCAGTTTGATTCTCCTATCCTCACGGTTAATTCACACTGGAGCGATCTCCCTTGAGATGCGCTAGACACCGTGTTAATCTGCATCTAATTTAGCTCCTCGGTCTTCACCCGCCTACTCCCCACACGGTATAGATCGCCCACTGCAGTTATCGCAGGGTCCAAAACCAGGGGCTTTGACTGGTTCCACGCATAGGCCAGGAGAGACCCCACCACGGACGAGGCTCATTTCAATACGAGGTTTATTCTCCCCGAATGGACAAGCGATTAAAATATATGGTGCCTGCGCATCCTGTATATTACTGACATATTCCCCTCTCACCTGTCTAGCAGCTGAAAGTCTAATCCCAACGCTCTTATTATTCTCCTTGGGTTCACTTTTCAAGATACCTCGCCATGATGTTACCACCATACGCACTTTTCCTAATTCCCCTGGCAAACGCATGGACCTTCCGCACCACCAACGCAACCGGTGCAACTGAAATCGCCCGCGGCGAAGAGGAACAGCAATGCACAAACTCCACCATCGGTAAAGGAAAGCTGTTTACCTGGGATCCTGAGGGATCTGATCTATGTGTCTCGATATACCGCGACATCGAGTGTGTTTCTAGAGCAGGATACTCTTGTGGAATCTGGAGGAAGAATGCCAGTGAGCAGTTTTTGGCTTTCGATGTCCTGCTCGAGAGCGAGATTAACGCCAAACACAAAACCTCTACGGCTTTGATATCGACGTCTACATCGGCAACATCATCCAAATCCACATCCACATCCACATCGCCAACGTCATCGTCATCTGTGGCTGCGGCATCCGCGTCCGCAACCCCCACCGAGTCTAGCGCAGCCTCTGCCGTGAATGCCAACAGCGATCCCACTAGCCCATCACTCTCCGGGGGTACTATTGCAGGCATTGTGGTCGGTGTGATAGCTGCTGTTGCCATCATCGTCGCCTTCATCGTCGTCTTCATGCGAAAGAAGAACAACAAGAATGCCGCAGCTGCTAACCAGGATGGTGGTTTCGGGCCACATGAGGTGGATGCTACTGAATCATCGATGGGCGGTACTACAGTTGCAGAAAAGGCAGGAAACTCAATTGCGGAGAAAGAAGCAGAATCGGTGCGCCGATTCAGACCTGCGCCTGGATCTCAGGTTGTAGAGTTGGTTGGTGACGAAGGGAGTGCCGAACTGGGTAGCAGCCCAATCAGTGAGATGGATGGGACCAGCGCAAAGCGGCCGTTTAACGTGGTCTAAGAGCTCATGCCTGGATATGTGGCTTTTTGTCAGCTGAAGTTGTTTTTTGTGTTGATATGTATTTGATCGAGTTCTTTTAGCAGCGAGCGAGTTTTGGGGCCTTTTTTTTCATCTGGATTTGATGTTGGTATACCAGCACTGTGTTTGGAATAATCATACATGAATAGCAATATTGAAACGTGCAGTATGGACGAAATGTTTCATGGAATATACATTGAATAACTTTCTGGAAGATATCACAGGCTACACACTTTCCCCTACTACCAAGAAATATAGGACTCAGGGTTCAAAACCCCTTTTGTAGGTGGAAATTGATGCCTGAATGCCTTATTTAGCACCATATTTTACACCGCTCTATAACTATAGTGTATGGTAAATTTATTAATACTACAGCTGCCAAAAATGAAGCTTTTCATCTACATACAAAGTGAGATATCTCCACTTTCTTAGACGGTTTACAAGTGTCAAAAATGCAAATAAAGGAATTTATACAGGAGGAATCGAGAGCAAAAGCTTTGTTTTTAACCGCTAGGAATATAGAGATCAAAGGCTTCAATTTTGACACATACAAATCGCTTAAAACATGGAGATACTACCATCTGTATAAGATCAAAGCTTCATTTTTGGCAATTGTAAACGTCTGCGGAATCAGGCTACTTTGATTACTAGTTAACTAGTTAGTTAAGGCAAATGTAATAGAAATTCAGGTAACTAGTTATTTTAACTTTTCTGCCGTTCTAAAGTCAGGCACTCAGGCATCAAATCATCTAAACGGGGGTTTTGAACCCTGGGTCTTATATGTCTTCGTACTACGGGCTGATTTACGAGCTCGTAAGCGTATAAGACGCGATAAGGATATATATAATTATTATTAGGGAGAGAATAGAATTATACAATCTTATTTTTTATTAAAATAATCTTAGAGATATAAATGAAATATAGAAGTATATAAGGAAAATTGCATAAATTATGAAGGTTATATGCTCTACAATTCTACTCCACTTTAAAAACCAATTAGGGCCCTATAAACCACTGCGGTTTAAAAGTAAAAACCCATAAACCATTACGGTTTATAGACCTCGCCCCAAAACCCGCCCCAATTGCGGTTTATGGCGAAGTCTAATTATAGTATAGTTACTTAATAAATATAAAGGAATCTATATAAACAATGTATGTTTAAAAAGGTTATAACGCTTAGTATATTTAGTATATCTTATATCTACTAGATATCCTTAAATATCTAGAGGATATTAGGTGGCATACTATATCTACAAAATTGAGGATTGCGGATATTGGGTGACCTACCATATCCACAAGTTCCGGAGAGGATATGCGGATATCTATGGATATCGAGGATGTTGCCGCAGCCTACTCAACATTACTGTGAGAAAATATATAAGTTATACATTTCGAATCCTTAGCATATTTATCTAGTTTATAACCTAAATTAGGGCCCTGGACCTAGTACTAGGTTGAAGGGTTAGACCTAAAACCCAACCCAGTCTGGGTTGGGTCTGGTTTTTACTAGGTCGTGCGGAAGACTACGTGCGTAGCTGGCTTACCGAATACGTTATCCAAAGGGGGGGGGGGGTACAAATATCAATCCCCTAAGTAAACCTAGCGATTTAGTATACTAATTTAGTATAGCAATTTCACCTTAACTGTCGTCCCTGTATACAGTCGCACTCCTCCGCCTCGTCCCTGTAGCCGTAGCAAAATGCCCGGCTTTGTGACCTATCTACTCGGCTCCCTCAGCGTGATCGTAATCGCCCGCTTGGTCTTCTCACTCGTCAAACGCCCCTCGCTTCCTCTGCCGCCAGGACCGAAGCCCGCACCTTTGATCGGAAATATTCACCAGCTCCCCAAGAGCCTCCAGTGGCTGGAGCTCTACCAGTGGAGCAAGAAATATGGCCCGGTGATGCACCTCAGCATGGGCGGACAGGCGCTCATCATCCTCTCGACCCACCAAGCAGCACACGATCTCCTCAACCGCCGCAGCTCGCGATACTCGGACCGCCCACGCATGGTCATGGCCGGAGAGCTAGTCACTAGGGGCCTGCACATGCTCCTCCGACCATACAATGACCAGTATAAACTACACCAGAAGATGGAGGCACCGCTCCTCAACCTACGCGCTGCGAGTAACTACCGCCCGATACAGGACCTCGAGTCACAGCAACTGCTATGGGACGTCCTAGGCGAGTGGGATAAGTTCGGCGACAAGGGAGTAGACTTCCACCACCACTTCAGGCGCGCAATGGCCAGCACGATCTACTGCCTGATTTACGGCTACCGACTCCAAACGGGATACGAGAAGGAGTTGATAGACGCCAAGCGTGTGCAGGCAGAGTTTGTTCGCATCGGGCAGGTGGGAGCATATTTTGTCGATACATTCCCGGTGTTGAATTACCTGCCCAAGTTTCTGGCGCCATGGAAGAAGGAGGGCGAGGAGCTGTTTGAGCTGGAGCGCCAGCTGCATATTGGGAACTTGAAGAAGGGCCTGAGTAACGGTAAGTGGAACTTTGCGAAGCATATGAAGGACTCGCCAGAGGCTGCGGGAATACCGGAGGTTGAGGTCGCATATGATCTGGGGATCCTTGCTGATGCTGGGTTGGATACTTCGACTGTTGCGTTGGACTGGTTTATCGTGGCTTGGATTACGTCGGGATCGCGTGGGTGGGTGAAGAAGGCGCATCAGCTGCTGGACGAGGTGGTGGGCAAAGACCGCTTGCCAAGCTTTGAAGACCGCCCCAAGCTGGCATATATCGACGCTATTGGTAAGTTTTACTTGTTTTGATTTCAATAATGGACAAAGTCTGACATGACATGATACAGCGTGCGAGACCCTCCGCTGGCGCCCGGTCGTCGTCCAGGGCGTGCCACATTTCACCAAGATCGAGGATGAGTACATGGGCTACCACATCCCCGCCAACTCAATTGTTCTCCCCAACGCATTTGCTATCACCCGCGATGAGACCGTCTTTGGCGAGGATGTCGACAACTTCATCCCGGAGCGGTGGCTCGTCGAGGAATCTGACAAGGAGTATACCGACGTCTGCGGCTTGAAGACATCCGCCCTTAAGGATCTACCGCAAACGGGGTTCGGGTTCGGGCGTAGAGTCTGTACGGGCCGTCTGATTGCGCGCAACCAACTGTTCATCCAGATGGCGCGCATGCTGTGGTCGTTTGATGTCGAGGCTGGCGTTGTGGACGAGGACACGGGAGCGAGACATGAGGTCCATGATATGGACTGCACAGAGGGCTTTGTGACCCTGCCCAAGCCATTTAGGTCTGCGATGCGTCCGAGGGGGCAGTGGGTGCGTGATGCGATCCTGAAGGCGGGCACCACGCATAACCTGGATCACTCCGCCATTTTGGAGGCGGCAAAGATTGCAAAGTCATAAGAATGAATAGATTACTTTTTGTAATCAGATGGCACATATGGGCAGCCACAATCTCTCGACTAACCCCTGCACACACTTGCCGCTGACGACAACTAGTGCGATTGAATCAACATGATTCCCATACATTCGGAGCCCACAACGATTTTCGGATTCTGCCATCGATTTGGCAGATTTTTCGGTTTCTGCTATCAATTGGTCTGCCCATTCATGTTCGATGCCTCAGACATCAACGCCTAGTTGGGACAGATTCCATAGGTAGATAGTTTGCTCTCACATTAATGCCATTCTCGATTATCTACACCCTATACATTCATTTTTGATCTCAATGATACAGTCTTCCCTTTATCGAACCAGAAGGAACATCCTGTGCCGCGGTGGTTAAGGCAAGACATCCAATGTCATCGTCAGGTTGAACATCTCTAAGCCATAATTTCGTATCTCGCAGATTCTTCGACCATTCGTCTGAAGACCATGTAGAGGATCCGACGATTCCTTCGATCTTGTTCTTCAACAAGGCAACGGAGATCGATCCCAGAAGATCAGGGGTGATTGTTATGAGGTGGAGATGGGCGCCGACCAGAGCAAAGCAGAAGATAACCACAGAGCAAATGATTAACACAGCGAGCCATGGACGGTTACACCTAACGATATTTTGCAGATGGGTATTTTTGGCCTTCAATTTGATGGGGCTATCCTTGATTGGGCCTGTTTCGATTTCCGTCATGTTGACAGCGCCTGTGAATGCCGACGGGCTGATTCCTAGATAAAGTACGGAATTGAGGAGCTGTAACAGACGCGTCCCAAAGGCTTTCGCGGTTGTGGTCTCAGGTGACATAGGATCGTCTCCACTGGGCTTTCCGATGGCGTGAAAAGGGTCGATAAAATATCCAATTATGGGCTCTAGGCCACCGCTCCTCTCCGCCTGGGGAAACATGCTAGTGAGCATGTACAATATTCCTTGGTTATAGCCTATGGGCAGTTCAGCGTCTCCCGGAAACTTGAAATCGAAAACGGTCCAGTTTGTGTGAAAATGGGATTCATCCACCGAAGGGCGAGCGGAGGACAGTCTGCAAGTGTGGGTGGATTGACTCCCATCTAATGACTCGCATGTCATGTTAGAGTCGACATAGGTCGTGGTGAGGTCGCATATAGCTCGCGTAATGGGGGATTGACTCCCTCCATGGCCGCCTCCATTGCCACGGTCCAATGACTCCCATATCAGCTTCCGTGCATTTCGAGTCCTTGTCATCGATGCATTGAGTGACTTCGAACATGGCTCCGAGATGGCCAGCTGGAACTGATGTCCACCGAATGAGCTCGTCCAGCTGCAATCATCGGCATTACCGGGAGATGGAGCCTCTGGCGCAGTGAAATTGGTAAAGTTGGTATGCTGAAGAGTGTCGAAGACAGGGCAGGATATGGATAAATATGAGCCTGGGAGGGTGAATGATGTGTTGCCGGAGTTGGGCAAACCAATCACTGGCACACCGACAAGGGAGGCATACGTCAAGTTGTCATTTTGGGGTATATCCATCCAACCTGTACTGACATTCTGAAAATTCTCGATCACAGGGAAGCGGATGTTGCCCCAGAGATCTTGATTGCGGTTTGCCAGCAGCGAGGCGGCTGATATGGAAGCAATCACCGGGTTAGCAATTGATATTTTGGCCATCGATATGCCTTGAGCGTAGCCGTATTGGTACTGGGTGAAAGTGTTCAAAGTGGTCAACTCGATCTGGTGACTTGGGTAACTCGGGACGATGGAAATGACCCTCAGAGAGGCCTGACCGCCCAACGGAGACAAGCACCACAACAGAACGGTCAAGATGGCAACGGAGTTCACAGCACGTAGTCTGATCTGAGTGAGAAAGGCTCCTGTGATAGTCTGGCTGCCGAGGCATTGCTCTATCAGTCCGATAGTCGCTCCTCTAGTAGTCTGGATGCGCCATGACGCAATACTTTTGATGCTGCTACCCGCAATAGCGGCGAAAAGGACTGGGAATACAGTGGGCGCCTTGAAGAGAAATTTGATGTCAGCTAGATTTGACGATTTGGAAGGGGGCGGGGCTAGGAATGGGACAGCTAACATATTGAGAGACCTCAAAAAGCTTGGAGCCTATGGAGTCTGGGCCAGCAGGGTTTCCATCGATACAAGAAACCCATATACCGAACACAGTAAAGAGCGCCGCTATAATGGCAAGAATCAAGTCCCATAGTAGACGAGAAATTCTATCAAACTGAGACAGATTGAGAGGCTGGGGATGGGACTTCTGGTCATCGATCTCGGGGAGTTCGATTGTTGCAAAATATTGGAATTCCGATGACGGCCTTGTATTTGCACGATTTTCCTCGGCTGGTACAGCCCCGTAGGGGATGTGCTTCGATTGTCTCATCCCGTGAGGGTTCTTAATCCACAGTTTTCGTAACAGCGATATGGCGGGGATCTTCTTGACTTAAGTAGCACTCACTGAGGAGTGCACATTTGTCTTCTTGTAGGAGAAATAAGCACCTACATAAGTATTTATAAAGCGGGCCTTTGTGGGTGAATACGACGCAAAGCGTGAGATAGTTCGCAATTGGGCTGCGAGGAATCCGCTCGGTGTCATGCAAAGCTAAGCATGCCAGTTCTCTATCATTGGCATTTACTAGCTCCGCGCTTGAATGCAGGTGATTGGGTATGAGCATGATATCCCAGTCCCTCAACCCGGGTTGTCCCAATACGTCAATTATTCATTCAGCCCATGTCACACTAGGTTTAATTACTCGGGGCTTGGCGAGGGGTAAATAGGCTGTTTCAGATACCCCGTATTTCGCATGTCCTTAGACATGACAGAACCTAATGTGCATGTCGAGAGACTGGATGGAGATCTCACACTATTCCTCAAGACACGTTGTGAGCAAAATTTTCATTAGTAACCAGCTTCTTGCGGAGTATGTTGACGAGTAATCGCTTTCGAATCAAACCTGATGCAGGACATTCCAAGTAGTTTCAAGACTCGCCCGGGTGAAACTAGCAAGGGGGTGAAAAGAACACCCAGGGACTATGCTGGTGGCGCTAAAGATGATCATGCTTGGCGGGCACAATTATTAGAATTCAGTCTCATGTTACGAGGTTTTTTTCTCATGTTGTATTTTTCATTTTGGTGCTCATATTTCGATCAAATTGTCACTGTCTCGGGAGATCAGCGTCTGGTACCCATCTGCTCCGTAAAACTATACTCTATTACAATTTAAGGATTGAGGCACTCTAAATAAAAGTTAGGGTAGTACAGAGTATGTAGCAGAGAATGCCTCCCATGCCAATTTACAAACTCCCATCACCATCTTTGTGCCTGGTTTAATCACCTCTCATTCTATGGTGTCGGTACGAAAGGCTCCAATTTACGCGAATGGCTTCTAATTGTCCCAGAGTCTATCCATACACGTTCAAAGCTTGGACGGTAGCAATGGCCAAAAATGGCTGAAAATTTGTTGAATGCCCAAATATTGATACTCGGCACCTTTATTGTTGAGTTGTTGATATTCTTCCTCCGGCATGGCGTTTCTTGGGTGCTATGTCAAGACTCATCCCATCCCCAATAGTAAGGTGGTCTTATGCATATAATTGGGATATAAAATATACATAAAATATAGATTGTAGTTCTTCCAAGGTTGTCCATGGGTTGCGACCGGGAGGTATTACCTTATTGGGACGTCACGGCAGCCCATCGCGGCACTGGCTCTATGACCTACCGTAGCCATATCAACGGGTCAACCGGGGAATACTCTATGACGCCGTAGGTGATGAAAATGGCCGTATCGGTAAACCAAATGTTCCGAATTATTTTGTTGTCTGCTGTATATATTTTCTTATCAACTATGTGAAATCATTTTCAGAAACCTAGTGCATTGCAGAGATATATATTCACCAGCATGTCTCACAGCCCACATGATACTACAAGCAATGGAAGTGATGACCTCAACACCATTATGACGCACGATCGCGGTCTGTCGGAAATAGGAACCATGCGCTCAGGGAGCATCAATCGCCGCCAAAGCAACCTGAACGAAGTCGAGATAGAGCGAATCAACACTTATCGACTCCAACATCGCTCAACCGTCGGCTCCATATCGGCGAAAGTCACGCCGCGAGACCAGTGGCTTCCCCTTGGAGCCGGAAAGCCCCATCCGCCAGCTCTCCCAGACCCTGAAGAATACATTGTCGAATTCAACGATGCAAACGATCCTATGCACCCCCAGAACTGGCCATTCCGACGCAAACTCGGTATATCAGCGACCCTATCATATACAACCTTTGTCTCCTCTTTCTCCAGCGCCATCTACTCCTCCGCGGTCGGGCACATCGGTGCCCACTTTCACATCAGCACGGAAGTCGCTATTCTCGGTGTGACCCTGTATGTTCTGGGATTTGCGTCGGGGCCGACGGTATGGGCACCAGCAAGTGAGCTCATTGGGAGAAGATGGCCAATCTGTATTGGCATGTTTGGATTCTCCCTTTTCACCATTGCAACTGCGACTTGCAAGGACGTCCAGACCTTGATGTTGACGCGATTCTTTGCCGGTTTTTTCTCTGCTAGCCCAATCGCTATTGTTCCTGCCGTGTTTGCTGATATTTGGAATAACCAGACACGTGGTGTGGCTGTCGCTATGTTCGCAATGGCTGTATTTGTAGGGCCTTTCGCGTCTCCATTCATTGGTGGCTTCATCACCATGTCTTATCTGGGATGGCGGTGGACTATGTACATCGCCTCTATCATGGGGTGGCTGGCTACTGGTCTTTGTCTTCTCTTTTTGAAAGAGACTTATGCACCCGCTGTTCTTGTGGAAAAGGCCGCCATTCTGCGACGGCAGACACACAATTGGGGAATCCGCGCCAGACAAGAAGAAATTGAGCTTGATTGGGGCGAGTTGATCACGAACAATTTCAGTCGGCCATTCCGTATGCTTTTCACCGAGCCAATTGTTCTGCTGGTAAGTCGTGCATGAATACCCCCCCCTGGTTCAGACTAACCTCCCTTCAGATCTCTCTTTGGATGAGCTTTGTGTACGGGATCATGTACGCTCTACTTGGCGCTTATCCCGTGGTTTTTCAAGGAATTCACGGCCTTAATTTGGGTGTTGGAAGTCTTCCGTTCATTGGATTGATCATTGGCGAGTTCCTAGCTGGCGCCTATATCTTGTTTGATCAGAGGTCGTATACTAAGAAGTTAGCCGCCAATAATAATGTCCCCATTCCAGAATGGAGACTTCCTCCCGCCATCCTTGGGGGTGTCTGCTTCTGTGTCGGGCTATTCTGGTATGGGTGGACTGGATGGACAAAGTCAATTCATTGGATGGCGCCCACCGCCAGTGGTGTCGTGACTGGATTCGGCATCTATGTCATCTTCCTGCAGTGCTTCAATTACTTGATTGACTCATATTTGATGTTGTAAGTGTTACAGTTTCCGTTTCACCTCGGAAGGCTATGCTGACTTTGAAATCCAGTGCCGCATCTGTCTTTGCTTCGAATACCATTCTTCGATCAGCGGTGGGAGCTGCGTTCCCCCTGTTCTCGAAGCAGATGTTTGTCAATTTGGGTGTGCAGTGGGCCGGCACACTTCTTGGGTGTCTCGCCCTCATCATGATCCCGATTCCCTTGGTATTCATCAAATGGGGACCTGCGTTGCGCAAAAAGTCTAAATTTGCTCCAATCCTCAATCCTGCTCCCGCAACAAAGTCAGAGAAAGGCTTGACTGAGTCCGTTTAGGTATGAATACTGTGTTTTGCATTTTCATACATAAAAGTTTGTTGGACGCCTGGGTCCCTGGGGCACCAACGCCATAAAAATCCTTCCCGGGTTGGGACGTTTCTGGCTTTGATAGTTCAAGTAGGACAAACAGCTCTGTGCTCGTTTTCGAGGCGTCTGCTTTGATGATTTGCAAGTTGACATCTTATTGTAGTCTAGGAGGCACTATGTAAGATCCGGGAAAGCCAGGTTGTGTTGGCTTCGCATAGGAATGGTCGTGAACCGACCTTAGGTTTCTTGTGAGCCATACTGTTGAAAAGTGCCATATCCCCATTTTCCAACAATCTGATACCGCTCGTGAAAGATGTCGCCCAAGTGCACTAGATGATACCCCTGGGCAGTATTCCTGAACGGCTTCGATAACGTCATAGATTCTTTCAAAGCGGTGCATAACCGATATATCGAAAGATCACGCGATATTTTCAGGTAAGAGGGCTGGAGAATGTGGCCTGTCATGGATACTGTCCTATCACATGCCATGTATTCTCAAAGAGCGGTGAATACAACGCTTGAATAGGTACTCCGGAGTATGATGCAATATAAATGTGTGTGCGATGTGCATTGGCTAGCTATATTCCGCATCGATCTAGGAAATCAATACGAGATCTCCAGAAGAATTGACTTTATGGTGGCTCGTCGTGCAGAATTCTCCCATAGCATAGCGCCTCAGTGAGCGTAGGTTGATCCAGCCCCTTCATTCTCCGATGGATAAGTTACCAATTGGTGTAAAAGCATCGTGATGGACGAAGTAGGGTTGTCAGACGGAACAAACCCGATATCTGCGGGTGAGATTCTTTGATAGCACACGATCGGATATGGCCGTTCCTCGGATATCCCAGAGTCATGAGAACCAGAGATGTTCAGATCTGATGATTATCCATATTACTTATGTCATCGGCTTTCTCCGGTTATCGAGAACCCCTGCACATTTCCATCACGACACATACAATTTCTGATAAGATAACTAGAGCTCACGAGGGCTGAGCGCACCGGGGTCTTGGCATTGCAGGGATTATAGGGGTCCACGACTTTTTTAAACGAGCATATGGCTCTTGTTTTGAACACTGTTAACTGGCTGGAAATAACAATGTCTCTCTGTGTTTTTTGTTTTTCATCTCTTACGCCGGCTTGCCGAGGCTTGACCCATAGACAAGTTTCCCGTCGGCAAACGTACAGCCAATTAGGGCTTCCACGCGGCATCTGACGGATGAGACAACCCCGCCAAGCTGCCAAGTGCCCAAAGAGCCGGAGAATAGCTGTAAGTGGAAGAGGCGAATTTCTTTTTTTTTCTTTTTTCCCGATCTCTTATCAGCGCAATTTGGTTGGCCGAGGGATCAGATTGAGATTTGCCCATTTCTTTCTTCATATATTCTACACCTACGTCTACTGCAGAAACATCTTTAAATACTGCGTCTCAACGACGACAGCGTCTTTGGAATTCGCTGTATCCACACAGGACGTGATAATATCTCGGAATGGCTTTCTCTAACTGGGTGCACAACACCAACCTGCGGGTTGCCCGCAGTCCCGTGGGGAAATGGTTTCGTCTAGAGGGCTGTGGCCATGTAAGTGATATTGCATTCTATCCGACGTGCGATCGCATAGTCAATACTGGCGCAATGGACTGACACATTTTTCAGCCTAGGGAGAGGAAGGGTAGCTACTTCTTCACTGAAATCCGCGCCGGCCTCGCCACCTTTTTCGCCATGGCATACATCATCTCTGTCAACAGCAATATCACATCTATATCGGGTGGAACCTGTGTCTGCCCCGAGGAAGACATGGGTGACTTCTGTGCAACCAATGTCGACTACGCTATGTGCACACAAGAAATCAACCGCGATATCGTCACCGCCACCGCCGCCATCGCAGCTCTCTCGACTTTCTGCATGGGTTTCTTCGCCAATCTGCCTATCGCGCTTGCACCTGGAATGGGACTCAACGCGTATTTCACCTACACTGTTGTTGGGGCCCGCGGTTCCGGTATGGTCTCATACTCGACTGCTCTGACGGCTGTCTTCGTGGAAGGATGGGTATTCTTGGGCTTGACCCTTTGCGGTATGCGACAGTGGCTGGCCCGTGCGTTGCCAAAGTCTATCAAACTTGCAACTGGTGTCGGTATCGGTCTTTATCTCGCATTGATCGGTCTGACTTACAGTGCTGGTATTGGATTGGTTCAGGGTGGCGTTGACACTCCCATCGAGTTGGCTGGATGTGTGAGCTTCAACCCAGAAACTGGCTTGTGTGATAGCAGCGATAAAATGCGCAGTCCTACTATGTGGATTGGCATCTTCTGTGGCGGCATCCTGACGGCTTTGCTCATGATGTACCGTATCAAGGGTGCTGTTATCATTGGCATTTTGCTGGTCTCGATCATTTCGTGGCCTAGGACAACTTCTCTTACGTATTTCCCTTATACGGACCTCGGATCTAGCAAGTTTGATTTCTTCAAGCAAGTTGTTACTTTCCATCCTATCAAGCATACTCTGCTCGCTCAGGATTGGAGCTTGGCTGGCAAGGGCAGCCAATTTGGACTGGCTTTCATCACATTTTTGGTATGTCGCAAGCTCTTTATTCAGCTAGAAGTTCAAGACTAACATTTCCGCAGTATGTCGATATTCTGGATACCACAGGCACAATGTACTCCATGGCCCGATTCGCCGGCGCCATCAACGAGGAGACCCAGGACTTCGAAGGCAGCGCCATGGCCTACATGGTCGACGCAATTTCCATCTCGATTGGATCTCTTCTCGGTAGCCCCCCGTCACAGCATTCGTCGAGTCCGGTGCCGGCATTTCCGAAGGCGGTAAAACCGGCCTCACATCATGTGTCACCGGCATTGCATTCTTTATTGCGGTATTCTTCGCCCCGATTTTCGCTTCAATTCCTCCTTGGGCTACGGGTTGCACGCTCGTGATTGTCGGTGCCATGATGGCCAAGGCTGCCGCCGATATCAACTGGCGGTACTACGGTGATGCGATCCCCGCATTCCTCACCATCGCCATTATGCCTTTCACATACAGTATCGCCTACGGCCTGATCGCCGGTATCACCAGCTACATCACCCTCAATGGCTTTACCTGGTGCTTGGAGAAGATCACCGGTGGTCGCATCGTCCCGCCTAACAAGGATGAGTCTGAGCCTTGGTCTTGGAAGCTCCAGGGCGGTTTCCTCCCACCATGGGTCAACCGTGCTGCTCATGGAAAGAGGCAGTTCTGGAAACCCGATGAGGAATATGCGGAGGAGCGGGTTGCAACTGGTGAGGCTGTGTCTTTCTCTTCCGGGTCGGAGGAACGTGTGGCTCTTGAGAAAGGTCATGAGCCTACCGCTGCCCCACTGAAGTCGGAGTAAATATTTGGAGGATGAAGGAGGGGAGTTGAGGTATGGTTGTGCTTTTTTTTTTGCATGGCATTACAGCGGATGTGTTGATTCTGTATATTTTCTTTTTATGTATTTATTGACTTACTATTCACACCTGGTTGTCTCTCAGGGGTGTTGTACATGCCGTGGAATGATATATTGTTTTAATACCACACAATGTGTTGCTGTAGATAGTCTAACGTCATATGCATACTCGGAGTGTTGATCCCGAAGATACTACTTTTGGGTCACGTGGGTTCAAGAAAATGCCGGGAGAGACTATAGAAAGGAAGAGGATAGAGGAAGAGAAGCAAACTGTCTCTATCACAATTATATTTTGTCTGTTGACCACGGGAAATTAGTAGTGTTTTCGTCACATCATTTAGTGAGCTGCATTCAACAGAAATTACCATTGTCAACAGCCATATTTCTGTCATAGGTTACGGTTCTTGATCTATCTCAATATATTACACCAATTCCAGGCTACATCAAGTCCACCAGCTCCAATATATAGACACAATAAAAATTGCGTGACTGTACCGATCTCCACGATGTATAATCAACAAAACCGTAGCGGAATAAAATTTGCATTAATTCCAACTTGGATCTCAATCCAGGATGTGAATCCGTCATCAAATGGCATACTGGTTGATGACTAGATCAGTATTGGCCGTTGGACCAGTACAGCACTGACTGTAGTATCCGTAGATATCCTTGATACAGTGGTCCTCGAATTTGAGATCAGGCCAGTCACGAGGCCATTCCGCAACGAGCTTGCAACCAGGAACCACTTTGGGATCTGGCGAGATGAGCCAAAACGCCAAGTTCTAGGACTCGCATCTTGAAATGGATATCAAAAAAAAGGAGGAATGTTCATAGGATAGACGAGATGGGTAATACTTTTCAATTGGCATGTTAAGGATGTCCTTTATATATGATTTTCATCTTCATATTGGTACCCCAAGGTGTAAGGTAGACCAACGGGATTGCGTATGTACTGCTAAGACAGGCAGGTATGCCACCACTTACCAAAACGAGGAAATGGAGACCTCAAAGATTACTATGGCATTAATCCTGTCAGCGCCATCCGGTATTGGGCAGCTCGAACCTTATATCAACCGTGCTGAGTAGCGTTGAAGATGTTGGCTGACTTCAGCTGGACTAGTCAGGTACACTAGACAATTGATTCTAGAGGGCAGTACATCATTAAAGACCTTTCCATTGTAGAATACAAGGACGTTCAGCATAAGGATACTGTTCTCAGAACGCATGATCTCAATAGAAGGTCTATAAACTGCTTATACGTTGACTAGTGCTGGATTATTTCAGATGATAGTGTCTACGTGATCATATTCATGGATGCTCGTATCGCGCTCACACCACGTTCCTATTGACCAAAGCGGAAACTGCATCCAGCAACCCAGTGCTCCGGGGCCTTCATGTCATCGATCCAGTTTCTTTTGTGGCTTCCGCGACGACTTCAGGGGGAATGAATGTCATTTAATAGTACTCCGTATTCTCTATACTTGATCCGGTATCGGTTGAAAACTAAGTGGGCCCTTCCACATAGGGTACCCCAAATTTCCCCAGAATTTAGAATCGACCCCTGTTATTGGTGGAGATAATGGGGACATGATCTTGAAAGGCTCGTTGCGTTGGGAGCTCAGTTGTGGCTCTGACCCCGTCCAATATAACAGTCTGGGCGCTGTGCCGCCACACCTGAAATCTTCTAGAAGCATTGTTATGAGCAAACCTTTCGAAGCTGCTCGCTTAGCCTCGTGCGTCATAAAACACACATAGAAACTTCCTGATTCACATATACATTGCACGCGATACGAGATACGAGATAGGCTTGGCTTCGGTTGAGATACATATGCCTTCTGCGGAGTTAGGGTTTGAGAAAGTGGGCCGGTTGAACTACAAAGCTGGGCAGTGGTAAATAAGTGGTGTGTTATTTTGACCCATATAGCCGAGGCCACGCTCCACGCCGAGGCAGCTCTATACATACGGATGTTCAGGGGGTCTTGTAAGAAAGAAGCGAGATGCCATGTTCGAGTAGTATAGATACCAGACCGTTGAGTCTAACACAAGCAATTCATCTGCTTTTGTCATGTATCATGCATTAAGACCCATTGCCATATTATTCTCTCGCATCCTATGCCTGGGCTTCTAAGTAGTTATCACCATGGCCATTCCACCCAGGAGCGAAGATACCGTTTGGAGAAAGGCATGTTATTGATGCAACAGTTGGCCAGAGTCAACCAAATGTGTAGCATTTTTATAGATGTTTTCCAATATGTTAGTAGGAATAAACGAGAATAGACATGCAGAGTAAGAGACACTGCTGACTACTTGTCTAACCGCTATGGTGCTTGTTGGTGATAGTACAGGGGTTAAAGCTAAAAAGATTTCTAACTAGATTGAATTAATAAGCTCTTAGAAATCACAGGACAGTATAAGTATAAACTGATTGATCCATTCCATTCTTATTCAATATAGTGAAATGGGTGGGGTGTTCATTGAATTGACTCCATAGGTCACAAATATATATGTTAGATTGCTGTAGATTCGATCACCACTCTGCGAGGATGACTTTAAAAATCACGCGGGTTATCTGATACTGAGCCACGAGTTGAGTCCTGTAAGGTCATAATTTCGGTTTCGTGTCTCTAGTCCTAAGCTTGTGTACTTATTCTCAATGTACTCACTAGGTGCCTCGACCCGGTTTGCTACGAGTCATATGTGAACCCCACACCAAACACGCGAAGATCACCGGGAAACTACCTATAAATATGCGTGTGCACCATTTTCTTGTGGAAACTTCTTGCCTTGTTACTAAATTGTTCTGAGTCGTGCCAATCCTTCAAAGATCTACCTCCACTCACCAGCAAGAACCAAACCAACAGCTTTTGCAATGGCAGTCACACACGGCCCCTGCGACCCCGCGTTTAATCGCGTCCGTGATCTTTTCCAAGAGAAACTTAGCTCGGGAGAAGAAGTGGGTGCGTCGATTTGCGTTAATATTAAGGGAAGGAACGTTCTCGATATCTGGGGCGGTTATGCGGACGCCGCCAAGTCGCGCTCCTGGGAAAAGGATACACTGGTCGTCGTCTTCTCATCTAGCAAGGTAGTCAGTGCCCTGGCCGCGCTGATCCTCGTGGACCGCGGCCTGCTAGATGTCGAGGAGAAAGTCTCAAAATACTGGCCGGAGTTCGCAGCCAACGGCAAAGAAGACACTAAAGTGTGGCACATTCTCAGCCACTCTTCTGGCCTGCCCCACTGGGACAAGCGACTGCCCATGGAGTCCATTTACGACACCAAAGCTTCGACTGAGATGCTCGCTGAACAGGCTCCGTGGTTTAAGGCTGGGGAGGCGTCCGCGTATCAGCTGGTAGACCATGGACATTTGATTGGTGAGCTGGTACGACGCACTAGCGGCAAGTCGTTGAAGCAGTTCGTTGCAGATGAGATCGCGGGTCCGTTGGGCGCCGATTTCAGTCTCGGCCTTGCCGAAGATAACTGGCCGCGTACGGCAGATATCATTCCTACTCCTCCTGTGGTTCTGCCAAAGGTTGACCCGCAAAGCGTTGTGGCGAGAGCCTTTGGGAACCTGACATTCAAGGCTGAGGATTCCCAGACACCCGGGTTCAGGGGAGCTGAGATTGGTGCCGTAAATGGGTTTGCGAATGCGCGTGCCCTGGCTCGGATTGGTTCAATGGTGTCCTTGAAAGGGACGGTCGATGGAAAGCAGTATCTTGGGCTGAAGACTGTCGACCAGATGATTCAGGAGCGGGTTAGTGGTATCGATTTGGTGTTGTTTATGAAAGTCAGATTTGGGCTTGGAGTCGGCCTGCCTGTGCCGGAAGTTATGCCCTTTATCCCTGAAGGAAACCTTTGCTTCTGGGGAGGCTGGGGTGGATCTATGCTGGTCATGGATCTGGATCGTGGCATGACTGTTGCTTACGCCATGAATAAGATGGGCCCGGGGATCATGGGCAATGAGAACGTCATGGCTTACATCAATGCGGTTTATGAAGTCATGGCAGAGAAGAAGCGCGCGGTGTCGCTATGATATACGAAGGCACGACCTTTGTTTGCACAAATTGAACACCCATGAAGATGATTCTAAATTGTAATAAAACGAAGATCGTTTCTACATATATTCAAGATGTCTTTATCAATTCGCAAATATTTTGTTAACATTAATAGTCCGAAACAGTGCTTCCATCTTTGGTCAACCGATGTTCGATCAGATGGACTTCTTGGCCTTCGAAACCTGCTTGCTACCGCCTGTCTCGCTAAATACCAGTTCATCTCTCTCCCAGATCAACTCCACCGCAGCACCTGCGGGGCCGGCAAGAACTGTCAACAGAGCAAGCTTAACCAAGAGACTGGGCCAAGAGACAGTGCTGAGCAGCTGTTTGTGAGCAACGGTGTACAGCGAGATAGCCCAAATCAGAACACCAGCCGAACCGATGAGATAATCCCATCGAAGGAATACATGCACACCATCACCGACATTATTGACCGTGAGTCCAGACCAAGGAAGAGGAATCGAGAAAACCTTGGCCGGGTGGAGGGAGGTCAGGAAACGGTCTTCAAACAGAGACGGCACTACAACAGTTGCCAAAGAGACAACCCATGACACAATGTGCGACAGAGATGCATTGGCAAATGCAAATGCGTAGACCCAGCGCAAGCTAGACATGGATGCCCGCTGGTTGTTTGAGAAGAAAGGGGACAGTGTAAAATAGGCGACCGTGGTCAAAATAGACACATAAGCGGGCCAGGGATGCCAGATGGCAATGGCGATCTGCTTTAGGTCCACAGAAATGACAGAAGGAGCTGGCAACGCCATCGCCGCGGTCGGCACCATGTATCCGACGACAAAAATTAACGGCAGAACTGCGAGAACTGCTGGCGGGATCCGAATATTATCTGCATGAGGACGACGTGCAGTGACCGAGGAGCCCAGCTGAAGACCACATGTCAACGGGATGCCAAATGCAAAAGTGAATACTTGAGCGATGAGGCCAAAGATGGTCGGGCTAAATCGATTGGTTAGTTGTCATTCGATATTTAAGCTATCGATCAGTGGGCATAACATACTAAGCGGCTATTGTCCCGGCATTTCCCTTTCGCCAAGATTCCAAGACGATCAGAGTCCAGGTCGCGCCGAATGTACCACTAAATCCAATGCCGTGAAGCAGCAGACCAGGGTTGTGGCCATCGAGTGTCGGGTAGAAAAATACGGTCAAAAGAGCCAATACATGGTCTACTGCCTCGATTCCCGTGTAGACTGTTCGCAAAGGCGCATCAATGCTAGGGAGCTTGCCGGATTCCATGGATTTGCGCGCCAGCGCGTCGAGGCCATTGATGGAGGCGAAATAAAATATGGCGTAGAACACCAACGCGCTCAAAGAAAAGAGTACGTATCTCATTGTGAAGGTGGTATATCAGGACAGAACCGATTCAGATCTGGGGGAACAGGGGCCATCGGAGTTATAAATCTGGGGGGGCCAATGACCCGCCCGCGGTACCCGCGCCAAGTCTGATAGTTAGACCGAGGCTTGTGTGCTCCGTTGTGAACCGAAGATCAAACACTTCTCGGAAAATCATCTAAGGTTTGATTCACATGCTAATTACTGCGTGCATCTGCGTGCATATGGATGACATTCTATTGACATTCTATTGTGTCAAACCGTGGGGGTTGTCACCTCAACATCTTGCATACCCAAATGGGTTTAGCGTTCTCCACTCTCCCCTCCGGCCTGAACTATCAGGCATCATAATCAATTTGTCTAAGCTTTATCAACCTTCACTTCATTCCCCATGGCTGGGTCATTGCCGCTCGAAACTCTTCAGCAGATATTTTCTTATCAGCCAGACAGCGTGATACAGTATGCTTGTGTCTGTCGACAGTGGCAGGCCGCCGCTGAGACATTCACCTTCGCCGAGCTGCATATCAATTCAGAGGACCTTGAAAGCTTCCGTCACATTGTCGCTTCCTCCCGCTGCCCTGGTCGATACTTCCATGTCAGATCTCTGTACTTCAAAGTTGTTCTTCCGGTGTACAGTCACCGAGCCCGAGGCCGCTATGAAAATGAAGATGATCGCCACGCCAACAACAAGGTCTTCACGCAAGCCATAACATCTCTCTTCGACATTCTGAGTTCATGGCCAGATTATGATCGATACCAGATAGTACTTCAGATCTATGCCCGGTCTCCAAGTGATTGGCAAGCGGAACCGGACTGGACTACAAGACGTGGCCGACAACAACTAGGCTATGCTTTCCCAGAGCAGGATCTCCTACATCGGCGCTACGAACGTTCGTACCTGCAGCTGACGAAAAAGGTACCCCTCCCCGATGTCAAGTGCATTACTACATTCGAAGTGAGGGGCAGTGATACTCTCCGCAATATTGCACCGGATGCGGTTTCCGGGATGGTATCTCATTTCCCTCGACTGGAAACTATCATTGCTAGCCTGCGTGACAACGAGCCAAAGGATGCCGAAATATCTGATAGTCTTGGAATTGGTTAGTCATGCAAGCACTTTCACTGTGCTTTTGTCCTTTCAAAATATGAAGTGGTTCTGACAGTGCGAATAGATTTCTCCCTTACCGGCTGGCCTCGCTCACTGCGACAGTTAGACCTGCGATACGAGGCAATGCCACCCCTTGCCGACAACTTCTCCGCACCATTCAGCCCAATCCCCGATTTTCGATGCCGTGCTTTGCACCAATTGACTCAGCAGCTGGAAAGTGTTGACTTGTTACAAATCATGATCGGCCCTGAGTTATTCTGGCCGTCAGATGCCAGTCACACTGCTCCATTCTGGCCAATCCTTACCAAATTTACCGCGAGCTGTAGGTACCTTCCCCCCTATGGTTTCATTCCCTTTGGTGAATCCCGAAAATTGGACGAATCTTCCTCTCCTGTCCCGTCGGATGTCTCTCTCGAACAATCTGATGAGCAGCGACAAAATTTGTATCCCCGAATGCTAAGAAAATACTTGGATGAGCTGTTCCTTGCTGCTGGGCGGGCTGCCCAGTGTATGCCTCGGTTAAGTTACATGGAAATCGATATTGGTACACTTCGTGTGCCCGCCTTTGAGTTTTGTTTCAGATACGATGCAACTTTGGGCACAGCAACATGGACGACCTTCTCAGAGTTCTGCCTATTGAAGGAAGTTCACGAGGCCTGGGATGTTGCGGCAAAGAGTCATGGCCATGCTCAGATAAGTGCAGATGTTCTTTCGGCTGAGTCAAGTCTTTCTGACGAGTCAAGTTTGTCCCCGTGAGAATGTGATCTTTAACGGAATGAGAGGAAAAGAAGAGTATTGAAAATAAAACCAAAGTTCATTTGAAATCATACAACTAGAGCAAAGGCCTAAGAAACGGCCAAGTTAAATCATAGACAGTAAAACATTGCAGCAATTGAGCAAATCAGAGATCTGGTCTAAGAATATTTCCTATGAGCTTTCGGTCATTCGGAGAGAGTTCAAATGCCTCACGGCCATTGCAACGTAAGCTAATGGTATTTCAGGAAACCATCAGTTCTAGATCGGTTGCGAAACACCTCGCCTGTTGCTGGCCGGGCGGGTGGGGGGTCCGACGAGACTGTTGGTGGCTGGAGAGGTTGGTAGCCCAGCCCACCAGGACCATTAGCCAAGGGAGCTGACGACCATCACCACGTTATAGTGTAGTTTATGGCGCTCGCGACGTCTTCCTGTATCATCCCGCATTTGTGTGACCATCGTGCGCGGAAGACAGAAGTGAAGAACGCCCGAGCTCAGCAGAGTGAAGGACCGAGAGGTGAGGAAGAGGTATAGCGAGGGGAAGAGAAAGAGAATTATAAAGGAGGACTCAGTGGAGGAAGGGATGTAACAAGAGAAAAAAGCGAATGGAGGACCCAGAAGTGAGTGAGAAGTAAAACAAGAAGGAGAGAAAGAGCAAGGGGATGCCATCGTAAGTAGCGTAGGGTAAACACTGAAGATAAGGCATATTGGAAAGGGAAAGGAACGGAGGCTCCAACCACCAGTGCGCTAGAGATTTTCTCTTACTCGAGTTAAACTATTGAATTGTTACGCCAAGTAGAGAGCTATAATACCGAGAACCAGAATCTAAAAATAGAGAAATGTAGCTACCAAGCAAGTAGGCATCAACAAACTAAACATCGACAATCCAAACATAGACAATTATCAAAGAGTCGACTATCAAGAATTAGACTTGGATTTTGAATTGTACACTGTAGAAAATAATGACGTAGGACTGTGTAATCCCTCCATACATGGAAAAAAGCCTTTACTGATGTGCTTCGTCATGGTATACCATAGATGAGGTACAAGATGCTGGAGATGTTGACCCACACAGAACAATTTGCCAAGGAGATTTGACGAGAGGGTCCCGTAGGCGCAACCTTGGGTTGCCATCTACTTCTGTAGGTGGAGCAGAGGGGCTTGTTTCAGAAAATGAGATGGGGTAGTAACTCCTCTGGGCTTCTAGAAAGAACTAGTGAACTGCTCCCCGATGCAACCGGTCTTCTAGGATGTCTTGGAGCCAGAAGTGATACCGTCGCCTATATCCTTGCTTTAGATAGAAGTTGCAGACACACGATGTAAAGCTGAGCCGTGAAGTCGTGCGGAGCAGCCTTGTACTCAGGAGATTGATATTGGAATTGGTAAACAGGTTGAAGGAAGATGAGGGTCCTCAGATATATTTAAATTGATCACATCCATGGACTCCTTAGCATGTATATGGTTGGGATACTACACACGGGCTTCGACGTCCAACTTCTTTTATTGTCATTGATTGTAGATTGCCTGCACATGACTCGCAGACCATATGTCCACAGAGAAAAAACGCTCAGCGATCTGGTAGCATAACGCAGATCTTGCCGTCTAAAACAGCACGTTCTCTCTGCTGGTCAAGTTCCTCTTGCGCTTTTTGATGCTTCTCCCTTTCCTGTCGAAGTTCGTCTCGAAGCGTTCGGACTTTCACTCATAACAACTCGATTTCCTGATTGACTATCTCTCGAAGCTTCTTGAAAGCCTTATCCTACCCTATAGTAGTATAAATTTATAAGATTAGATGTCTGAGCGAGGTTCTGCCAATGGTTGATGACCGCAATTACTCTTCGCGTGCGGGTGGAAGAGTTTGGTTGGAGCTTTGCTTAACATCTCTCTATGATCCAATGACGCTAGCTACATGGCTCAATGGCCAATACCAAAACACGATCCGATTTCGGTCACTTTAGATAAAAAGCGCGAGGAAATCTAAGAAATGTAATGCATAGTACTATGCAACAATCCGGTCCCGTCACTTTTCCTGCATTTTTACCTTATGCGTTGTAACTGACGAATATATTTAGAAGATAAGGGAAACCCGGAATAATCGAGCTAGTTCAGGACAAAAGACCATCCAAGCGACACTAACATCTATTGTAACGAGGGATTCATCGAATGCTCTCTAGTGCATCCTCATCATATAGATAATTCCAGAACATCATATCCTGCAGCTCTTCCTCTTTCATGTTGGCATTCACGAAATGCTCTCTTTATGGGGTCCTGATCCGACGATGGATTTCCCAATCAATAAGCCCCACAATTGCATCATTGTGAACAATGTAATTAGACTCAGTGAAATTGTTATACATAAAGCTCATATCTGGATCGTGATTTCCCAAAAAAAATAATGATATCCTCTTCTAACGGATTGATCCGACCGTTACTGAGTATGTTGGGGTCCGGTACAACATATGAGCGAGCTTTAAGTCTTTGGGTTGGCTTGACAGTGTGAAGTTGATGTATTATTTTCTTGGCCTGTTCTTTATGTGATTTTCTTTGTTCTCTGGACAAAAATGGCCATGCAACAGACAATCCAACACCTGGAAGCCTATCTTGGATGAGCACTTGACGACCATTGATCTAAAGAAACAGACATAAGTTATTGGGCTCGATAGACAGAGAAAAAGAGAGAATACTTCTCCAGCAAAGTATATATCTGGGACTTTGACATCACTCAAGACTGTCTTTGCTAGAGCTGTCGCCCGAATCTCATTTGCATCGGAATTAAGAGGTGTATAAGAGTGTATTCTGTAGCTATCCCGAAAATAATGATACTATATCACATACAACCTGCAGGAGACCGATGGGGGTAGCGGTAGGAACAATTCTGATTAGTGAGGTGTTTTCACAGATTCACAATACCTAAATCACTTTGTTTCCTCACAGGATTACATCTTTGGCCTTACTTACAATAGGGTTCGCATGGAACATTTGAAAGGAAGCCTTTTAGAAAGGTTCACCAGTCCTTGACGCGAAATGGTCACATGCTATAATATAATGGGCGGAGTTGATAAATAATTTCCGACCGTGTATTGTCGTCCGGGTAATCTACGAGTAGGGTTTGGAGTCCAACGGTATGACCAAGGCTGTTTAAAAGATAACCCACTGTCAAAAGTTCCTTGCAGAGTTGCCTAAAGAGCAGCAGAAGTGTCTGAGTGCGTAAAGATATATTGGATAGGCAACCGGATGTATCGTCAACCGGCTTGGGGGGAGGGGGAAAGAATAGGCATTGCCACATGCATCTTGCTTTCCAATCACGTCTCGAAAATATGATCGTCCCGTTATGAGAATTGTGCCTTTCCCTGTAGCGCGATACTGTACCACAAGCGAAGCATACTAGCCAAGTAGATGAAAGTGACACTGAGTAGACCGATATAACACAGTGCTGCAACCTATAATCCTTTAACATTGTGGATGCATAGATAAAATTAAGGGTACAGACCACTTGATCGGATCTCTGCTGATCCAGCTTTGTGACTTTAGTCATATCCCAAATGAAAACGATGTATCCACCCAGCCAGAAGTATATGCTACACTCAAGCAGACCTACCGCAGTCTGCCATAGAATAACTTGATGCCAATATGGGATTCTTCTTCCCGTGGGAGAAACGAAGCTGAGAATCTGGAGAAGCGACGTATCCGAGTTTGAGAGACACCCCATTCGGACAAGGAAAACACTCTGTTGCATCCCCACTGCAACGGCTCCAATAGCCAGAACTAGGCTGTTGAACCAGGCTATCCGAATCATAGTAAGCGGAACGGTCGCTGCCGTGGAGAGTGATTGCCATGAAAAGGACCCCACAACAGCAGCACTCATTACTGCACCCTTGCAAATTGTTAACTGTTGAACTCAGGGCCGTGTTCTTGATGAACCCTCAATCTGACTTACAATCAATCCAACATGAGATAGCTGAGATAATGTTGACTCTCTCCATCTTTTGATCAATTGGCTTTGTTTCTGAGGATTTGTAGCATTTCCCATCTCATATATAGAGGCATATGCAACTTGATACGCAGCAGCATGAAAGATAAAAACTCTTTCTAAGAATTTCATAGCCAATGCAGGCTACAATACACCGAAGTCTCGATTTTTCTCTTGTGAATTGAATATTGAAGATATTGAAGTCAAGGCCTAGTAAATACAAGTAGTTAAAGGAGTTTCTTGGACCTTGTTTGTTATGGATGGATCTTGTCACTTGTATGGAAGATAATAGAGAATTGACAATAATAGAGAATAGAGGACAAGAGTTATCTTTATTTGTACAAACCAAGGCTCTTATTCAGATCAGTATTTGCAGCAAGGCTGTGTGAGGGGGCGCAGTGCTTGATACCTATTCTGCAGCCTGGTTGGAAATATGCATGACCACAATCATGTACAACGAGTACAACGAGGTCGGTTAGTCATTTTCATCGGGTGTTGCTTGATCTGAGGCACCAATAAACCCATCACACGTATCTCAACAGCACCGCCTAGAGAGTTAGCCAGTTTTATTGGGAGCCCTTTGGTCCAAGTCTGGAGCATCCAATCAACCCATCACCTGGGTGCGATCGGCACTCCCTACTACAGATTTAGCCAACTTCGTTTGCCCAGGACTCAATAAGAAATGTGTTACATCCCCCCAAAAACATAATCTCTCTCTAAGAATTTCCACTATTGCCAACTTAAGCGAGGATCCTATCGCTGAGTTTTGTCTATATAGGTCAATTTTAAACTAGCAGTCCTTTGGGGTTCCTCACCGGGTTTCAGTCTCATCATTTTGAGCCTTATCTTTCCTGAGCTATATTTCTTAGCTTTGTCACGGGAAAGCCGCCTTGATATCTCTGAGTCTCAGGTACGGTTATTTCAATAGCTCCCACGAATCTCGATAAAGCTTGGTGGTACAAGGCAAATTGATCTCTATTCTTACCTAGGCCTTAATTCCACATTTCGCATTTCCATAATGGGGAATACTTCATCTTCTTCCGCTGGTGCCTCATCTTCGGCTCAACACATAAGTCAAAATGCCTACAGATCAGCTGAAAATTCCCTTGGTTATCCCGGAAGAGGGGAAGTTGACGTCAGGGCACCATACATGTTCAAATGCGAAATATCCTCTAGTGGAAATGCCCTAAAGAACAAAAACCAGCTTATGCAACTAAAAAAATCAGAGCGCCTGCGAAAGCGATATTATGTTGTTGCATTTTATCAAATTGCTGAAGGTAGGGTAGACCGGATGCCGCCTTACAATACCTACCAGCGACAGGCTTGGACGGTCGGTATCGCTTTCAATCGATTTAATTTCACCCGTCGGGCACCACGGCGCCTCCGTGAAAAGCTTGCCCACTGGGGAATTTATATCCGGCCCCAGGTTTACGATTCAACTTATGAGGTTTGTCACATACACACATATACACAAAATCTCAGCACTGGAGCCGGGATACTAAGTCGAGATATAGCCTGCCCTGAACCGCGTCTTCGGCATGAACTGGGAAGAAAAGATTGGTAGTCTCCTTATTCTCGAGGATGTCTGGGGAACTCCTGGACAAGACATGAGTGGGGATTGGAAAAAGCTCGTCAAAGCTACCGAGTTCGAGAAAGTCACCAATCCTAAGTATCAAGAAACGACAATGTATTTCAGTCTGGAGGAATTTGTTCTTGAACGTAAGTGAAATTGAAAGGCTGTTCCCGGGGTCAGACTTATAGCCGTTACTAATACGAAGTCATTGTTGGTAGTCCAGTGGCTTCTTCGCCAATTTATAGCCCGAACTCTAGGCCGAAATGGGCCACAGTATACATGGGATGATCTGAATATTATTCATCCTGGCGCAGCATATTCTCTGACCTCAGCGAACTGTCAAGACTTCGTGAAATTTGCTATGGATGTACTGAAAGATCATCCATCCTATAACTTCACTGACTTCAAGAGACTTTGTCAGCCGTTTGCTCTTTCCTCACTCGAGAGTAAAGTGCTACGGGTGCTCGAAAGGGAACAAGCTTATGTGGAGCAGATCAAAGGAGACATGTCACATATAGTTGTGGGTTTTGATCAGAGTGGTATACATGATGTGGGACGTTTCGGCCAGGTTGCGTAAGGAATAATCAGTACTTTGGGCGTTCTGGTAGGAGAGGCATTACAGAAATACTATCTACACTAGAAATTGCTATCTAAATACTATTTATGTAACGGCGTCTAGTACTATGATGATGATGATGATGAATCCAGTTGCCCGATGTAGCTCGATCTAAATACATGCTGCTATGCGGGAGTGCTATCGGGCCTGTCGACGGCTAAAATGGGTATCCAGCCCATTAAATGATACAGAGAGGCTCATATCTCGAGCATTTCTCTGATCACATCGAATGTAGAATAAACTAAGACAAAAGAAAGCGCGCTGCAAGTGTTCAACTATAACCACTTGGCTGGCCCGTAGACCTCCGCAAAGCCCATAGAGCCCAAGGCCCAACCCAACCCAACCCACTAAATGGTTAGGCTTTAGGCCTATCCTCAGGCCCACCGGTGGGCTATGGGCCCACGATAGGGGCCCAAAGCACATAATAAGCACCAATCAATACAAACATTCTAAGAAACGTGACTTACCTTACATTTAGACCCCGTTTTTAGCCCTTAGATTAGGGTAATATTTTATTATTTTAATTAATACGTTATTAATAACTAGCTAAATTTATATATTCCGTTTGAATACGTGAAAAAAACGCGTTCTTTAGATAAGTCTTAAATTATAGAAGGTCACGTAAAAATTGCTAGTACTCCCGTGTAAATCTTAATTATATATCTATCATAACTTCAATATTGAAGTTCTTTTTAACATCCACTAGTCGAATTTTGTTCAAAATTAGAGTATACACTTACATAGCAGTTATAATTCTAAATAATAAATTTAAACCCTATATAACTAGTATAAGGGTCAGAATACAACGATTACAGGATGCTAGTTGAACCCCCTAAATGGGCTTTGATAGGGGCCCAATCAAAGCCCATCAAAGCCCATTAGGTAGGGTTAGGCCCATTTTTGCGGAGGTCTACTGGCCCGCAGGAAAATGAACGTTCCTGGTCCTCACCGCCTTCGTTGGGACCCATGTTCCACCTCTCCTGACCCCAACTCTCCCATTTCTCCCCATCTTCTTCGGCTGTCAGCAGGCGCTTGCGTGCTCGTTGAAGTCAAAGGAGTACAACTACTCTCCTTCCGTCACACTGTCTTAAGGGATCATTCTTCTTTATTTCTTCCGCTCCGAGAGCTATTGGATCCAGCCCCTGAAACTGTCCCAAGAGACCGGTTCTGATCATGAACTCGGCCACGATTGTGCGCGCCTCCAGGTGCGTCAACAATTTTTCGTGGCGGAGGGTGATGCCCTTGATTATTTCCGAATGTACTGTTTCGTTAAATCGAGACTGAATACCTTGACTTGCGGATAGTGCATTCTCCTGCTTAATTAGCTGGACTGCATCGGGGTATTGCAGCTTGACCATGTCATCCACAAAGCTCTGGACCTCCCCAACCCTCGTAATAATATATGCCTGCTTTGAACGATGCCTGTATCTTCCGAGGGGATCATTGAGTTTTCCACAGTTGATAAGTATGTTTTCGACGATACTATGGTGGGTTTCTTCATACCGAGGCGTGCTTACTTCTATCGAGGGTGTCCGGGCTTGAGGTGGATTCATCATTGTGTTCTCTTTCGACAACGGAGAATCGATTGGCTTGTCTCCAGGCTCGTCTCCGGAGGATGACACGGCATCATTCGCCCCTTGCGATATGTCTTTAAGAAAAGCACCGTCTTTCGCCTTGCCTTTGCTCTTTTCCTTCTTCTTAGGAGAAGGCGTATCTAGCCCAGAGTAGTCCACTCTGCCTCGCTTATTATGCGTGGGAAAAATCGGTAAGAGCCGCGCTTCGCATCAGGATTCGGACTAGCTCTAGGAGTGGGAAGAGGTGGCGGCTCCGTCATTGCTATCTGCAGCCGCTTTTCGCGGACTATGCGTGTCAGCGGATATCGTTGCTCGAACGGCAGTCTGGGGCTTACCAAAGTCACAAATGCCAAGGATGTGTTGCTTGATAGGCTCATCACTGCAGTCACCAATACCGCAGTATACTAACAGCTCCTGTATTTTCTTCGTTGTTGAAGACTGGAAGATTTCCTCCATGGTGTGCTTTGCTGTGAGTACTTCAAGCCACAAGAAAGAGAAGGGGAGAGAAGCCCGGCTGCCGCTGTTTTCGATTGCATCGGTGGCACTAATCTCGATTGGGAAATCCGGGGTCTAGATCGTGGCCAGCATAACGAGATGGAAAGATTGAGAAGGCATCACTGCGAAGCCTCAACTCGCTTTCTTATTCAAGAAACATGCTTTTAAATAAATCAACTCTGTTGGTACCCTTTCCTACGTGCGATTTTGGGACGGCGGTCGCATTATGTGGTCATTTGGGTGGACTGGCACCTAGGTCGGTCTGAATGGTGCAGGGAAAACCAAGAAAAGAGCAAAACGGTGGCCACCAGAAACTCTTCGCTCCCAGTTTGCGGCGTTGCTCCGCAGACAAATAATTTGGGAAAGGGCAGACCATGGTCAGACTTGCCTGAGTATAACTTTGATGCAACTTTGAACTTGAAAGTTTTCAGTGATCAGTCAAAGCCAAAAAGTCCAGATTAATATTTTCCGATCATGTCTTCTTTCATTTACAAGACCCTTACACAGGCGCCTAGTATGACCCGCATAGTTCATCTCTTACCGCATATAAATAGGAGTACTCCCATCGAATGCAGACTTTTCGATTATAATCTAGCAAAGAGAGGCGGCCAAACTCATGTCTATGATGCTCTTTCCTACTGCTGGGAAAGTAACGATACGTCTGAGTGTGTGACCGTGAATGGCAGTGTGTTTGCTGTTACGAGGAACCTGTATACAGCCCTACTACATCTTCGAGACTGTCAGCTTGAGATAACCCTCTAGGGATGCTTTATGTATCAACCAGAACAACATGGATGAGAAAGCCAAACAAATTCCACTCATGCGGAGGATCTATGCTCAAGCCAACCATGTGATTGTATGGCTTGGAGATAGCAGGGAAGATGGAGGCCAAGTACTTGAACATATTCATTCCTTAGCAGGGGAGGAGGAAAATTCAATCACAGGCTTCGCAAAAGAGCACCACGTTGCTTGTCTAAAGCTTCTGCAGCGGGAGTGGTTTCGTCGCGTCTGGGTAAGATTGTTGTCAGGTTTCTTAGCACTTAGCTCTTAGCTTTTACAACTCTCAACTCTCAACTCTCAACTCTCAATCAATCTCAGATTGCACAATGCACTTCATCATAGTCTCCTTCTGATAATTTAGTGGTTGGTTTATTATAAGGCGTGAGATAGGTATCACATATAGTCCATCCGTAAGCAAATGAAGTAGCTCCTATGCTCGTGTATAGTGTAAGCTACAATTTATCCAATTTTTTGGGGTTGGGAATAGTGTCTGAGCCAACATTTTGAAACTCCCTAGATTTCAAACTATGAACCTTGGAACTCTTCAAAGCGGGGACCTGTAATGGGCCGCTAGTCCGCCTTGGGGCACTTTTACGGGGAAGTGCACGTGACACATCGTGTTTATCCGCCAAGTGTCACCTGCTAACGGCCATTGACCGCCCAAGCCAAACAGACAAACAAATTTCCCCACCATAGCTCTCCATCTCACCTTACAGCTTGGAAATTTGAACTTCTTCTTCTTCCAAATCCCAATCGAATGCTGGCAGCTGGCTTTCAATCAACTTGGCTTGTGGGACTGGCACATGCCGTCCCGATACCTCCGACAAGATGCTGAGGGATTCTGATATAGATTCCTTGAACGGGCATCTAGCATCCTTATCGCGAGACCAACAAAAGCAACATGATAATCTTCAGGACCTGCTCGGCCAGTTCAAAAATTTGTTAGAGGACTACAGTTCGCTCAAAAGCGACTACGAAGAGGTTAAAGAAGGACGAGAGAAATACAAAAGGCAGGCCAGAGGCCAGGTAGGAGTTGATAAAATGACTGAACACCCAAGAGTAACAAAACTAACAGTCAGCCAGGACCGTAACCCTTTTGTCCTCGTCCTTGTTGACGGAGACGGATATCTGGTGAGAGTGTCTTGTTTTCATCACTATCTAATCGGTCGACTAACGCACCTCTTCAGTTCAAAGAGCATTTCTTGAAGCATGGCAGCGAAGGTGGCATTAATGCAGCCCGCGAGCTGAGCGACTCTGTCAAAGAGCTTATGCATTCGACAATGGGAATGCAGGCAGAACAGTGTCGCATCATGGTTCGTGTCTATGCAAACGTCCTCGGTTTGTCAAAGGCGCTAGCTCGAGCTGGGCTTATGGGCCACGAGGCTCGTTCTATGTCACCATTTACTTCGTCATTTACCCGTGCCCAGGAACTTTTTGATTATGTCGATGCTGCAGAGAAGAAGGAAGGCAGCGATTTCAAGATCAGAGGTAATACGCAACTTGGCATGAATAGTCTGGTTATTGTACTGATGTGCTGCGAAATCAAGAAATGTTCCGTCTCTTCGTGGATCTCAACCAATGCCGCCATATCTATTTTGCCGGCTGTCACGACACTGGATACGGCTCCCTGCTGACGCCCTATAGAGGCCGAGGTGACCGTATCACCCTCATCAAAGCTGCTGGTTTCCACCGTGAATTCGAGGCCTTGGATCTCCCTATCCGAGAATTGCCTTCGGTGTTCATGTCTACTCCTTTACTTAACAGCAAGCCGCCCACAGGCCCGGCTGCGGCTGCTTCTCCGACTGCGACCAAATTCAATGGTGGAAACGGTGTACACCACGTTTCTAACGGCACAAATGGTACCAATGGTGCAAATACCACTAAACCAATTTGCAAGCACTTCCAGAAGGTATTTTTTTCCGGCCATCCAATTTCATCGCGGGTAGTTTGTTGACTGACATCGACCTAGGGTATCTGCAAGTTCGGCAACGGCTGTAATAAGCAACATGTTATGCCTAACCAGTCCTTTAATCATCAGCCATCGCCTAAACAGTCAGGTCTAGGCGATTCACCTAAACAGTTGTGGTCTTCACCCACGGTTGTCGGTCGCTCCGAGGATTTCCTTAGATCCATGCTCCCCTTGCCGAGCATCAAAACGGAAGAATTCATTCCAGTCAATAAAGATGGAGACCGTATCGACCCATACTATCCTCACCCGTCGCCCGAAGCCTTCGATGAATATCACGCCCGAGCCAAGGAACACAAAGTCTGCAATAGCTACCATCTGTCAGGCGAATGCGGCGACATGAGCTGTACCTTTGACCACAGTGATGTCTCTAACGTGATCATTGAGGTTTTGCGATACATGCTCCTACAACACCCCTGCACTCGTGCCGGCGCCTGCCGATCAATCAAATGCTACATGGGCCATCTATGCCAAAAGCCCGGCTGCAAGGCCGTGAAGAGCTGGCAATGCCGATTCAACCAAACTGCTCACACCCTTGATCTTCAAACTGCTCGCTGGGACGTCCCAAGTGACCAGAGCGAAATTGATCAATGGTCTGTCAGCGACGATTCTACTGGAAAAGGATTGTCGCCTATGTTTTTCTGATCGATCAGAATCCCCGCGAAGAAAAACTTTGCAATCCATGCCTACTGACAATCTCTCTTACCTGGGATGTCTTTGTATGCATGAAAAGGTCAGCGACTGCAAGGACGGTTGCTTGACAAAACAATGGGTCGATGGCTAGCACTAAACGGACAGATTTAAGAAAGACATTTCAATGGACTAGAAAGACGATTTTTCAGACGAAGTTTCAATTCTTGGTGACCACAACTATTTGCTGGTCTATTTTCATACCCGGTGATAGATAGCTTAAAAAGCACCAAGCTTTTATTTTCACTGTCCTTACCTTTCAATTATTCAATTTTATCATCTTGGCGTAATTCCTCTCCATGATCAATCCAATATCTATACGTAGATCCTTCTAAAGGCGAGTCATCTCGAAATTTGTAATGTTGCCTAGGGATGGCATATGGGATATGACTACATAAAAGGCCACCCACCACTTTCCCTTCTCTTCTATTCTTCTTCCCAGCCCTCTCGGCCACCATCTCCCCGTAGCCCACTTGAGATGTAGGCAGAGGGCCGTGCCTCACATATACACCAGAAAGATATCAACATTACCGATTTGTTGAAGTCTTCGCAGGTCCGCACCCAAATCAAACCGGTCTTTCTCGTGGAAGTTATTTGACAAAGTCAATGGCGGAGCTTTGGGGGTACAGTAGCCATTTGGGAGGTCCCACGGAATACATGGGGGGTGCCTAAACACAGCCTCTTCCATGATATACGTTTCCCCCTAGTTGGTCACTGAATACATTATTTCCGACACGCAGGCTTGAGTTATGACTAGACTACAATAGCAACCTGTACCCGTATACGAGATGCAGTCTGCAATGGAGCAAAATTCAAGCAGCATCCAAATACTGGTCTTAGGGAGGGACCATGAAACTTCATGGCGGAGTTACAGAATAACAAGATGCGGATGCACATTCGAGAACAATATCAATGGCACTAAGCCCATCCTGAGATTACAATCTAAACTTCTGTTTGAATCTGACAGTGTTATGGTCCGTTAGCCTGGAGTGGCACTGATGATATAAATACGTAATTCTACCCAGCCACCTGGGTAATCTCAGTATAGCGAAGGAAGGACAATTGAAACTGCTTTAAACTTGAGAGCAATCCCCCAAAGTAATCTTCGATACGGCCAACGCAATGCAATCAAAGGTCCACTCCTTCTTGGAGCCCAGCACAAGTTCCTGGCAGTATGTGATAGCCTGTCCCGAAACCAAAGAGGCGGCTATCATCGACCCAGTCCTGAATTACGATCCTGGAAACTTCTTCATCACCTCCGAATCTGCAGATAGACTCATCGATTGCGTTGTCAAAAATGGATACACAGTCACCATGTTGCTAGAGACACATATCCATGGAGGCCATCTCTCGGCAGCATACTATCTCCAGCAAACTCTTTGGTCCCTCGGGCAACCTCACGCCATGATCTGCATCGGCGTGAACGCCAAAGTCGTCCAAAGTCACTACGCACACAAGTTTTACATCCCGAATGATGAAATTTACAACGCCTTTGACCACCTCTTCGAGCCCGAGGAAGTATTCCATATCGGCAAGATGGACGGCATTGCGCTCCACCTCCGAGGACAGAGACCGGATCATGGAATCTATAAAATCGGGGACTGTGTCTTCATGGGGGACGGCATCTTCACGGGAGACAGTCTGTTCAATCCAGATGTGAAAAGCATGCGATGTGCGTATGCAGGTGAAGATGCTCGGGCACTTTTCCGCTCGAGAGAACGCATACTTTCTTTCCCGCCGGAAACAAAGTTATACGCACATGATCATACTGTTTCCAATGAGGACACAACACGCGAGCCAGTGCCGTATGTTACGGTCGGAGAGCATCTGAAGATGAACAAGCAAGTCACGGATGAGATGGCAGATGAACATTTTGTGAACTGGAGGAATGAGCGGGACAAGGTGACATCTTATCCTGCGCTTGTGCGCCAGGCTCCTCAGGTCAACGTGCGTGGAGGCAAGATACCAGGAAAGTCGCGCAATGGAAAGGGATTTCTGCTATATGTCATTGAGGTCCCCAAGGCTCTGTTGGCTGGATAGTGATTCTACACAGCCAGGTATGGTGGAATGAGAATTAGACAATTTAGATTGGAGCTCGAAGATATAATGAAAGAAAGATATGGCATATAAACATGGCATTTAGTATACATGTACTTGCTTTTCATACTGCAATTTAGGATTTGCTGTAAATTTCCCAGACCTGGTTCGAGTCCTTATCTACGTACTTCCCTTAAAACAGCTCGATTCTCACCATTCACTTTTTACCTTGAATCTTAATGTACGCTTCCTGGACCTCTTCTCGTGTCGCCATGAGCCCAAGCCACTTCTTGATCATAGGATAGTTGTCAAGCGAAAGGCCAGCGAAAGAATACATACGCACCCAAGGCTCGAAGTGATAATCAACGGCAGTGACACGAGTGGGCAAAATGCTCTCACCGCGAGTCTTTTTCAACTGTCCCTCGAGAACATCATAGCAGCGATAGGTCTGGGCCGTGTACCGCTGTAGCGCATCTTCGTTCTTCTGCGGGTTAAAGTGTCTGAAGAAATAAAGTCAGCATCATCTAGTAATCTCTTCCGAATTCAGGACACCAACCTAAACCAATTTGTCTGTCCGCTCATGGGACCAAGAGTCGACAACAAGAAATACTCCCATTTTTCGAAATCCACGAGATCCTGCGCCGAGTCACCCGACGGACCGATCATGTTTCCTTTGTCATACACACGGCGGACGTAGTTCATACATGCCCCGGATTCCCACGAGACAACACCGGTGTTGGGATCTTCGATCGCAGGAACGCGCCCGTTCTCGTTGATTTTGAGGTACTCTGCGCCCTTTACGCCCGTCTTGGGATTGTCGCTGAAATCCCACTGCTTCACTTCGAACGGGATATGGAGTGCTTCGAGTGCTATGGCGATCTTGACTGGATTCGGGCCCGTGGCGTGGGCGTGCAGGATGAGCGGCTTGATATGACCCGACATTTCTGTATTAAGGATTTGGTAATTGATTATTACCGAGATATGTTGAAGAAAAAGAATATTTTGAAGAGGAGTTTCATCTCGAGCGGCTCGAAATAAGTTGTAGGATGGCGAAATGAGATGTCGATGATGTAATTTGCCCGGCAAAACCTGGGGTGATGCACGGAAGGCATTTAGCCTGATTGGCAGTTAGCGTGGATATGGAGGGGAAGAGATTTGGACTTCATCTTATTCAATATGGCATTGCTTACAGAATTAATATGCCGGTGCACCGGTTAATTGGGGAGATCTTCCTTCAATGGGATGGAATGTGGTAGCCGGCTTGCTGTTTGGGTTATGCAGAGTCAGGGTTGTCAATGCGGGGGAAGTGAATTGGGATTTCACTAGAAAAACAAGAGAAAATGCTACATAACAGTTTAAAGCTGCTATTTGCGTTGTTGTCACGCTCGGTTCCCTCTTGAGGTACTCATCAGCAAGAATACAACTGAAATATGTTTTTCAAGATTTCAAAATTATTCACCCTACTTTCTGCACTAGTGACTTTGGCGCTTGCCTCTAGAAACAGCTATACTCAGTCAGAAAGCAATGGACTACAGGATCTAGTGAGAATATCATCACCCTGGTAGCACCATCGTACTAACACGTTACGGACAGGTGACATGGGACCAGCATTCCATTATAGTACGCGGCGAGCGCCTCATGATCTTTTCTGGTGAATTTCATCCATTCCGCCTCCCAGTCCCAGGGCTTTGGCTCGACGTATTCCAGAAAATAAAGAGCATGGGGTTTACCGGTGTCTCATTCTACGTGGACTGGAGCCTTGTTGAAGGGAACCCGGGACATGTTATCACCGACGGGATATGGAGCTTGGATGAATTCTTCGACGCAGCAAGCCAGGCTGGGCTGTACCTAATCGCCCGACCGGGACCGTATATCAATGCAGAGACCACTGCTGGCGGGATACCTGGGTGGGTCCTACGAGAGAAAGCCGTTATTCGGTCTGACGACCCTGAATACTTGAGTGCGACAGCAAAATACGTGTCGACACTGGGCCTGATTATTGAAAGGGCCCAGATCACACATGGTGGCCCGGTTATTATGGTTCAGCCAGAGAATGAGTACTCAACTTGGCCTGGAGTGACTGATTTCCCGAATGAAATGCATCGGAGTTATATGGCACACGTTCAAGAGCAGCTGCTTGATGAAGGTATCACGGTTCCTTCAATCGTCAATGATAACTTGGTTATGGGATACTTCGCACCGGGATCAGGGCAAGGTGCAGTTGACATCTACGCTATCGATGCATACCCAATGCGCTATGATTGTGGGTTTGATTCCAATGGCCCTCGGTGTAATACATACGATGGGACTAACGTGATTTTCCTATTAGGTGCAAATCCGAGTGTTTGGCCTTCTTACAGGTTTCCATATGATTGGCAAGTTACGCACAAACGGCAGAGTCCCATGACTCCCTTTGCGATTGCAGAGTTCCAAGGCGGTTCTGGGGAGGGATGGTAGAAACGTTCTTTGTTCTTGTACCAAATGCAGTCAACTAACGTGATATTAGGGGAGGCGTGCTTCAAGCGATGTGCAACCAGCTAGTAAACGAGGAGGCTGTCAGAGTTGTGTACAAGAACAACTACAGTTTTGGCGTAAAGATCTTTAACGTCTACATGGTGAGTCTATGCAACTTCCTCATTTCATATTGCAACATTAATTGTGGTATCCTGGCCAGACCTTTGGCGGTACCAACTGGGGTAATCTTGGTTATATGGGTGGGCATACATCATACGATTATGGTGCAGCTATCACAGAAGAAAGGGCGATCTGGCGTGAGAAATATAGCGAACAGAAACTCGAAGCCAACTTCCTCAAAGTATCTCCTGCTTATCTGACCGCGACTCCTCATCTTGGAGTGAATGGTACTTACGGCGCGCCCTCCTCGCTAGCTGTCACTGCTCTTCTTGGAAATGGGACGCGGACAAATTTCTATGTTCTCAGACATGCCGACTTCACTTCAACCGACAACACTCAGTACACCCTCGCATTATCGACAAGTATCGGCGAAATAAAAATTCCTCAGCTAGGAGGCCATCTAAAGCTAAATGGACGTGATTCCAAATTACACGTCACAGATTACGATGTCGGCGGCATCAATCTGATCTACTCCTCCGCGGAGATATTCACATGGGCACGTGGGTCAAGGTCTACACGTGTATTAATCCTATACGGAGGCGCCGGAGAAACACATGAGTTTGCTCTGCCTAGGCATCTTGGAAAGCCAACCGTCGTCGAAGGAGATGGGATCGAAATAAAACAACGCAGGTCTGCTTGGGTTGTACAATGGCATGTTACACCAGCCCGACGTATCATTCAGGTAGGAGATCTCGCAGTATATCTGCTCTGGCGAAACGAGGCATACAACTACTGGGCTATGGAGTTGCCGCTATCAGGTCCGATTGGAAACTACTCATCGCCATCGAAGAGTCTGGTTCTTGTCAAGGCCGGATATCTTATCCGAACAGCCGGTCTGATAAATAATCAGCTACGATTGACAGGGGATGTGAATGCCACAACAGAAATCGAGGTCATCTCCAGCCCAGCGAAAAGGCTGAAAGGTATCACCTTTAATGGAGAAGTATTACACACCTCACAAATGTCCAATGGGAACCTTCTGGGAACTGTCAGATACAACCCTCCCAAGTTGGACGTTCCCGATTTGTCCAACCTAGAATGGAAGTTCCTTGATTCTCTTCCTGAGATTCAGGACTCGTACGACGACGCAGCTTGGACACCTTGTACACGAACCTCAACACACAATCCACGTCCGCTCGACACTCCGAGTACGCTGTACTCCATGGACTACGGATACCACACTGGATCTCTGCTATACCGTGGTCATTTTGAGGCTAATGGCCAGGAATCCCATATTTGGTTGAATGTATCTGGTGGTGCGGGATTTGGACATTCCGTCTGGCTGAATAATACATTCCTTGGCTCATGGGTCGGGTCGGGTGCCAACTCCACGGTTGTTGACAGCATGTCGATGTCATCTCCTTTGTCGCAGGGGGAGCCCGTATGTGATCACAGTTCTGATTGATCACATGGGCCAAGACGAGGAGGCTCCTGGCACTGATGCAATTAAGTTCCCACGAGGAATTTTGAACTACGGAGTTTCAGGTCACGCTCAATCCGACGTCTCATGGAAGTTGACGGGTAACCTTGGAGGGGAGCAGTATGAGGATCTTGTTCGTGGTCCCCTCAATGAAGGTGGCATGTATGCCGAGAGACAAGGATACCATTATCCCAGTCCGCCAAGCTCAAAATGGCGATCATCAAACCCAGTGAGAGATGGTTTATCTCACGCGGGTGTTAGATTTTATGCTGCATCTTTCGGGTTGAATATCCCCAGTGGATGGGATATCCCAATGAGTGTGGTGTTCAACAATTCTATCCACAACAGTCATACCGAAAATACTCGGGACTTCAATTACAGATGCCAGCTATTCATCAACGGGTATCAATTCGGAAAATACAGTATGTATCTTTTTGGTTCATCGGACATGGTTCCGTGGGTCCAACTCGGAATCCGCTAACTCTAATTTTTCAGTCAACCACCTTGGGCCCCAAACAGCTTTCCCCATTCCAGAGGGTATTCTAAATCACGAGGGGGACAATCATATAAGCTTGGCAGTGTGGGCGCAGGACAAGCATGGTGCAGCACTTGGAAACTTGGAATTAGTTCCCACATCTATCATTCGCTCAGGCTACGATAGACCCCAGGCCGCCCCACAGCCTGTCTGGACGAAGCGATCAAAGGCATATTAGAAAGCGAGAATGCATGATTGAACCGTGAGTGTTCGAATGATAGTTAGTATATATGCAGAAACAAGAATCTATGTGCATCAAATCTGTTGAAACCCCGTAAACCTGAATGGCCGAAAGAAAATATAAAATGGCCCTGTATCTCTGTATTCCATCGCTAGGCACCCAATGCAGCAACAGCGGCGACCAGTGCATCGAGAGCCGAGCTGTGTGTCGACGCATCCACTACTGCTTGGATAGGACCAGCCCAGTTTACGCCAAACTGTCCCTTTGCATTGCGATCATTATTCCAGATACTGGTCGCACAACTGCTTATCACTTTCCGGTAGATATCATCCGGAGATGCCTGTTGTAACATTCGTAGGTTGCGAATGAAAATTCCCTTGAACTGGGTACCATCTGGAAGGCACTGTGGCTCGCAGAATTCGTGGATAACATTTATCGAGTCCGCCAATGTTTCAATTGCTGCTTTTGCAATCTTGTGGGCCGAGGGTAGGTATGTATCATTGGGTGCCGCTCTGTTCAATTCAACCAATCCCCCGAGGACAACCCCCTGATTGTACGACCATCTGCGGAAAGTCAGCGAAGGAAACATAAGATGATGATCGGAAAAGAAAGTGCTCACACAGTAGCTCCGTTGTTTTGGCAATTGGACATAAGGCCATCATTGATGGTGCCGTTTTCACCAATGAAGGGCTGGGACGTGAACCAGTTCCATTCCTTCTGGGCCCAGCTGACATAGTATTCTTTTCTGTCCGGGACTCGGTTTGCAAGGTGTGCTGCGACAGAGAGGAACAATTCGTTTGTAATCGCGTTAACGTATGGACTTGTCGGACTCCAAGGAAGACCACCACCACTACAGTTGGTGCCCCATGCGTTCGCCTAAGAAAGATTAGAACACATCGAAACAGAGACCCGGGTCTATACATACCAAGCTGTCAAAAATTCCCTCGGCCAATTCTAGGTATGTCCCCTCGTTGGTGACATCGTATGCGGCAATCCATGCAAGGGCCCACCACCCATCATCATCATAGGCTTGATCAAGCCACTGGGTCACATTGACAGAGGTTGATAGTTGGTTGTCGCGTGTAAACACAGTTTTCTTCTCAAGCCCGGGGTTCGGATTGGACACAGGTCCCACGTGGAATGTGTTATTAAAGACATATGTCGCCGTATCCATCACTGATGGATCGAAGGCAGCTAAATCTGCAATTGTATTCATGCAGCTTGCACCATCCCACCAACCACATGTATCCCAGATCCCACTTGTGGTGTTATACCAGCCTTGAAGGGTTTCGAGAGCCTGCCGAGCTCTTGTTCTCGTGTCATCAGCGACCACATTTCCTGTCAGAAGCAGTGAAACGAGCGAAGGGGCCAGAAGACTGCGACGAGAGAATAACATGGTTGCGAAATGTCAAAGGAAAGGACCTATTCGAGCGGAAACACGAAATTCCAGCAGATATTCGCTTTAAATAAGTCAGCTCCGATCTCCACGTCCAGCTCTTGGACACATAACTGCATATCCTAAACAGATACATATTCGTTGTACATTCTTGCGGCTGTGGTGCCTTGATTGGCGATCAAAATCACTCTGGCCCACTATCGCGGATCGCTAGGCCCCTGATCTGCAACGATCGCCTCGTTGTGACACTGCAACTTGGCGAAAATCGCGAATATTTATGCAGGTGGCTAGTAAACTAAGGAACCAGCCTTGCAGCAACACCAGGTCCGATCTCAGTCAATTTGTCAATCTTCCTCCTTCACGCGATCAAGGGGGGTGTATGTTCAACAAGTTGGCGCGTACAGGCGCTGTTGTTAGCGCTCACCCCTTGCAATGTGATCGTCGCGCGTTTTTCGTTCAATTAGTGTCGGTTGAGCAAGAAAAATCGGGTTGCTCATCGTGAACAACTCATCGCTCTCTCGGACCCGCTATGAGTTCATTTCTTCGTCAGGATGGGAAAAGCCCCATCGTGTGAAGGAACCCACCCGGTCGTTGATCTGGTCTAGATTGAGTGATGTTGGTTCGTTGGATTTAATTGGTCAAATGAAGTGATAATAACCGAATCAACCTTGGAATTGAACGTTAATCATCCGAGCCGACCGAGATTTAAATCTGGCTGAAATGGATGCATGGGCATCTACAGCTGCATGAGGTTCGGCAGATCGGTTCTCTTGCGCTTGAGCGCAATCAGCATCGAGGGTAGCTATATGAGACACTCATTGTCTGAGACGCGCAACATTCAAATCGGACTATTACTGCACTGACGTCAGCAGCTCTATTGCAAGAATCATCGCCATGGGGAAACAGGCGTCTTGGCATATTTTCTATGTGTCAGCAGCCAACTGTCGGCCAAAGGAAAATTGAATCTTCTCACAATCGCTAACACGTTCTCAAAAAATCTAGCTGAAGTGGAAATTAGAAAAGGGGGACGTCCTATTTTCCCCTCGATTCCAATATTGAGGTCGAGTTTGCACTGTTCGCTAGCATGTTGAGACACGTACCCAAATTCAAATAACAACATATCTTGTACTGTTCGCTCAGTCGTAGTCACACCAGGCAGTCGTTACTAACTGCACTGCGGATGGAAAATGACAACATTGAGAGACACGCGCTGTAGAACAGCACAGATAGCCAAGTGAATTATGGAGCGGCATCCCTTCTTTCGCTTCATGGAAACTCTTGGTAGAAATATGTCGCACTGAGTGAGATAGAAGAGGAATATAAGATCGCCACAGGGGAAAACAACGTGTTGATAGCTCAGCAAATTTATACGATAAAAAGAGAAATCCTTGCCAAAGTTGCCGCAGCTCGGGACTATGCGGAACTCTATAGGACTACATCATTGTTGGTCCTAAAGGAATGAAGACCTGTATCCTTCTAATAAATATATAATACAGTAGAGTGCTGGAGTATACAGGGTAGCACTTACTGTTATTGAGGCGGAGATGTAAGCTGCTGGGTGAGGATAGAGAGATATATATCTTCTACGGCGTAAATAGGTCGTGAGGCAGCTATGCTATATCGCTCATTCTGATATTCACTAGTGGCGGAAAGAGTATTGTTCTATAATATATCCCCAGAGCAGTTTCACCAATGGTAGCGATGTTTTCGCCCATTGCTGTCAATATGTGTAACCTCAGATTCCAGCTCAGGGTCATCCGCCAACTTCTTTGCGAAAACCCGGTTCGCCCACTGAAAGCCGAATGTTTGTGTGATAATTCCGGCTAGCCACACTGCTCCCAGGGATATACAGGCAATCCATGCGGTGTGATAGAGAGGGGCGTCGCTCTACGCTGAATGTCAGTAGGAGGCCTTCCGATGAACGAAGGTTTACGTACCGCCCGGAATACTTGGTTACCGTATGTGCCGCCTAGGTTAGAACATCCGACTGTAGTATCATTTGTCAATAATCATCCTGCGTAAAAGCACTCTGGGATTCCGGGTCCTTACTGTATATAGCATATGCGATTGCACGTTTCTGGGGTGTCTTAAAGTTCAAGGACAACCAGGTGACATTGATAGGCTGCCAGTTTCTGCAAGGTACTAGTGAGTTCAGCTCTCCGAGTGTAAATTTCAATCTCACTTACGGGGATGATTGGGTGACCACGTAAGCTGCATAGAACGACCACGAGGCTTTAGAGGTAATTGGAAGAGACTGTGAGGAGTATGTCAGTATTTGGAAACCGCATACCAGAGCGAAGCGCGTCAGCCTTACGTAAAGTGCAATTAGGCCAGCGAGAGTCCAGACAGCCGAAAATATGATTGCATACCCAAACCGACTGTACCTGTCAACGAACGCTGACAACACAATACCAAATATTGCACTCAGCAGACTCCCGGGGGCATTAAGCAAGTTAGCTCGGATTGCGCTAAAGCCAAGCGATTTGATGATGGTTGCGCCCCAGGTGCTCAGCCCATTAGTGGATTGGAGGCCGGCCAGGCACACAACGAGGTATGGCCAGGTAGCCCAGTGGAAAAGGACATCAGTTCTATGAGTAGCCATGTATTAGTCGAGGTTTCCATAGTAGCGAAGCAAGACTACAACGCACATATCCTTCCGGCTAATTTTCAGAGTCAACCCGGCTGCCTGGTGGTCTTCTCTTCGGGCTTGACGTGCAACAAGAATGTCAGCTTCGTGCTCGTTGAGCCACCCCCGCACAGGTATAAGACCACCAAAGAGGTGACCTGTATGGTAGGGAGACTTGGGAACAAAGGCGAAAGCCAAGAGTCCTGAGGCTGAATTGGACATCCTGTTAGCTGGGACAACAAATATGGGATATTCCCAACTGCTTACCTATCGTGGAGATGCCACAGACGATAAAGATCCTATAAAATTTACCCTCATGTTAACAAACTCACATGCAGACGAAGCAGCAAAATAGAAACTGACCATTGCCACCCACTCAGCCCCCCATCCTGGTGTAAGCTCAATGCGCCCGCCGAAATCAGCGATCCAAAAGCCGCAGCAAACGCCGGCCCAAGGAAAAATACCGCAGTGCGTTTTGTGAGCTCGTTGGGTGCATACCACGTAGACAAGATGTACAGACCACCGGGGATGAACCCGCTCTCCGCGAGCCCTAGGAACAGCCGTGCGGCATACCAACCACTTGCATTAGTGACGAACAGTTGGAGTACCTCCACTAAGCCCCAGACGACGACTTGGGCGGGAATCCAGTAGTGGGGACCCACGCGGTGGAGGATGATCTGTTAATATAGTTAGATACATGTTCGATATTCAAATGGAGATGTGAGAGATACGTTTGAGGGGATCTCGAGCAAGACAATGCCCAGCCAGAGTAGAGAGACACCTGTGTTGGCTTGATCCTGGGTCATGGATGTGTCGGAAAGGAAGGTAGATGTCAGAACGCTCGCCACGTTGGTGCGATCAATGGCCATCCAGGTAAATATTAACTGGAAGGGAGGTTTAGCGGGAAAGAAAATAGGAGAGCTCGGGATTATGGGAAGACGGACCGAAAAAATGGGAAGGAAAAGGAAGTCGAGTTTCCGAACTATGACAGATTCTTCTTCCAGAGTCCAAATGACGAGGACTTGTTCGCCATTTCTAATGAGGAGGTGAGAGAGCGTGTCTTGCTGTGCTTCCGGGTCGGGTTTATTGCTGTCTGAGGGGGTTGTTGTGCCATTAGACAGCTGATGAACGCTTAGATTAATGGAGTCTTTTTTCTCATCGAAACCCTCCTTATTAGGGGAATGGCTTTCCTCCTGTGTCATTTTGGAGCGTGGTAGAGTATATCTAGGTGTGCTGGTAAGCCAACTTGCAATGTTGGAGCGAGAACGATGCGTAAAATCGGTAATATATCGATTGCATTCAGAGATTGCGTCTATAGAAATGTGACGACCAATGGATTATAGCAATATATAAGCTAGGTATCAATTTTCCTTTGGGGGTAGTGGTCCAGTCCATCTTATACCATCGAATCTATACGAAAGTCGCTGTAAATTTTACCAGTCTGGAAGTTGGCGTAGGATGTCGTCTTAGAACTAAATATGTCGTCACTTAGCCCAGGTGCTCCCGACTCATAGCGGAATCAAAATATATTCTTATTGTGTTGTATTGCTAGACCTTGGCATATCCGACCAAGTCTTTGGAGAGTAGGTGAATTTTTCTACTATTGCTTAAAAATGTTTAGAATGAACCATCAGAGTAGATGCCCGTCCTTTAGATGGGCCTCAATCTGGACATATATCTCATGAGAAGCCGACCGATATTGATTTGCACTGCAAATGTGTTGATTGGTCCATTAATATGCCCTTTGCTGACGCCATACATACCTGATATACGGAATTCCCGGGGCTTACCACTAGTGCTGTAATCCCAGTTTGACGGCATATAGCCAATGAATATTAGAATGCAGAGAAATTTGCCGCGCTTTCTGTTTCGCACCTCTTCATTCCTAGACCCGTTGACGCCATACACGGCCACGTTCGCGTCATCCTATGGTTATACAACTAGCCTTTGAATTTTTGGCATGTAGAATATAGCAAATAATATATACAAAATGGGCTAATTCCGCACGTCCCTGTTGTTTCTGGGGTTGCTGACCTGTATGGAAATATGTACATTACCAATTGATATATGCTGTACGTCCACAGCTTAGTCCGCCCCATTTTATCACTATAGAACTAGTGTCTTAATCTCTGGTCCATGGCACATATCATGGCAGATGTTAATATATAATACATAGGGTTGTCCCGCACTTGATATTCTTCTTCCTTGGGTTCTTAAACACATGCATTAGACCATCCCTGCTGTTCTTCCAGAATTGCGCCTTTATTCTACCATGTCTTCAACTATTAAGTCTTCTCAGTCTCTTCCCACCTATTTTATTGGCCATGCCGGTGTGGGCCTTCTGTTTGATTATCGCCCGCGAAATGCAATTGTTCAAGCCAACTTGAGAAATATCGGGGAAGAGATCCTATCTCTATCTCCCCGTCCCAAGGCCCTTGTTGTCTTTAGTGGTCATTTTGAAGCAGGCGAGATACATGGACCCGGGGTAATTGAAGGTGAGCTTACCAGATGATATGACCATGAGTGTCAATGCGTGGACAATAGACGATCCGACTGACATATATACAGTGAATGTCAAAAGTCCGACACATATTCAAGTGAGCCAACCAGCCCACCGTATCCTCGTTAATAGCTTGACCCGTTAAGCAAATGATGTTGACCATTCCTGTAGCATGATTTTGTCAACGATTTTCACGACTCTAAACCATTCGTCTACGAATACGACTGGCCGCATCAAGATGCACCTGAACTAGCCGCACAGCTTTGGGACCACCTACGGAGGGCGGGTTTCAAGGCCAAACGCGTAGAGCGAGGAGTGGATCACGGTGTCTGGGTGCCATTCAAGGTCATGTTTCCAGATGAGAAGCCGCTGGATATACCTGTAATCCAAATTTCTACATTTCATGGCTATGATCTCGAGAGCCAGATCCGTCTGGGTCAGGCTCTGCAGTCGTTGCGGTAAGTTTGAGACTGAATCATCTATGCCCAATTCCCGCATGGTAACTGATGACAAACAAATATTTAGACATGACGGTTATCTCATTGTAGGTTCTGGCATGGCTGTTCACTCGTTCGACTCGATCGATGAGATCATAGATGCCCCGACAGAGGAGGCGAGGGAAGCTACCCGGGTCAAGGTCCTTGCCGAGTCGAGAGCCTTTGACACCCACTTGAGAGCGGCAGTAACAAAGAAAGATGCGAAGGAGAGAAATGAAGCTCTGCTGAAGCTGGAGACGCTGTATGAGTTCAAGCGTTCCCATCCGACTGTCGAGGTACGTCCCATTATATGCTACAGAATCCCACCAAGAAATTGCCTAACACTTACTTGACTTGTGTATCAGCACTTTACGCCACTTCTGGTTGCTGCTGCTGCGGCTGGGGATGCCGAGGTGGAAGCCCTAGGCGTGGACATAGTGGACCCTGGATTTTCTTATCTCAATCTCCGTTTTGCCTAGGATGGAGCAAGATATCGGCCTCCGTATGGAACGCAGGGCACCGCCCACATGAAGTCAAGACGTCATCTGAGCTGCAAATAGTAGGCTGCGAGTTTTATGTATACGCATGGGAAATATGAGTTTTTCTTGGGACATGGGTGTGATTACCTGAGCTTGTTTGCCACGTGGGTAGGACTGCACGTGGACAGTGCAGGAGCTATATAGTTCACTCGTTCCTTCTTCCTCTCGAGTGATATGCCTTCCGCCTCACCTAAGTTCTTCCTCTATCTATATTTCTGTAGTTTCAAGGGCTCGCCGCAGTATAACAATATGTGTAGGGTAGACCTTCAAACATTTCGTTGAATTAACTGGAAATCAAATGTAGCACGAAGGCAAAGAGACTAGCATCAACTGTGTAGGACCCTGCAAATGGGAGTCTGTTGGTAAGCAAAGAGAATAGCTGAGTGATTTACTCCCTATTAATGATGTCTCCAGCCAGGCGGCCCATTGTCATGTCGTGCGTTCCAGCTGTATCACATGTTGTCACCAACCCTTAAGCCACTCCCAGGATATAAACACCTGCCCCCTCTCATTTTCTTCCTTGGTTCATCCTTCCTTCTTCTTTCTTCAATTCTTCTCATCCTAGTTATCCTCCTCGACCTCTTTCTTCTCTTTGCTGAAAGAGTTCCAAACAACGAAGAATGAGTTCTCGCAAAGCCCGAGGAAAGCACCCTGCTGCTTCCCGGGAATCGGAAGATCCGTGCACAAAGGAAGTAAGAGCATTGAGCTATAGGACGTATCGAGAGCATATTCTAACGATCCTATCACAATTCACAGGTACAAGAGACTCGCAAAGAGCTCAAAATTGTACGAGCAACAAATTCGACCAATTTCCTCCATGTTAAAATCAGCGGAGGAAAGTGGGTGAGCCTAGGAAACCATCGGGCTCAAACGGCAGCGTTGTGAGACAAGCCTGCAGTTGGACGAGAACTGTCTGCGGTCACAACAGACCCAGAAACTGTCTGGACAAGGAGGATGGATGATACAAAACAACACCGAATTGCGGCATGGTCCCTCTACAAATTAGTAGAAAAAATCCAACTACGGCAGTCTATTACGCCGGTTGGATTCCGAGAGGAACGATTTAAGAGGATACTCCAAAGACTCCCTCAAATCCTCCTGAAAGGGCCCACCAAAAATGGTCGGAATTCGCTATAAAGAAGGAAGTGGTGAACTGGCTGTGATAGACCGTTGGACATCGAACGATATATGAACACCACCTACGCACGAAACCAGAACGATTTATCCAAGGAACAAAATTATTCTCTCGAACACCAAGTTGTCATCTCCTTACCACCAGATATGAAACGATTTTCAATCCCAGGCTTGGCCCTTTGCCTGACAAGGGCGAGGGTCATCTTGAACCGTCCAATCGGTGCTGGGAGTTACTTAAGTATCTCGGATTTGGCTTTTACAAACCCATTTGAGGAACTTGATTCGCTAAATTGAAGGCTGTGGAGTGGAACTGCTTACCAAGGCGCACGCACCGTTCTGAATCAATCCCTCTTCTCACGAAGTCGTTTCCGGCCTTTTTAGCGTCAAGAAGGTCTTCGTGAGCGACAAACTTGCACTCGTTGATGTCAAAATGAAATGGGCCCGGGGCACCCATGTTGCGAGGGACCACGACATTGAAGATGCTGTGCGGCAAGGTTTGGAGCGAGAAGTAGCGCTTCCGCCTTTAGAATTCTGACTACCGTGGGACCCTCGAGTATTCACCCGGAGGGAGCAATTCAGAGCGCTCTATTAACTGCCAGAAGCTAGGGCTTGACAGGCTATCCTGATAAGATATCACCATGAAGCCGACGATGAGTCCAGGCACACTGATGGCTTCCATCAGGACTGGAAAAGTCTCAGAAACGTGTTCTAGAATCTTCAACACTCGAAATTAGTTCTCGAGGCTCCCCTCGAACTGTTCGACGTGGATGACGACATTTTCGTTTTACATGAAGATGGAGGTGACCCAATTCGCCATGATACATACCTCGTCATTCAACACTCGCAAAACATGATCACACCAAACAAAGAGAAGACTAGAAGGCAATTGTGAACATTGGGAATGATGAATATTTATACACTGAATATATACATGAATGGCTGTACAATTGTACCACCTGGCAGCTCCCTACTCATTGACTTACTCAATAGTAAGTAACCTCATCTCCGTACATTGTGGATCCGGTGTTAGGCTCCTTAACGATACCAGCCTTCACCAGCTCGTTTACCAGGTTGAAGATCATCAGATCACAGCCGTGCGGTGCCATGAAGTTCACTGAGACAGGCAGATATTCCTGCTGCATGGTAATGGTGGAGTTGTAGAGCGCTTGACCGACTAAATTTTAATTGTCATCAGTTAGAGTTCCACGGCAAACCTCCAAGAGGTTTTGTTCAAATAATAGGGGTCAAACGTACTGGGAACGACCATATCGGGCACACCGGCAAAGTTGGCGATACGAGATGTAGAGAATCCGACAGGGACACCCGGCATGCTATATGATTTCACCGGATTAGAAAATTATCTCTCAAATATTCCAGTGTAGGAAGGACAAGCACGTACCTTCGGTAAACATTACGGTAAGTCGGCGACCCTTCAGATCCAATGTAAAGAATCAGACTGTCCGAGCAAGTCTCTTCGTCGAAGACCTGGGCAGTTGAGTTCCACCAGCTGGTAAAGATGTTCTTGTGTTCGATTTCAGCGTCCAGTTGCGAGTCCGGGTATTCAAGACCCCAGCCCCAACGAGACAGAGGCACAGGGTCGATAAACGGCTTGCGACCACCATTGGCAGCGGCATAGTCTGCATACAGCGGTGCGGCAATGAGTGGATATTGCTGCTTCGAAATGAGGATAGGGTAAGTCATACGCAACAAGCTGGTGAGGGTTGTATTGGCGGCAACAGTCGAAGGCTTGGTAGATTCCCAGAGAGCATTGAAATCAAGGTCTGAAACCTTGGCACCACCCAAGAAAGATGACAGCTTGTCGACAAATTCAATCAAAAGGCCCTCAGCTGGGGATGAGGCAGTAGTTGGGAACTGGATCGTCTTGATAGACTTGGGGTACTTGGTGTAGGACTTCAGACCAGCCTCCTTGTATAGCACCTCCGCAGCAGCGCGCCATAATTGAACATCTCTTGTCAAGAATCCGGCGGTGTCCAAAAGGGGAGACATGGGCATAACCTTATCCAATGAGACCAAGTTCCACGAGGGTCGGTTTCCGAAGCATCCATTGACCTGCGAAGGGTTGCGAATGGAGCCTCCCGTATCACTTCCAACTGCCAAATCCAACCAGTCATAAGCTCCAATACCAGAGCCAGGACCGGAAGATGATGAGCTAGGATCTTGGTAACCATCACCGCGGGCGTTGAAGGGGGAGTGGTAATCAACCCAATCAGCAGTGGCGGTCTCACCGTTGGCGAATTGACTGGTCTTCATCTTTCCGACAATGATGGCACCCGCATCAATCAGGGATTGGATTGCAGGGCCAGTAGAGTCAGCAGGTGGATACGTCTCATAGTAAGCGCGGTTGCCACAGCCGGTCTTGACACCCTTGATATCATAAATATCCTTGACACCGAGACGAACCTGTGGGGAGATAAATAGTCAGTATTGTATGTCTCTTGCACAAGGGCTCCCTCTTGTAAAAGAAGGGGAGGATCTGAAATACATACACCAGCCAAAGGCTTCTTGGCTGTCTTGGTGTAGTACAGCCGTGAAGGAACACCAATAGTCAGGGAAGCATAGCCCTGCAAGCCTGCCGGCAAAACATCGTACGCAGAATCACCAACCGAGATCAATCCCTGAGTGAAAGAGCCCATCACATCGGAATGCAATAGATAAGCTTCAAACACAGCTCCTGTCGAGGGATCCAAGAAATATGGACCAGGAGGTAGGACTGACGACGAGGTCACCGTCTTTGATTTCTTGGTATCATATGCAGGTGCATATCCCAAGATCTTAGGCCCCCATGAAGAATGAGTGGACACATTCTGAGAGGGTTTCTTGGAGGTACCATTATACGAGACGTAAATGTTGTCGAGGAACGCAGCATTGAAGACATCGTCAATGGCCTCGTAGTTACTGATTACTGAATCGAGGATTGAGCTTGTCAGCTTCGCAGCATCGTTCCGAATGACTGTCAGAGGTTGCAAGCCCTTCATATTGCCGAACACATGCTGATCGGCTTTCAGGGTGGCTACTACCGCCGGAGGAATGTAGTAGCTGTTTCCATTGAGCTGAACAGTTTGACCCTTAGCGGTGATAGCCGCGATGGCGCTGGAGGAGAGTGACACAAGGACCGACAACAGAGCTGGTAGCCCATAGGAGCCAGTAGAAGAGACCATGATGATTGATAGATTGAAACAGATGTACTTTTCTCAAAAGCCCGGGCATCACCTAGCCATATATATACCCTCCACTGTCACATAGCACCGACATATCTGAGTCCTATTCGCCCACCCCGGACACGGTCAGCGATAAGGAGAATATACAAATGAGATTATTAATTTCGCTTCCGATCAAGACATGAGACATGATCAATTTGGGGTACCTGGTCGTGATAGATGAAAAGGGACTAGTCAGGGGATTAGTATAACAGTTGGCGATTATTGGCACGTTTCTTATCTTTCGCCAAGACTGTTTCATTTCGGCAATTTACTGATAAGGCGAGTCACAGTTGATTCAAGCTTGCCATTGGCTTAAAAAATGGGCCTAACCGGATACGGTTAGTCAAGCTAACACCCACGGTTCGGTGAGAACGCTACCGCTCTGCTAGGATCCGCTCCTCGTGGCATTCAGGAGGCCGACGAGATCCGGTGCTATCTACCTGCCTGTTCTATAGGTTGAGGTCAGCCACCATTATGACCGTTAGTCTTCTAGAAACCGATTATGACATGCGAGTTTCGGAGTGTATGGGGTAGTTATCCCCGACATATTTTTCTAGCGTAAGCGCTAGCTCGTAGATAAAATTATCTTCGTGTTTCTTCTCATTTTAATATTCACGTGTCAGCCTGCGTGATATGGGACGTACGATATGCTGCTCGAGGTATCTCTAGATCTGTTTTGTTTAGTGTAGCTATGACTCTCACGTATAGATTGGGAGAAGCGGTCAGCTGACATAAGTGAAATCATTAACATGGTTGTACCAGAAGGCCCAAATAGGCTTGTAACATGGCAAATTTGGCATGCATTTTGCAGCATCAAAAGTTTCGAGCACGACGTAAAGACGGACCTTCCACCTTAAGGGATGAAAAGGCACAGAAGATCATCATGGGAATGAGAACTGTCAGGCCATTCTCACCTCTCTCGCCCAGATCTCATCACCTTCCACTGACATCATTCACACTTCACCTTACAGTGCCCCTTGGGTGCTAAGAATTCATTTAGTGAGACCGAAGAAGACACAAACTCAAGGGGTCCAAAGTTTCGACCCATTCCCAAAGTATGTTACACATTTGTTTCTGTCTATCCGGATTGATCACCAACTGGTCAACTTACGCATCGAACATTCCCAATTATTGCTAGGGCTTTTTTTTTTATTCTAAAAATTCCGTATACCGCGCCATCGTGAGCATGTCAGAATACACAGCTTAGATGTTAAAGGAGTGAATAAAAAGCAGTTCAATCTATAGTTTTGCCCCTGTCGTTCCATCCATCGAACTTCGACTTCCATTGAGACGCGCACGAATCATTCGCCGTAAAATCTTCCCTGAAGGGTTTCTCGGGATTTCATCAACGAAACGAACACCACCCCTGAGCCTTTTGTGTGGAGCCACTCGCTTCTGGAGCCACAAAGCTATGTTCTGTGCTTCATCATGGGTCTTCCCCGCGCCGGGAGCTAGAACAATGTACGCACGAGGCAATTCGCTGACATGCTCTTTTGAATAAACGCCAATGACTGCAGCATCAAGAATATTTGGGTGGTCGAGAAGGAGACCTTCGAGCTCCGCCGGAGCCACCTGAAAGCCGTTGTACTTGATGAGTTCTTTGGCGCGGTCAGTAATGTAGAAGTTTCCATCTTGATCCACATGACCTATATCGCCTGTTCTGAACCAGCCATTCTCATCCAGACATGTTAATGTTTCCTTTTGGTTGTTCAGATAGCCAAGGAATACATTAGGCCCTTGGAGATACAGCTCTCCTGTTTGGCCGGGTGAAATTTCGATGCCCTCTTCGTCACAGAACCTTGCTCGCATGTTGGGAGGAAGCGTACCCGCAGAGCCAGGTCTCTCACGGCAGTTATGCCAGCGCTGAATTCATTCAATTAAAGGACGTTGATAGCAGGGTAATTACTAACCTGAACTAAAGCCACGGGACTTGTCTCACTGAGGCCATATACTTGTCGCACAGGGAGGGTATGCTTTTGATAAAGCTCCTCTATCAGCTCCCTAGTGAGCGGTGCGGCACCACACATGACCATTTTCAAGGAACTGATATCATATGCGTCAACGAGGGGGGATTTTGCAAGTTGCAAGATGATTGGAGGCACTAGTGTAGCATATGTAGGGCGGAAGGATTGCACTGCATCGAGGAATTCTTTCTGATCATACTTGCTCATGACAACAGTTGTGATTCCTCTGTATGCAGGTGTCAGGATAAGAAGGGCGAAGCCTGCTGGTTGTTAGCGTCAAAATCGACAAAAGGAAACGATTATACATACCGTACACATGGAAATACGGAACTGTTGCGAGGATTTTGTCTCCGTGATTATCATCACCACCAGTGGGCTTTAGATTTCCTTCATCGGTAGCCTCTATCTGCAACAAGTTTGCAACCAGGTTTTCGTGGGACAACATGACAGCTTTCGGGCGACCAGTGGTCCCCGATGAGTACGCAAGCAGGCCAAGATCCGTTTTCGCGTCGATAAGCGGCTTCTGGCACATAGGTCCTTCAAAACGCATGTCGTTGTACAGGGAAAAGTGTTTGAATTTGCTTGTGGTATCTGACAAATCCCCAATCAAGATGATGCGGTCTTTGGGGATTCCGGCGATCTGGGCTGCCTTTGTAGCCACTTCGAGACAGGCCAACTGCGTCACCAAGGCCTTTGCACGGGAGTCTTTAAGCTGAAAGGCGAGTTCATCCACCATGTAAGACGGGTTAGCGGGAGATACCGTTCCGCCTGCCCATAGGGCACCGAGTATGATGGCCGGAGAGTCGATGCAATTTGGAGAAAACAACCCTAGCACATCTCCCTTCTTCCAGTCCCACAGCCTTTGGAGAGCTGCGCCGAACTCCAAGGCAGCGGCTTTGGTGTCTGACCACGTATATTGTCGTTTGGTTTGGGCGTGTATGTATATCGCTGGAAGAAGGTTTGTTAGACGACGTTTTGCTAGGTTGTGAAGGACTTACGCTTTTCTCCTGGAAACTGTCTTCTTTCATTCTCAAAAATGAAGTCCCAGAGGTCCCCATCTGGGATCTGGATCGGTTCATATTGTGACTCTATTGGCATGACGTTGGCTGACTGATAACAAAGGGAATCTCGAGGAAAGATATATCGGTAGAAACACAGAGGCCTCAGGCTACCCTAAATACCAAAGGCTCTATGGGGGAAAGGCCAGCGACGACAAGTCGATACAATACATCCTGTCGTACACTGAATGCTTCCAATCACCCGAGGGCCGAGGAGACTGGGACGAAGTGCCATTAGGAAACCTGCGGTAAGTTGCAAACAAATCTATCAAGCTATCCTCGATCCTTTAATGCACGTACCTGAAAATTCGGATGTATAGTAATTTGGTCATGTTTGCTAGTGTCGATATACGTGAGATCATGTGACGATCCTTTCCTAAAACAGACACCAACGCTAATACCTTTTCTGCGGGGATTCTGCAACTCCCCCATGGGTAGCCGCCACTCCCGAATAATCCGGTCGGTCCGAGGGTAATTAGGGGAGCGAAGGCTAACTAATTTCTAGGCGACACCGGTGGGCATACGGTCTGCACTATCTTGGCTCGAGACCGGTCAATGTTGTGGGGACGACCTTCAGTCAAGTGAAAGAGCACAAGGGAGATTCGCCGTTTCAATCTTTTTTTGTCAACACATCATGGCTTGCCGTATTCTCACCCGTCCTCGGTTTGTGTATAAGCCCTCGATTGGACATCGTCCCCTTTCTATCACCTCCACGGTAAAAAATGTCGCGGAGCGATCAGATTACTTGGAAGGTTTCATGAATAGCCAAACACCTCCTCAGAGCACGGTCGATTATTTCTCTTCATTGCCCTGGACTCGCAAATTCTTGGAAAACCAAGCCTATAAAGTCATCCCATTCTTCTCACGTCATCTCAACGACCACACGGGAGAAAACCGTTTCTTTGCTCAAACGGTGAACAGCAACACAACCGTACCTCACCTTCTGGCACTCCAACTGAAAGATCTCGAGAGTCCTGAATTCACATCCCACTACGGACATCAGTCGTTCAATACTCCAGATCCGACTACCCCACACGAACTCATTTGCTTAGTGTCCCTAGGCCGGGGCCTAGACTCACATCCTTCGATCGTTCATGGAGGCTTTCAAGGAGTAATCTTCGATGAAATAATGAGGAATTTGATCCTGCTTCACAATAATAATACCTGCGAACCCGGGCCGAGAGATATCCACTTCACCGTCAATATGAACATATCGTATGCGGCTCCTGTGATTACTCCGGGTGTATTCCTCGTTAGATCAAATCTGGCCGGGCGAGAGGGGAGAAAGTGGTTTCCAAAGGCTGAGATTGTCAACAGTGATGATGTGGTTTTAACCAGCGCGGACAGTACTTGGGTGACAGCGAAGAGGCAGTAACTTCATGGGGCACTGTCTTTTTCCGTCAAAATACCCTGATCGTGTGTCTGTCATTGAATGCAAAGCTCGCTATGGTGTGGAAACTGGGCTGTTTACATTCCGTATTCGCAGGGATATTTACTATTTACCCACAGAAAATATAATACAAAGTAGAAATTACATAAAGCCACAACACTTCTACTCGTAAGAATGATGAGTCTTTGCGATCTTTCAGGTTTAATGCGACCGAAGGTTATCATTGAACTTCATCTTGGGTCTAACCAAAGTTGATATGGTATTGCACTTTTGAACCAGATAGTCCGTCCACAATAAACAGAAAGAAATCGATACATATATAGGGTTTGAAATAATTGAGGCCACAACCCAATTCGAGAGGCATCCACTAGCAAGGAGTTCCACCATGTCAAAGGTCAAAAATGCTAGAATCATGTGAAGAGGTCATGTCTTTATCTGTCATTCCGCCTGCCAAATGCAAATAAATCTGCTCCTCTATATCTTCAAGATTACTCCCTTGAAGACCTGACCCAGGAGACTGTTCCTGCAGCCGAGACACTTCATCATTGAACAAAAGAGCAGAGGGGTCAAGAGTTCTTGGTGACAAAGCATAGTCATTAGGGGGTTCTTCGATATGATTTGTCCCGTCGGCTTTGACCAGATCTTTGAGCGGACTAACCTCGGCAGCAAACAGACCCCTGAGGCTGACAGGAAAGTCTCCATCCTCGGCTAGCCTCCCCTTTCGCAGACTCAGATCCAGTACAAGTGTCAAACGGAGATATGAACTTGGTTGGAAGACGAGGATATCAGTCCAATTGATGCCGGAACCTTGATTTTTGGGACTTTGGTCATCAAGTTGGGCAAGATTGATGATGTGACGGACAATGTCAGTTACCCAATCCACCCCGTCATACTGCGACTGGTATGTCTTCATGACTTGAATGAGGACATTCAGCTGTTTCTCTTTCTGGCCAGATAGTCCACGATTGTTCCGTATCACACAGTCAGTCTGAGGGGCTAGTTTGTTGTCCAGAATATGAAGGATAAGTGGCAGGGCTGTGCAACCAATAGCCGAAACAGGTAACCACCGATCAAGCCCTCGATGAACCAATACTTTATGGATCTCAGTGATGCAGAAGGCGGCATCTTCCAACTCCTGCCGAGACTTCACAATGGTAGAGAGGTTTTCGCATAGGGCAGTGTTTACATGAACTTGTTTCTGCAATATGTCCAGCTGTAGCACTTCGTAATGGCTCAATACAACACGTGCTGTGTGGTAATACATGAGCATAAGGTTGGTATAGAGGATGACAGATGAATGACATCTCTCCGTGTCTGTTTCCGGGCCAATTGACGATGCAATGTCGCCGTCGGGCAAAGAAATTGAAAATCGTTGGACCGCAGATTTATACCATCGCTCTAGTTTCAATTTGCACTCGGAAAGCTGACTGGTATCAGACAGCCTCTTATCAGGGGTGACGTCGCGCCGCTCGTCTAACGGGAACACAAGCATCAGAATATCTGTCAGCGCGATGTTGAGCTCGGTCCACTGAGCCAAAACATCGGCCAGTTCCCTCTTAGCTGGAGGGTCATACACGCTGGATCGTTCAAACTCGTCCGCGAGGTCCACAGCGCACAGAGGGTTGGCAGCGAAACTGAAGTGAAGTTTCGAAATTTGGATCGGGCGCCTCATAAGAAGCCCCGTAGAACGGTCTCTGATTATACAGCACCACCATACTCGTTTCAATAAGTTCCGCTCTTGGGGCAGAATGTCGGTTATGGGGATCGAGGCGTAGAGGTGTGCCTCGGCGATCTTTGCGTTCTCAATGGCGATGCTGAGCCACGATATATTCGGTTTTCTGGATGCGGAGAGAGATGCAAAGCTGAGTAGAAGGCTTGCTTGGGCAATTGAAAGAGGGGAAGATTCGGATCCAAGGTCATACAAAAGCTTCGCATGGCGGTAATATGAAGCTCTCATAACCCGTACGCTGGGAAAGCCAAGCGCGTGCACTGTAGAGGAAGATATGAAGTTGCAAGATGCAAATAATATAGCCTGGAAAACGAGTAGAGAAATTGGCTTTTTGGGTGCATCATCAGCGCAATGGAAATAAAGGTCCCAAAAGTCGCCTTCATTCACCAGTGGCAAAATTGGGTGCACATGAAGAAAGTATTGTTGGACCAACTCGTATAGCAAATCTCCCGTCGGAACTCGCAGACAGCCTTGAAGCTCGAGAAAATTGAGGTCATGAGGGGGAATATTGCGCATGTTGTTAATAACGAGGAATGGGTAGTGGCAGTAGAGAACATCGGGGGAAGGTTTAGGATTGATGGTGTGGCCCTCGTCATTGTCAACACCACTAGAGGCACGACCAGGCAGGGTGAGGTATCTTGAAGAGAGTTCGTTATTCGATGCTATAATATGAGTCAATTAGCCGACTGCTTGTTGTTACCGGAGGCAAGAAAGTCCTATAGAATATCGCCTGAGCGGGCAGATTATTCCAGAGATCGGTAGAGAGCGTACCATTGATATGACCCCCGAGAACATCCTTTATCCAACCCAGGCTTTCATTATTCTCGCCACCAGCGCACTTAGTTGCATTCAGTGAGGAAGCGGACGTTCCTTTCGCGGAGTTCAGCCGATCTCCCGCCATCCATTCCCAGTCCGGTTCAGTTGCCTCTGCATCAGGCACATGCGAGATCCCCGGTAAGCGAGAAGTAAGAGAAGGCGCAGCGACATCGTGTGTGTTCGGTTGAACTCGGGGACTGTCATATGAGCGCGGATTGAGAGTATCCGAGTGTGTCTCCAACTTACAGTTTTAATGAGCGGCCGCCGGTGACGACACAAGTCTCCCCATCGAGAGAGCAATTCATACACGGACATCCCCGTATTGAAACATCACAGCGCACCTTTCGCGAGCGACAGGATTCACACGCCTTGCGCGCTCTCTTGCGGACCCTGGTTGGAGACGACACGAGATTGGAAGCCAGTCCAGGTGGTATCCCGGGGTTCATGGCAATCAATTGAATATAGAGTGCTTATTGATAGACGTTACTCAGTCTAACTTAGCCCATATTCCTGTCAAAATTTCCATACGTAGGTGAATGTAAGGCCAAATTATTCCAAAGTTGGGGAAATGCGGGGGGTCAGCGAAGTCTAATTCCACCTCGGTAAATAATGTGGGTCTCAAGATACATGTACCCCGTAGGTAAGCGTAAATAACCACACTTTTTGACTATTTCGACCAATCCCACAATGATTTAGGTATATTCCAGGCTAATTGGAGGAAGTATCCGCTCAAGGCATTGTCAGCTTTTATATAATACACGGGTTCACCAGGTCGCTGGGTCAAAAATAAAATTTATCACACTACTATTGACTAGTATTTTCCAGTAGATGTCAGTGCTATGGTTAGTACTAGGAAATACTAGACGTGGCCACTAGTAACAAATTGAGGTATGACCTGGTGAACCCCCTATTCCTTGGATACTAGGGTCGAAATTCGAGGATGTGTAAGACCGGTATTATATAATCAACTTCACCCCATAACTAGTTAGTTAACTAGTTACGCCTTTTCAGACATTGAGAGTACCGCCATCTTTTCGAAATTCGACTCGGTGTCTTCTCGCCTATTCCCATCCTCATCTTCGACACAAAATCATGCTCACTCGGTTACGTCTCAGGCTACCGATTCGTATCCCAGTGAACTATCACCACCCTCAACCCAGAAATTTCCGAACAAAACAAGATGATATTCCTCCTAGTACAACTCCGAGGCCAATGGCCCGAAAATATCAGAGACCCATCGCATCACTATTCGATTGGTTCTCACACTCTCAAAGCCGACGGCCGTATATTACCCAACTATGCCTTACACCGCTGATATTCTGTATTGGTGATTTTTCAGCACAAATGATAGGCGATGATGATTTCGACTATCATCGCTCGCTGCGGAGTGTCATCATCGGTCTTGTCATCGCGATTCCTAGTCACGAATGGTTCCTATTCTTGGGGCGGCGGTTCAATTACAGCTCATCCTCTCTTTCTTTGGGGGCGAAGGTAGCTGCCAACCAAACATTTTACACTCCGATGTTCAATGTCTATTTCTTTGCGTTTCATGGACTCCTCGCCGGGGAGGGGCTTCAGGGTGCAATTGAAAGAGTGAAAAATACAGCCTCTATAAGTATTCCCAGAAGCTTTCTATATTGGCCTTTGGTGACGGCATTCAACTTTTCATATATCAAACCACAGTCTCGATCGATTGTGACGTCGATATTCTCTGTTTTTTGGCAATCATACTTAAGTTGGTTGAATAGTTCTGTTGGAGAGGGAAAGGCAAAGCCCACATGCAATTCTGGGTCATCTGTATGACTGCCGTACGTACCACGCATATTACCATTGCTCTACATGGCCTTTTCCGCATATTTAAGGGACCAATAGATAAATATCTCATATAAATAACGGTGTATTCTGTACGGAGTACTATGCCGCCACATCCGAACCCCGCATATTCCCCGTCGCCTTGGGCGGCAACCCACTACCGTTATTCCGGGCCAATCACCCGTGTAGGTGGACAGCGCTAGTGGCGATATCCACCCTGGCCCGTGCCGCCCGAGGAACAGAGAACAGACAACGCTATGTATATTGATCGGATCACCCTCGGATACCCTCTTCCTTACAGTATAAACACAGTCAGACGTAATACCAGTATTACACCAAATACAGCTACATGAGTCATTTCCCGCATTTTTCTGTCCCTACCCTGCATTTTACTATTTTTCTCTCGTACACTTTCAACTAAAGCCAACCCCAAGTCGCAGTTAAACTCTCAGGCTCGCCATAGAGACTAACATGGAGCCTGAAGTTAATCAATGCTCTCTAGAGGTGTCCAAGCCGGCGTTGAATCCTTTGCGCGATGCGAAGAATCGGGTTGCTTTATTGCAAGAGCCCGCATCCAAACCTCGACGCATACGCATTGTGTGTGTTAGCGCCGGGTATTCCAGTCTGATGACAGCATACTAGGTTAAATACAACAAGGCTCTTGGGGGCTTCATCGATTTGACCATCTATGACAGGAATGAGGACGTTGGTGAAACATGGCTGGAGAATAGATATCCTGGAGTTGCAGTGCGTTTTTCGATGGTAGATTCAACACCTTTATTAACTCACATTCGAGAGCTTGGTGTGATATTCCCGCCCACATCTACACCTTTCCTTTTGAGCCCAACCCGGACTGGTCTACATTTTACGCCTTAGGCCTCGTGATCCGGTCCTATATAAAGAGAAAATCAGATAAATATGATCTAGCTGAATATGCGCAACTTCTTTGTTAACACTCAACCAATTAAAGTTGGATGTTCTGCCAAATTAGCCCAGAAATCCATCTCGAATTCCCAAGGCTGTGAGTCAATGAACGCATTCCAGTCTTCCGTGAGATCAGTGTTCTCATTTTGATGTGAACTACAGAGTTCGGTATGTGGTTTCCATGCAGTCAGAGAATCTAGCAAGCTCCGAATAGTTTGAGTAGCGCGAGTAAAAAGGGCAAAATTGGGCTCCCCGGCTTGGATCCATGCTCCGATGGAGATTTCTGCGACAAGCGTACTCAAGTCTTGTAACATCTTTGACCGTGGAAATGGCCTACAGTCCGCACTTATCGGACGCAAAAGGGCCAGTGAAACAATTCCTGCCGCTGGAAGACCATACTGTGCAACCTAATGTCTGATCAGAAGGTGGGGCCAACATGGTGTGTGTGGGATAGACTTACTTTCCAGATCAGAGACGTTCCAGAATTCACCAAACGGTCACGGAGAATGATTACTTCCACTGTGATAGAGAGCATCTCGCCTGCAACCTCTAAAAGAGACTCATCTAGTTCAGACGCTCTCTTTTGTGAGACTAACCCGAGTAGAAGGAGGATGTGCAGATAATCAAGCCTAGTCCCAGCAAGAAAATCCCGTTCAAAGGGGGGCCCATCGCAATCCTTCAGACTGGTGGGGAGACGAAAGTGAGCTGGCAACTCCTGCCATTGCTTGACAACGCGTAATCGAAGTTCACTTTTAAATCAGCAAAACGGGTAGCGTAAAGGTTATAGGGTATGGCTTTGCTGACCTTATTCTTTCTGTTTCGTTGAGGTGGCGTTTACGGAACATTAACAAGACTTCTTCCTTCAGTGACGCGAACAAGGCCGAGCAACGTGTGTCTGCGGTATAATTGATAGGTTCAGGGAGGTTATTATTTCCGTCGCTGATCCCCCAATGAGTTTCCGAATGGATTGGTTGAGGAACGTGGTTAGGTCCGGCTGCGTGTTCGTCGTTTCGTATCCCTGGATGGGCTGGGAGCTGGAGAAAACAGTAGTCCTTCACGATTCTTGGAGGTCGTCCAAGAAATATTGCTAAACTTTTATCGGCGGCATAGATACGAGCAAAACACGCCCTCCGCAACTCAGCAAGAAAAGTGGGAATGTTATGGAGGCCCTCGTCGATTCTCTCATGGTATCCGAGAGCAAAAAGGGAGCTTGCGACATCTCCCATCCTTCGCCAAGAGTGGTAGCCTTGATCTACTTTTAGCTCATCCCGAAGGTCAATATATCACATATAAGGTGGGGAGTGACTGACTCTGATCTCCGTCGACTTGGGAGTGCAATATAAAGTTTTCGTACTGAAGAACCAGTTGCAGATCATTCAAGCAATCGAGTGCAAGGCATGTTTCCAAGCACCAGTCTCCAATAAGAGATATGTCTTTAATGAGCTCGCGACGCTGCCGATCAGTTGAGAACAGCGGTGTAAAAGAGCAAGTGTCCAAAGTGGCTCGGGCAGCAGCCGTTAAGAAGATGCCGAGGGCCTCCAATCGTAAATTCTCCCCGACCATCTGACTGAGAAATAATTCAAAGCTTGAGTCCTGCCGGACGACAATCAGCTTCCGGGTGCTTTCCAGAAGACCTCTGAACCGATGACGGGTATCAATTCTATAATCTTGGCTATTCCAGGAAGGTTTCAGATGGTTGCTCCAATTTGCAACTGCCCTTGAGCATTCGGCGACAAATGGCCCAGCCAATGGGAGATTTACGCCCCTCTCAAGCCAAGATTGCACCAAAGACCCAAGTTTGGGTATGTCCAGTTGATCCAAGCGACTTAACGCGAACAAACCCTTTTCCAATATGGTCAAGTCCTGGATGGAATCATTGAGAGCGGGCGAAATAGGCGGAGCAGGTGGCTGCACATCTTGCTGAGGAGCCACGCCATTTGGCGTCGTAGATGAAAATACCTGGTTGAATATAGTGGAATGACTGGACATTCCAAGATACCCAGGGTTCGGATAATGACGCGGGAGCGATGGAGCGCTTGAATCTTCTCGGTCTACTGAGTTGACTGGTAGCCCATCAACAAGGCCTCTCCGTTGGCTACCCGGATAGAGGGGGCTTCGTGTATAATGCCCCCCATGATTTTCTGATGGTGCTGGCAACCTAAAAAAAGAATATTAGCGTTAACGCACTGGGTAGGGTAGCGCCATGAAGGTTGAGCTAGCAGAATTTACACTGATCCATTAGCACTGTTGCTCTCATTCCTTCTCCTAAACGGACGGGCTCTGTACACGCAGAGCTCACTTTGTCCCCGATCTCGGCATCGGGAACATGTGGGCCGCGCATGGTCACAGGCTAACTTTGCCCGCCGACAAGGATCACACGCAACGCTTCTAACACCCATTCTGTCTCGTTTTCAAGGAATCTCTCCTCCAGAAGGCCGTTCTAGCATTCGATGAATAAGAAGCCGGGCAATAATAAATGAGCCAGGAAACTTTTGCGCCCACTCTTCAATCTAGCAAAAGCTCACTTTGCGCGGGTACCCGCCTGCGCGTCGGGCGGATCATTGGATTAGTCATGTTCGGGGGACTTCCACACGTGGACTGGGAGTACTTGAGATGTCATCCCAGGAAACAAATCTTTTTGTCAAAGCGTATGATATATGGATATTAACAACAGTAGAGAGGAGAAAGGAAAGATTTGTATTCTCTAAAACCAAACCAAGGCTAGCTAAACAGCTAGTGGAAACCTGACAAATAAGGCATCCATGCATCTGATCAACGCATCTGTCCCAACATATATATATCCACGAAGACATGTACATACATTTGGGTTTTATCATATTTTCTAACACTGGGCATTGATACTTTTACCTCATCTTGGACAAATTCGATGTAAACCCACTTACTCGATCTTGTCCCCCAGATGGAAACATGTTTTTAGAGCTTCCCCAAGGCGCATCACCGCCTCCTCGATTTGTTCTAAAGATGCCGCCGCAAAAGTTGTCCTATAAAAGACTTCATCACAAGTGGCGTCGGTCGCCGCACGGAACCAGCTTCCACAAGCCACGAGTGCTCCGTTTGAGATGGCTTTAAGCCAGATCTCCTCCTCGATCTGCAGGGCAGATTTGGTTTTGGCGTCAGGGTGCTTTCTCCAATCCACCGCGAGCCATTGCTGCAAGAAAATATTAATGTCTTGGATGGATCGGAAAAGAGAGAAGGGGAACTCACAAACATGCCAGCTTGAGCAGGCTCCCAACTAGTAATGGTCTTGGGTAGATAGCGCTCACAAGCCTGTATCATGGAGTCTCGTCGATATGTATATTCCTGGCGAATGTGCGTGAGCCATGCCAAATAGCCTCCATGTCCCCAGTGCTCGTCTAGGAGTTTAAACAGCGCCAGCTGACTCAGACCACCAGGGCCCTGTGTTGAAACGTCGGCGTGGTTCTTGTATTGCTCGACGAGCTGTTGCGGTGCAGTGAGCCATCCTAACCGGACACCCGGGCTGACTACCTTACTAAAGGAGTCCATGCGAACCACTCGCCCATCGATATCCATGGAAAGATATGACGGTACAATCTTCTTGAGCAGGTCTGCTGGTGTCTGGGGACCGGTTCTTGTTGGAACTCCTTCTGCTGCGGATGAGAAAGGATTCATCTGCAGGAAGTAGTATGGGTCGTCTTCTAGAATGATGAGGTCATGTTCTTGAGCAATGTGGTAGATATTCCGACGACGTTCTAGTCCCTGAGTTGCACCCGTCGGGTTCTGGCCTGTCGGGATCAAGTATAGTAAGAAAGGTTTCCGGCTGTTTCCATGCGCTGTCGGGTCCCATCCCTCAAGTATCTCCCGGAGGCTGTCCGGTAGCATGCCTTCATTGTCCATTTTCACGCCTGTGAACTTGACCCCCATCGGCTTTGCTGTTTCGATCGCGCTCGCGAACGTGTACTCATCCGACAAAACATAGTCTCCAGGCTGAGTAAACATTCGCAAAGCCATGTCCAAGGCCGATGTGTTGCCGATCGTCATAGTACATTGCCAATCCGCATAAGGGGGATCGTGTACTATCTCGGTGTGCTCTGTGATCCAACGCAGAAATTGAGCTGACCCGCTTCCTTGGCTGTAGTTCAAGGCCACAGAAAGGTCGTAAATATTACGGCCTTGATCGATATCGGACTTAGAAGCAAGCAGGGGTGCAGCCACACCGCTCAACACATTCTTCTCAGACTTCGGTTTCTCGGGCGTAGAGATGGTCAAGGATAGACTCTCAAATGGGAAGTATTCACTTAGAGGGAGGCCGCCACCCAAAGAGATCATACCAGGAGTTTTGAGGTGTTTGAAAGCATTCTTAAGGGTCGATCCCGTCCGACTGGCAGACTCCGAGCTCAAATAATCTGGAGGAAACTCTCAGTCAGTACCAAGCGATAGAGAGATTCGATTTGGGGCGAACCATTGACAGAAGTTAAGAGGAGCAGTCACTTACGGTTCCATTCTCGAGCATTGGGCTTGTTCTGCTGTTTTCTGGTCTTGAATTGCTCACTAGTGCAAGGTGCTGCCACCGCCCACTGGGAAGGATGAACCACTTTGCGTTCGGGCTCAAGATTCGGGTCTTGGTCAACTTCACCAGATGTTTGCGGGTTAATCATTTTGAAAGTGAGCTGCTAAGCCTAGAAATGAGTGCAAGGTTAGGAAGGAAGCAGACTGGATGTCTCCTGCAGAAATATTACTCAATTACTACATTATATAATATACCACTCCCAGGTATGTACACACCTAAAATATCTCACAGATAAACCGTACGTAGTATCATCTCGGGATGGATATCGGCATCATGTGGGGTTTAGTAGACCAATTGGAGTGGGTCGGAGTTCATGCCCCCACAAGGTTCCGATCAAGTACTCCCTACTCCGTACTCGATACGCAGTTCATCGCGGTTAGAAAAGGAGATTACGTATATGTGCACATCTGTTTATCTTTCTGCCTTTCTGTCTCAAGGATATATTTGACGCGCACATAAGTGGGAACCGGGGCGTGCTTTGGAGACTGCTTAGACCGGGCTCGGAGAAGGCGGGCCGCGTCAGTGTGTAGTGGGAGGTTGACCTAGGTAGTGCTAGGTTACAAGTTGCTGGTTTGGTATCGATGGGCCCTCAATGGTCTTCAAGCTGATTTTGTTCCCGTAGGCTTGATAATTACGCCTAACAGACTCCGCGAGATGTGAAGGATAGCCAGGTCAACAGAGCACTAGCCTATTGATATTGCCGACTGCTAATCCTTTGAACCCCTACTATGACGAACTCTTCTATGTAGGTAAATTTACTACACCTTTAGCACCTCTTACGCTTCTGTGCTTTCTCGGATTACCGCAGATATGATAGTGTCCGTGAGCAATGGATTGTACATCTTTCTCTCTCTTTTAGTTGAGCTCAACGATGTTCCTGTGGCAAGTAGAACATAGGGGATAATCTGTTGATTTATTTGTACTTGAGCTTGTAACGGAGTCTTTTCCTCTCTCTGAGAATGGAAGGTGTTGAACTGTATGAACGATATTTACATGAATAGTAAGATTAGAACGGCTCCCCACTCATCCAAACTAGAAACAATTTCTCTGCAAAGTATGCGTAGTGGAGTCAAGTTCTAACCCTATTTGTGATAGACAGTGCAGAGCAAGCAAGCAGACTACAGCTGTCCACTGTTTCTTTTCTTCAGGTACTCAACAAATTTGCAAAGTGATTCTGGTGCATCTTCCATGCTCATCGCAATTTCGATCATATTAAGCCCCTTGCCTTCTTGAATCTCAGGTCGCTGTAGAATAGTATGCAGCTCACCCCAGTTCTGAGCAGATTCGGTTCGCACAGGGTATGAGGCATCACCACTCACAGCCCCAAAATAGCTTGGTGCTTGGAGATTTCTCCACGGTTGAACATCATTGTAGGCTTCTGAGAAACCGTGGATGATTCGTTCAATTGTGTAGCCATTGTTGTTCAACACAAATATTGTTACATCAAGCTTGTTCCTGATAATGTCGCTGATTGCCTGAGCGGTCATCTGAAGACTTCCGTCGCCTTCAAACAAGATAGTCCGGCCTGGGGACCGTGTGCCGTCCTTGGCCATTTCTCTTTGGGCTAAAGTAGCTCCTTGGCAGGCACCGAGCATGTACCCGATGGATAGCCAAATTGAAGAGTTGATCAATGTCGTTCCATCTGGAAGAGCGAGACTTTGGCCGCCGTAGGATGCAGTACCAGTCTCAGTCATCACAATGTCTCCGGGTTGGAGGAACCGAGACATGCGAAGCCAAAGTGAATACTGGTCTATCGAGGCAGTATCAACCGGCTCGGGAAGAGTGTTCAGTATCTCATGCGGGAGAAAAGGGTCTTCGGGATACGGCTGTGGGATAGGAATTTCAAGGCCGTTTAGGCGACGCAACAATTTCGAGAGTGTGGTATCGATAGAGAGGAGGCGGGCCTTGACAGGCACACTTTCCGTTGTGTTTAGCGATACTGAGTATTTGTCGAATGTCACCGTGGCTGCAGGCGGTGGCAGAGCAGAGAACCCGAATGTGTTGATTTCAGATCCAAGCACTCCAAAGTGGAGAACCAGATCACACCCTTGAACGTATGACTGGTAGGCTTCACCACCGGCCGAACCAAGATAGACTCCATGGAAGTTGGGCACATTTTCGTCAATGATGCTCTTGCCGAATGGGGTCGTGAGGGTAGGGAAGCCCGTAAGCTTGACCAGTGCGTTGATATCATCTCTGACACCAAACCGGGCGGTGAATCCGTCGACAAGGATTAAAGGCTGCTTGCAGCTTTTGATACGAGAAACAAGAGAGTCGACGGTTTTGTCTTCGAAAGCTTCGTCGTAATCAGGGGATGAAAGACCAATGGGCATATGCGGCGCTGGCACTTTGGCCCGGACCAGGTCGGTGGGTATTTCGATATATACCGGGCGACTTTGTAGCAGTGATTCCTTCAACGTGTCATCAATCAACTGAGGAGCAGTTGAGGCATCCCAAAGATTTGCTTGCGCACATGTGACGCTTTTATACATATCGGCAAACACCCGGAAGTTGCCATCGCCCAGACTATGATGCAAACAGGCGCCTGATTCCTGAGCAGCCCGCGGTGGTGTGCCAACAATATGTACCACCGGGGCTTTCTCGGCATATGATGCGCCAATGGCGTTGATGGCCGAAAGCTCTCCAACACCAAAGGAAGTGACCAGAGCGCCAATGCCTTTGATTCGGGCGTACCCATCTGCAGCGTAGCCAGCACACAACTCATTGGCATTTCCAACCCAGTGAAGACCTGCAGGCTCGAGGTAATCCAGGAGAGTAAGGTTATAGTCTCCAGGAACACCATGGATAGAACCAAGGCCTAGTTGAGCGAGCCTTTGAAACAAATACTCTCCGAGATCCATTTGGGGCGCTGCGAAAGTATTTCGTGTCATGATGGGCCACGAGAGAAGTGAAGTTTGATGATATTCTTGAAAGAGCCACGGGTTATTGTATTATAAGTGAGTAAATTTGTACATCGCAGGCCAACTATATTGCAAAGACGATTTTGTGAAGCCGTATCCACAACACTCCGATCAATGCCGATGGGTCCGCTGTGGGGCACTTGATATGCCGAGGGCAACCGCCAACATTTTGGACGAGATTGCGCTCAACGCATTTTGATCCGATGGAAAAAGAGATAAAATATTGGTTGGTAGCTGGGAGTTGGTGGCTAGTGTCGGCGGTGACTTCTCACCAGCAAGCATTTTCCACACTGAACATAAATTTCCACGAAGAAAAGCCCTAGTGTGTTCCAAGTGACCGACAACTTGAGCAGGCATACGTCTTTACAAGTATCCAAATCGATGTATATGCCAATGGTAGTATTTCTTTTCTCTCCAAGGAAACAGGCGAAAGAATGTCCGAATAGATAAAAGAAGATAGGGTATTCTGTATGTAGAAAGGAAGGCATTGGATGGTCTGATACACAGCAAATCAGAGAGTTACAACAGTGCATTGGCAGCTAGATATGTACTTAAAAGGATCTTGGCATCATCGTCATCAAAGATTTGACCGGGGTGCTTCAAGATGCGTCTCTGGCAGTTTCAAAACTCGGAGAGCATTCCCACCCATAAAGCCCTTCACCACACTGTCCCGGAAGCCGCCTTTAGTTCCAACGAGGTGAGTGTTAACTTTATCAACGCAATCCTTCCATCCCAACTGTGGGAAGTTTGTTCCAAACATCACTTTGTCCTTGCCAGTAGTGTTGGCAAACGTGATAAACTCCGGAGCGTAATACTTTGGAGACCATGCGCTCGTATCTATATAGACATTTTTGTGCTTCCAGGAAACTGCCGTGGTCTCCGCAGCCCAAGGATATCCGATATGGCCCATGATGATCTTCAAGTCTGGGAACTTGAGTGCGATAGAATCGATGTACGGGATCGGACGGCCGACTTCACTTGGACAGGCAGGTGCGGTGTGCCCAACTTGGGTCAAAAACGGAATGTCAAGCTCGATGCACTTGACGAAAAGGGGCCAGTAGTGTGCATCACTTGGGGGTAGGTTCCATAGCCAAGGCACCACCCTCAAACCGACAAACCCTTCGTTTCGAACGTAATGTTCCAGCTCTTTGACGGCTTCAACCGGATTGTGAAGGTCAACAGCAGCTAGTCCAAAGATTCGTTTCGGGTAGGCGCGAGTGTACTGGGCAACCTCTTCGTTGGAAAATATCATCTTCCCCGGGCGACTCCACGCGGATAAACAAATATGGGAAACTCCCGCTTCGTCCATCAACGCAACGACATCCTCGGGCGATCGCTTTTTGTCAGCGATCTCCGGGTCGGAATGACTGTAAGCGAAGAGACGAGCAACTTCAGGGATGGCGGCTCCCAGCTATATTCTGTGTCAGTGATACAAATCTATAACACCAAGGCATGTTATACTTACTCCAGGGAGATTCGCCCACACGTCAACAATGGGGTATTGGAAGGTTGTCGGTGCCATATTATCGCGTGCCTTTTGGGTTTGTTGAATCTGAATATATATTGGATTTGGATAGATAATTGTCGAACAGCAAGTTGACTTCCCAGCCTTGTAGTTGGGTTATAAAGTCGCTCCTTAGATTAGCTAATACTGACACTGCAAACCAGCCGAGGGGAAAGCAGTACAAGCATCGGATATTTCGGTTGTTTCGGGTAGATGTCTTGGCTCTCAATCTTAGTGAATGCTTGTGGAACTTTACCCCGAGGTTAATTTGATTTGTCCAACTTTTCCCCGGACCAAGTTGATGGAAGAAATGTAAGTGGATAGAGGCCTAAGCACATGAGTATGTTCATTGACTGAGGATAGTTGCTGGGAAGAATAAGAAGAATATATATAGGGCTGCTGTTACCATGTATACAGTTAGCACATGACCGGCAGCCCCCTCTGAGGCGGCTGCAGCAGCTAGATAGAACACATCATCATCTTTCCTCTTCCCCCGGGTATCAGCGTAACAGATTCCCTGGAGATTGATTAGCCGGATTCTATACCCATGGCACGAAGTGAAACGAAGGCATTTGATGCAGTGACTACAAATAATGATATGTACGCGGTAACCTTCCACCATTGTTAAGACGAAATACCTCGGCCTAGTTTAGGACTAAGAACAGAAGTCCCCGTGGTGTACAGGTTCAGAAAAAGAAATAGGGCTGGCAGAATTCTCATACCACCACGTTTTCACCTCTCCGACCCCGGTCTTCAGACTTCTCATTATATCGCCCGCGCTCACCCTAGAGTGCTTTCTAGATGTTGATAGCGCATTGGCATGTGCCGTGGAGAGAGAGTATATGGCAAATGAAAAAGTAAAAACATACAATGAGCATTAGATACCCAATTACCAACTCACCGCCGTGTGGCTCGTGTGTGGCTAGTTAGTAGGCGGGTGGGTTTGGCCTTAAAAAGATGGATATAGGGAACAAATGGAGCAGTTAAACCACTTTCGCTTAGGGCGACCTGAGAAGTACTATCCTATCAGGCAAAAGAATTATTGGTGGAGCGTGCGGGTTCCGCGGCCTCCGATGGACGGGAACGTCATCACCGTGTCGCGAAATCTTTGACCACAACCTTCACGATTTTTAAGTACGCATATACTTGCATTTACTTTACAATCTCCCGTTTAGCATGACTGACGAATCCGGGGATGGTAATTCCGTACATTCGGGCCGAGCAGTAGGGGCTCCATGCATCTGAAATACCCCTTAAGTTGATATGCAAACTAACTTATTAAGTGTGATCGCTGTCGCAAGCGAAAGGTTGGACAATCATTTCTTACATCTAGTATGGTATATCGCAATGTCTAACTTCTAATGTCAGATACGTTGTGATAGAACGTCCCCTTGTTCAAATTGCCGATGCGCGGGATCAGACTGCAGGGCATCTAACCGCGCTGACAGGCAGAAGCGGTCGCGAGTTTTAATATCATCTCAATTGTAAGCTCTGATAGCTCGAATTATGTAGTGTGTGAGCTTATACCAATTTTCATTAGCGAGGAGAAAATCGATTCTATCGACAAACAGCTCGGTCGATTGAATTGTCTCGTCGAATCGCTTACTACAGACAATACAGTAAGATCGTCGGCTACTTCTCTCAGTCACCAAAACCACTCAACTTCTCAATATGTCTCTCGCGATATGCCATCACAAAGCACGTCTGTGAGCTCGCCGACCGCACAGGGCCTCGATAAGAATGCTCAATCGTCTAATAATCAAGTCGGGGCACCTCAGAGTGTAATTTTCAACAATATAATGCCAGTTGAAGGGTACTCTTCCCTCACAGCTCATTCCACGTTTGCTATTGATTATGCGCACAACGTCGTCGGCTCGAGTCAACCGATGGGGCAGAGTAGCCTGGAAATTGGCAAACTGCTGGACACGCTACGCCACGTTGGAAATGCATGCAACAAGCAACGTCTTTCATCGAAGCCTTTGTTCCCATTGATACATGCGATAGCCTCCTCAAACTATGAGCAATATGAGATGCCCCCATTGAAAGCCGCTGTCCAAATATTGCGAGAAGCCGAAGGTACTTTTCATTACCATTCGTTTATCTCTATAGACTGATTGTTTGTGCAGAGAAAAGGAACTTTGTATTCCGTGTGGTATCACATTTGCTCGGCCCGCGGAGTCTGTCGGACCTATGTTTGAAAGTTTACTTTTCTCCTGATTACTCCGATGCAGAGTTCATCATTGTCAACGCAACTTTGAATTGTGAGCAAGTCGATATATCGGGGTGAGAAAAGTGGAACTAATTTAATACATAGGTTTGGCATCTGACAGAGTCATCGGGGAGAATGACACCGAGGCCTACGAGGAGCACAATAGACTGGTCTTGATGTGTAAAACCAACCTCGAAACAGCGCTTTCGAAACTTACTCTGTATATCAAACCTAGCTACGACATGGTTCTGGCTCTGATTCTGGGAGTATACCGCCCCCTGTCGCCTCGGATTTCCTTCTCGCGCTGACACGGGAACTCTAGATTTTCTATGCCATTGACGTATCCAATACGTCCCTAGCCTGGGTCTTGGTGGGGGCGGCGTACCAATGCTCACATTCCCTTGGATTACACGCTCGCTCTGATTGTTCAGATGAGTTTTCATACGAGCCAGAGCGGAAGCGATTGCTCTTGTGGGGGATCTACTTTTTTGAGAAGACTTTATCTGTCCGGTTAGGGCGTTCTTCTACTATAGCGAACTGCGATATCACGGTTCTTTCGCTGGAAGGTCTGAAAATGTCAGATTCCCACGGCATTTGCTATGCTCACCAGACAGTGAAGCTGGCTGGTTTGGCTGGGAGGATTTACGAGCAACTTTACTCGGCACATGCGCTCCATATTGCCGAAGATACGCGGATCCATAGAGCACTAGAACTATCGCAGGAGCTTCATGAATACTGTGCAGAGGCGCGTGATACGAATGTTTGTCTACCTGAGAGTTTCGTCCATTTTTGACGAGAGACATCAACTGACCAATGCATGTTTCACGATGTAGCAACTCTGGGTCCAATCGACCAGTGATATTTACGAACAAGAGCAGATTCACTTCATCTCTGCATCTGACGAAGTTCTGCGCCTTTCAATGTTAACTCTCATCTACCGAGCTATGCCCCCAGAGCCCAATTCTGGAACAAGCTCCAGTCTGGAGTGCATTACCTCTGCCAGATGTGCCCTTGAATCCCATCAGGCATTTATTCGGGATGTTGGAATGCGAGGCACCTCCTTACATCTATCTGCCTATATCAACTGGTATGTATGGACATAGCTTAGGCTCTAATCATGTCAGTTCTAAGTCTCTCGATCTTATGTACTAATGTTTTCATTCAGGACAATTTTATTTTCCCCTTTTGTTCCTTTCATTGTGCTGTTCTGTCATACTATTCAGACACGGGATAAGGAAGATTTGAGTCGAATGCGCACGTTCCTTGAATCTATCAAGGGTGCCTGCCAGCATTCCGATGCAATTGCTAAGCTCCATCATCTCTTTGGAGTATTTTATAGCATAGCGCTGCGCTACACCGAGCTCGGATTATCATCCTCTCCGATGGAAGAGGAGCAATTAAAACTCCGAAGTGAGGTGGACACGCATTTGAGTGCTCTTGGGCTAAGGCCAGATGTGGCTGGCCACTATACAGAGAGAGTTGACGGTTTGATGTCATGCCCGAGCGTGGGAACCATTGAGGAAAACCAAGCTTCCGAAGGAAACAACTGGGCGCCAGATCCATCGCTTGGACGCTGGTTTTCTTTCAATCAGCAGATGATGGATTTATTTGATGGCAACGACTTGCCATTTTGAATATGGAGGTTTTGAGTCTTTTGAGTTCACAAGTAAGAGACTTCCAAAATATTGTATTATTTGTGCGCATTGGGTCAAGTTTCTGATTGTCTCTTACGGGGCATTCACTCGATAGACTATATGATACTACCAGTAAAAAGTGTTTGCCAAGCCTAGGGCAGAAATGGCTACAATGGTAAAATTACAAGATTTTATACACTCATCTATATTTGGGTTTTATCTCTTGGCCACTTTGTGCAGCCCACAGGACAAACTACAATGCCCGGTAAACCAATCCATCACTTGGGGCCATGCTGATCCCATCGCATCCACGCTTGGCAACGGTACCACGCAATTTTCGGGACGCGAAAAACGACTTGAATGGACGGCGCTCACGGAGCCCGCATCCCCGATACTCGAGACAAGCTCAGGTTGGACTACTCCACGGTCGTGGCCGTTTGAGATTAGCAAGGTATTTAGATGGTTTCTTGCTGCTCATGTGTTTTCATTTATATATATTTATCGTGCTCTAATTTCTCTCCTTTAGCTCTTCCTTTATCTGTCCGCTCCAACTTTACAAGCATCGACTTCCAGAAAATCCAGTATCTACAAAAATGATCGTTGACCTATTGATCAGCATCACACATTCTTCTATTTTCCGGATCATCATAGCTTTAGCTCTTAGCACCTTTCTGTATGAAGCCATCCGTGGGCCCCGACTCTATCCCGGATTTCCTCTAGTCGGTGTCGACACAAAGGACGGTTATCGCCGTGGGCTTACCAAGGCCCGAGAGGAATGGGCCGCCCAGGGAAAGCAAATCATTGAGCAGGGCATGAAACAGGCAAATATTCGCATTACCCACTTTTGTGACTGTGGCTGACGTTCCCACTAGTTTACGGGTTGCTTCCAGGTCTTCACAGATTTTGGACCTAAGCTTGTCCTGCCCAATCGCTTCGTGGACGAGATACGCAACCACCCCGACTTTCATTTTGGGAAGGCTATATCCGCTGTACGCGACAAGTCATTTGCTCCAGTGTTATCTAAAATCTAGGTCTGTCTGATATTTTAATTAGGATTTCTTTGGGTCATATCCCGGTTTCCAGCCCTTTACCGTGGACAGCTCGTCTCAAGTTCTCGTGGATACTGTGAAAGGCAGGCTCACACAATCACTCAGTGAATACACCACTCCAGGCTCTACCTCCAAATCAATACTAATTATGTTTGCTCACGATTTAGACCTCATTGTGGAGGAGCTCGCGGATGAGACAAACAAAGCTGTCGATAAGCTCTTTGGTAATCCGGAAAGTACGTTACTTCATCAGACCCTATTTATTGCTCCGTTGGCTGACATGAATCCACGGCTTGGGTGGAAATTACATACAAACCGAAACTCCTATGTCTGATTTCTCGTATCTCGTCACGCGTCTTCATCGGCCCGGAGCTCTGCGCAAACGAGGAATGGATGGAAGTCAGCACAGAGTACGCCCTTGATGCTTTCATTGCCGCACGCGCCCTGCGACAGTGGCCTTTCGCCCTCCGTCCTATTATACACTGGTTTCTACCGGAGTGCCGCAAGCTCAGAGCGACCCTTGGGGAAGCGCGGAGAATTTTGAAGTCCGTTATCGAGAAGCGCCGCCATGAAAACAGGGAGCGCCGCGATGCTGGACAAGGTCCATCCAAGGTGGCAGACACTATTGGCTGGATGGATGAGGCCGCTAAAGGGAAAGCCTACGATGTGGCGGTCGCTCAGCTTGGCCTCTCGCTTGCGGCCATTCATACCACGACCGAAATGGTGAGCGGCCTCATTAGTGACCTCTGTGCCAATCCTGAGTACTTTGAACCCCTGCGTGAGGAGATAGCCTCCGCTGTGGCAGATAAGGGCTGGTCGAAGAAGGCACTGCAGGATTTGAAACTTATGGATAGCGCAATGAAGGAGTCACAGAGACATCACTTTGGCGATATTGGTAAGCATTTTTTCCTAATTTGTTGCGCCGGGTGATTTCCTAACAGACTTTGCTGCATCAAGCTGCAATGCATCGTATGACTATAAACCCTGTCACGCTGTCAGATGGTACACGAATTCCCGAAGGGACTCTGACAATGGTTGGCATCAACCAGACAGATAATGCAGATATATTTCCCGAGTCTCATAAATACAAGGCCAAGCGATTTCTCAATATGCGTCAAAAACCTGGGCAGGAACACCGTTGGCAATTTGTCTCGACTTCACCCGAGCACCTTGCCTTTGGTCATGGCAAGCACGCTTGCCCTGGACGATTTTTCGCCGCAAATGAGATCAAGGTTGTGCTGATCTTCCTTCTCATGAACTATGATTGGAAGTTTACTGCCGAGGGCTGTAAGGTCGACAAGTCATTTGGTCAGGAGACGGATACTGACCCGACCGCTAAAGCGATGATCAGGAGGAGGAAGCTAGGAGTCACGATGTGAGTTTATGGTACAGTGTGTAATTCTTCTTTGCAAAGAACATATTGCAAGACCTGCAACTTTCGTCGTTTCGTGATCCTTGGGGCGAACTCGTTTCAAGCAATGACTACAGTATCATATATGCGTGTGTCCAAATGTTTGCTTCATATCTCCCATAGCACCAGTACTCTTCGACTTTAGCATACGGTTAATTTGGCCATATCAGCGTGGTTTATGGCAACGCCATATGTTCGTAGATGCTAGCGAAAGCCTTTGATCCTATGTTATATGAATACATGCCCGGTGTCAATTCAGGCAAAACTCCGCATACTGATTATTAATAGGTTTATTCCATGAAAGTATAGCCAGTTTTAGGTACTTCACATGACTATCATGGGCTGAAAATCTTTCGACACAACAGATCAAATGAGACAAGCATTGCCTTAGTTAAATGCAAGCCAAACAAGATGGTCTCTGTAGATACGAAGCTCGTGAACTCATGTCTCTCTGATAAAAGCTACTAACCCACCTCATAACAAAGGAAAGATCAAGCGCTATGTGGATCAGATCTTGTAGAAAGGTATTATATTCAGGCTCTCTAAAAGTTCCATCTAGTCATATCCCGAGCACTATTTCGTGCCGTTGCCTCGTTCCTGCGTAGCTCTTGTCGCAAAAGCTGCCTGTCTGTCAATGGCTAGTTGCGCGGGGTCCCGCATTCTGCTTGTTCTGAGCCTCATGGATATACATTATGAGATCATCCAACAGAGAATAGGTTTTGACAGCATCTCACTCCTCAGCATGAGGATTCACGCCATCAATGGGCGGGCCAGCATAGTTTTCATGTCCCCAGACCCAATACCATAGTGCTGAGACAAGCACAATGCCCACAAATACCACAACTGCGTAGTTCATCGTTTCGACAGTGACACTTTTGAAGGTTGGCATGCAGAATAAGGGAATGGCCAGGATGGTCCACGCTAATGAGAGTGTTAGTGAGATATGAACCAATACAGCAATGGAAAAACTAACCAACGGCAACGACATTGCAAAATGTACCGAGATGTCCGAGATAAAAACTACCATGCTTGATATCCTGGCGATGTCGTATGATCAGCGATACAGCGACGGGGCAAGCGTAGCTGAGAGTTAGTAATATGATTCCCACGCCGGAGAAGGCACTGAATGCCGCGCTGGATCCAAAATAAATCAATCCCAACAAGATCTCGATAGTCATGCACAGCATCATGGCATTCAGGGGGATATCTAGGCGCCTGTTGACGGTTTTCCACCATTTGGAGCCCGGAATTGCGCCGTCACGCGCAAACGCCCAAGTGCATCGACTGGTGGATGTTGCACAGCCAACGCCACAGATGAGGCCTAATATCAACAGTGGGACAAGCAAGCAGAATGCACCGACGGAACTGCCAGTGGCGGATTTCAAGGTCGGCGGGACTGGTTGTCCTGAGGCGATCAGCGCATTGAGATCGGGCAATACAAAACAGATGGGAATCAATAGTGTTAAACCAGCAATCAGATTGATTGCTACGGTTCCCACCATGGCCTTGGGTACTTGGATAGCAGGTTCGCGCACCTCTTCACACATTCTATGTTGGTTATAATGGTTTAGCTCGAGACCATGGGTTAACTGCAGTTGAAACTTACGAAATGATCATTCCTGTGGCTGAGGTCGCCCATGAGGCTTGTAGCAGACCGACGCAGAACGACCAACCCGCAGGCCAGCCGCTCAGCGGCTCGAAATCCGTGAAAACCCATTCGGCGGAGTGTCGGCCTTCCTTGGCAAGTACCAGAATGCAGACGACAATGGCAATCACGCCTGCTATAGTCCAGAAGATGGCGAATTGCTGTAAACCAAAAGAGTCAATTGGAGGATGCGGAATGGAGAACATAATGAATATAACAAAAACACAAAAGACAGACAGCTAGGAGCTATAGGAAGGGAATTCAGGTCTGGGATATAGGTACCTCTAACCACGGCAGATATTTGTTGGCGAATGTAGGAATTGCATGACATAAGAGGGTAACCGCCAGGAAGATCAGGAACACATGGTAAGCTTCGAAATGGTCGGTGATCCCGACTCCGGGCGACTTCTCGAAAACGTTGAGACTGGCGACGAAAAGCTGTGCGGTTGAGAAATTGACTGACAATGTGATCATAATTTGGCCGGTCATGTAGGCCCAACCACAGATCCAGGCAAGGATATGCCGGCACCAGGGAGGTGATAAGACAAAGGTCTGGTAGTAGACGCCACCGGCTGTAGGGAAGACCGAGGTGATCTCAGCCAGCGAGACAGCTACGCAAAGAATAATCAGGCACACAGCCACCCAGCCCCAGATGACATTAGAAGGACCTCCACCTGCCAAGGGATACGTGAAAGTGGTTGCGAGTCCGTAAGGTACCGAGGATAGGATGAAGCACATAAAAACGACATTCCAGGTAGAACGATTTCGCTGGAGCTCGGGAGTGTATCCTAGCGTTTCAAGGTCGCGATCGGCTGAGGTTTTATCGTATGTTCCATGTCCAGATATATTGCTTTCGCTGTCGGCTAGAATTGCGTGTGGAAGTTCGCTTTTGGGAGGTTGTGGAAGGGTCATGGCGGGAAGTGGAAGAGGGAGAAGCCAGATTTGCGTCAGAAAAAGCCTCAAAATGGTATTAATGGGTCCAAGATATTTGTGGAATTTTCATTCGCGTTTGGGCAGTGATTCGGGTTTATGCTTGCATGGGAAACTGTCGCAGGGGTGGTCGTGACATATGGTTGATTTTGGCCTGGAACAAGAAGAAGGGAAAAGAAGGAAAGAAAGAGGAAAATCATCAATTTGCTCGTCCTATTAGAGGCGTAACCCCACCAGTCGTCGGCTTGCAAATTTGATTTTTTGCCAGTTACTTGTCCAATCAATATCAGTGGGGATTTTTCGGAATAGGGGAATCCTCTCGACTCCCAACTGGAGCGATTCAGGGCAAGTTGGTCCAGGCAAGTATAGTGGGGAAAATAGGGTGTCCAGGATCCAAGAGGTCGACTCAGAGACCCTGCATTATGAATATTGATAGAATCCAAAGACTGGCCCTCTCAAAATCTCCATTACTCTTGAAGTTCGTTCAATGGCATTTCTCAGTGCCCAAACAGCACCTTTCTCACAGACCTCTGATAAGCAATTCGTTGAGCAGGATGTAGAGAATCTATATCGAACCAATAGTCTAATCCAACTTTGCCTATATAAATTCTATAGCCTTGTCATAACAATTTTCATGGCACCAACTTTGTTCCATATTGGATGAAAATACCACCGAAATGACCTATAATTACTAACGATAGCGGTGCGCGCATACGGAACAGCTCGCAGGATTTCCGAGGTACCTTAGGTGTCCACATACCAGAAAATGTAATTGTTATCATACGGCTGTAAGGTCAGCTTGGCATCGATTCAAGCTTTTCAGAGGTGCGTTTACAATGCAAACTCGCGAATCTAGCCTTGGATTTGAAACCACAGGTTCCTTTCATGCGCCTGATATGCATCATATTTTCCGCAAAGGAGGCATGTAATTCCTGTTATAATAATAATGTAGTGAGTAGCATTAGCCTGTCGATAAAATTGTGAATGTATATAGTGGGGGCCCCAGAAATTAGTTCAAGTTCTAATCCATATTATATTAGTGTTCGGGGTCCGCGGCCGCCGATTCATCAAATCGAATAACGCGAGTCTATGTCCCGTAAGCCGGAGTTTCGCACTCTGCGGAACCCGTTGAGCTTTGATTGGTGACCACCTTAGCGACGTCTCCGGTGATCCACTTCATGAGTCCTAGAGCTCTTGTTAAAATAGAGTAATTAGCCAGTAAAAGGTAAAAATAAGATGAAGTCAAAGTTTTTGTAGTTGGAAAGGAATTAATCAAGATTACTACTACCTACGACACAATCTGTTATGGCACAATGGCCGGTAAACGTTGTATGTCGTAGTCGTAAGGACACTCTTCATTAGGTCCTCGCATCTTACGATAAGCCACGGTTTTGACAAAAGACGACCCATCCTCTGATCTGATGATTGCTTGGGAATTGTTGATGTATGGAGACTATTCAGGTGTACTGTTTTACCATTGTCATCGCCATGGAGCTGTATGGCGCCATGGACCGCTGTTGATTTCCTTTTTTGGTGTCGATGCCTGAATTATGCTTAATTTCAAACTGCCAACCATTTTAAATGCTTGAATAGAGAGCATATGCCAAAAAGAAAAAAGAAAACAAAAACATACAACAGTGAGGATTCGCTGGTGGTCACCCACCCCACTACTAACTCACCGGCGTGTGGCAATGGGCTTATGTGCGGTCAATAGTTCGGTGGGTGTCGCCCGGGTGAGAAATGGGTGAGCGCCGCTTTGCGGTCGCGCGACTGGGGTGACAAGGGTGAGTGCACTATAGACGGGGTGAGAAGCTAGGTAAGAAATCACCCAGTCGCACGACCAATGCATTGACCCTTGCAGCCCGACAAAAGCAGAATTTCATTGGACCGTGTCGTTTCCCTTGAAACGCTGGACATCTTGCCATCTGCACATAACTAAATCTAGAAGCATCATACCACAAGTAGGCAACATGACTAGTCACTGGCCAATTAGAGCTCACCCTGAATTGACATTATCAGTCTCAAAAGTATACGATACTGACTGGCCAGGTAGGATTATCTAAGTGGGAAAAAACCCATTATATATAATAGGAAACAAGCAAATACGAACAAGTATCTCGAGAAAAGCGCTAATTTATCATATATTCCCTGTATGTGATTCTAAATTCTGCTGCGAGCACTAATCTATGGGACCCCACCCTGTCTCTTTTTGACTATGATTCTATATTTGAGTCAGATTTTACAAAGACGGCCATGAACAGTGTCAAGCAACTTAAAGCTGAGTTCAGTAGGCTCCTCGCTCATACCCAGTTTCTGCTATAGCAATATCGTGCCTCGTTCTCCAACACTCTCATCTTAGCCTCGATTTCTGATCGCAGACCAGCCAGGAGAGATCACTAAGACCCGGGGTAATACCGTAAGCTCCTTGACAGATAATTGCGGGTGTTTTGAATCAGCTCCAATCTTCCTGGAAATATCATACACGTACCATGTATCTACTGTACCCGTGAAAATTTTGTAAGAACAATGAACCACAAGATTTCTAAGTTAAACCACGAGCAATTTCGACTAGCAATACCAAAGGAGACGCAAATAGCCGATTATTTGTCCTTCGCAATAATCAAGACAGTCGTCTTGAGCTATTTGAAGGCCGACCACCAGTTCTCCTCTCTGCATCGTGCGCCTTAACGTCGTGCCTTCTCAACCCACCCGGGGAATCGTAAGTCTTTGAACACTTTGCGCAATGAAATGGCTTTTTTGACGATGCTAGTATGGGCACTGGGGTCTGCTGCCGTGTTGGCTTTGGCCGGAGTGGTCGAAAGGGACTCTGAGCAATGTCACTCGCAGATGGTACATGCTCGAATTCATTTGCAGGAACTGTGGTATCTGGTAGTTCCACTGGGTTTCTGTGGGCTACTTAGCAAGTCACCTTCTCTAGGTGATCAGGGCACAGAGTACGAACGATTGGAAGACTTGATCGAACTGCCATTGATTGGAAGACCGTCGATTAACGGTTTCGTGGGCCGGCTGAAGTGGCCACTGGTGCAAGGCGGGGGTATTGTAAGCGTCAAAATCCAGCGCGGCATCGCAAATGAAAGAAGACGCGACATTAAGCTTGTCACCAAACGTTTCAGGCTGGGAGTATATTATAGGAGATATAGTCGGCTGAAGTGGCCACTGGTGCAAGGCGGGGGTATTGTAAGCGTCAAAATCCAGCGCGGCATCGCAAATGAAAGAAGACGCGACATTAAGCTTGTCACCAAACGTTTCAGGCTGGGAGTATATTATAGGAGATATAGTCGGCTGTAACGAGGTACCAATCACCTCCGATTCTTGATATTCACTTTCCATCAGGTTCTGGCCCTCGAGCCAAGACCCAGCATAAGATTTGTCATCACCACTACCCAAACCAACATTAGCTCTCAACCTTTCTCTACTGGTCATTCCCTCGTCCGAACGTCAGCAGGAGTGTCGAAGACGGACTCCTGGCGGGGAGAAGCATATGGCTGAACATTAAGGGTCATAATGCAGCAGGACAGGCGGGGATTGTGCAATTGCATTGCAAGGCTATTTCGCGCGCGTGGTACTTGATACGTAGATACCCGGAAAGGCGAGTCCTGTCCTTGAGATATTCGACTGATCGAATTTCTTCTCTTTTGCTTTCTCCCCGACTCGCGCTAGCCTCGTTGTCCTTGGCGACTTTGCTGTTACCTGAACGCCTTTCCGAGCTGGACATTTACAGTGGATAGATAGTCTTGCTGATCCAACTGCCCCCTCAACACATCTTTCTATTACGGTCATTAGAAAGCTTTGACTCACGTCGCCTTTGGCTTTGGAACCATTTGCCGCTGACGTGTTTGAGGTATATATTTCGAGTCGTCGTTAGTAGGAAGATCACTAACATTTCCGGATTGACTGCGAAGTCAAAGTCCTCGAATGCTTGATGCTAATGATAAAAACAAATCAGCTCCGCCAATGTAGAGTGGTAAACACAAGCCCTACCGTGGTTGGCTTATCCTCCATTAGTGGTGGATTGTGAAAAAATTCCATGATCCGATCGAGTCGGCCGAAGTAGGAGAGACGATTGAGTTTGATAAGTCAGCCGAAAAGCCGACCCGATGGTGAATAAGGGAAAGGGATGTGAAGGTAAAAAAGAGAACGCTAAGCCCAGTGGATAGGACAAGACTTTGAATGCGATCGGGTGTATCTATAGCCTTGCAGATGGTCTGTGCCTACCTCAGGCAGTTGTTCAGAAACTAGTGCGGGATGCAAATAGTCAGAAATAGATGGCCAATATAGTCGCAGAGAAACGCACGAGTGATGATCATGCTTAAAGACAACTTGTCGATGTACCTGGTGGACCAATCCAAAATTCGAGAATCCAACATTTGGGCTTATGGTTGCGTCATTCCACAGTTGACGGTTGCAGCATGTAAGCAGCACAGACTCGCAATAACCAATCCTATGGCCGAAAACCAAACACTTCTTAGTCGCTGTTATCCCGGCTCGGTCGATCATGCATCAACGCGAAACACCAATCCTGGTGGCTTTTCATCTCAAGTAAGAGTTCTCTGAATGCGCGAATGAAATATCCGAGAATCGAACACGATCTCAAAAGCGTCAGCGCAGGCAACCGAATTCTGTTCGATTCCGCCGACTAATCTGGCAGTTTTGGGTATGTATGCGCTGGCAACTGCTGGGGTACAGTCGGGTATTTGTCATTCTGTGTTTTCGCGGTTATTTTGGCCCCAGCCAATTGTAGGAGAATTTGCTATGACTTGTGTCAGGTTTAGCGGGACGGATTGACACCTGAGTATAAGATGCCTCTATGATCCCCTCTAATGGCATTATCTCCCGCCTTATAGTGCTCCTCTTATTGTTGGTCTTTGCCTGAGATACGCGCAATTGTTGTTCACTGCCACTGACCACTCAAACCACTGTAAGTAAGGGGCTTGGCTAGTATCACTTTCAAGCTGACAAAATTTAGACACCATTGCTTCCATCTCTTTCAATATGCCCAGAGAAATCCCTAGCCTATTCTCACGGGCGCCCGACTGCTGCGGCGCTCAGATGTATCGTTGCCAAACAACCAGTAATTCCAACGGCAATAGGAACAGATGGCGTTATGTCTGCGGAGAGTGCCATAGTATGGTCTTTGATGACTGGGAGGGCATTCGAGGTGGGAATCCCTTGTGTGACTGTTCAGAAGTTTCTCGCGGACAGATCGAGCGTAGTCGTGTATTTGCGTTCCGGTGCGCGAGGAATGATTGTGAATTCAGGGAAGAGGAAACTTAATGATTAGTGGGTCTTGACACTGCGCGTGGGATGCAAGTAGCGCAGGAGCATGGGATGCTGTCAATACAGAATCTTCTCCTATATACTAAATGTCCTGGCATTTCGAAAATTTAATCCGCATATTCCGAAATGCATTAGCCATGGAGTTATGGCCCGCTGGTTTGGTCATTTTCGAGACCATTAGCAGATTTACGACTCGACTACGAAAGTCTTCTTTAGTGTCCTTCACCACGGCCTTATCATAGAGAGTAACCCGCCATTCTATAAAGTAGTGGATATAGGTCGGGGAATCCTCGTCATTGATTCTGTCTTTCTCCCAGTCAGATTCCTAGAGCAATGGTAAAGTGCTTTGTTGAGATCGGCTTACGGGACTTGGTTCATCGTCGAGCAGGAAAGATAGGGAGGTTACGGGATGGCGGGGCAAGAGGGCTTCGAAAATATCCCAGGGTAGGTGCATATTAGGAATCCTCCTCCCATGATTAAAGATGCCGAGGCTTTGAGACGTAGTCAATGTGATATAGGTTGTCGCTCATATCTACAGATTATCAAAGGGCGATAACCTAGTTTTAATGTACATAAAGAATAATATCGAGCGCGTTTCAACAGAAACTACTGTGTCACCTTTAGCCTAATTTTACACGTAGTTATATTAACAATATCTATGCCAATAAAATGGAGATAAAGTCTCATATAATTTCTTAAAATGGCGATTAAATTAAATAGAGTCAAGTGTGTTAACTCCAAATAGATCGAAGAAGGCAAACGACTAGATGTCTTATACAAAAAAAGTTGCAAAGCAGATTCATTAAAGAACATTAGGAGTAGCTAGAACTTTCTATAGCATACGGACAAGAGAAATATAAGAAGTTAGCAATCTAACAATTTATCCCCCTCCCAATCTCACCAGTTCCCAAAAAACTATTTAGAGGCTCTTTGGTGGAATCTTCTACCTCGGAGGATCGGCTTACTCGGCTTTTCATAACGATAATTAGACCTGGCTGCGACCCCATTTAGACCCGCGGAGACGCCAAGGAGGGTCCAAAATCCGGACCTCTAAGAGATCAGGCTGGAACTGTGTATAATCTCGCTCGATTTTTTAGCGTAGTATAATATTCTGCGAATGATTCTAAGAGCTACGGAGTTAGGTCCGGCTCGTCTTTCGAAAAGTTGGCATCGGCCGCTTCCTTCGAGAAAGTCTCCATATACAGATTGTTAATAATAGTCCGTCAACTAAAGCTTAACACCTTACAGAGCCCAGTTCAAGACGGAGCTCTCATATTTATCGACTGTCGCAGGTGCTAGCTTTTTGTGGCATATAATGTTGTCCTCGTTCTCCCGCTCAGTGTGATACCCGTGGGTGAAGCCACGTGATGCGGCACGTGCGATACGCTCATCGAGAGCCTTCTGAAGATCTTTAGGGAACACAGTCTTGGACGATAATGGAATGAAAAAAGTAGGACGAGCCGAAACCAAAGCCTCCGTGGGGTATTTATCACTCTAGCTTGGGTCCATGTGTGAGGGGACACTGTCACCTTGTCACCCGTTCTCACCTCTGTCACCCCGGTCTCTAGAATTCTCACCCATATCACCCACACTCACCCTAAGACCAATGCTTTTGCCATTTTGGTCTTCAGGGCGTCTCGAGGATTGGCCGCGTAGAGTAATGGGCTTAAGTACGGCTGAGCGGACGGGAAGCCCTGTTTTCCACACCCTATGGTCGTATGTGATTGAGATAGCATAGGAGATGATGATATTGTACAATTCGTTGACTGGTGGTAGAGGAGTAGAATGATGAGGGTCGCTTTAGTGTCGCACGACCTAGGGTGATGGGAGTGAGTGGACTGAGATTGGGCAAGTCTAGCTTAAGGTTTGGCTCCACCAGGAGCAAGTAGACAGATATTGTGTCAACATCTGTCTAAAGAAGGTAAACTGTCTCTTCCCCTTAAGCCACGAGATTGTTTGGACTGATCAATTTTGGGCAAGAAACGGTGCAACACTCCATGCAACAGGCTTGTTTTGATAAAACTCCATGGCTAGTACAAATCACATATGTATCCACCTGCATACCACCAAAGACGAGATTAGTGCGAGGAAACCACGCTCTACGACTCAATCATTAGCTCCGAACCTGCAACTTAAGTCCCCCAAAATGGACAACTCACAAATTCCTGTACCATGTTAATTTCGAGATTCCTCCCCCGTAGGTTCTCTTTCCGGGTCTTCGAGTGTCCAGCAACCTGTACATCATCAATGTGCACATTTTGCGGCGCATTCATCTCGTAATCCAGATTGTGATATTGCCGGTGGTCCTGCACAGGCAAGGAAACCTCGTTCCAATTGGTTGTAGTGGAACGGAGCTTGCCGCGTGGTGAGGTAGGGTATACACCCGAATTGCCGCTAGAAAATCCGTAGCGGTACTGGGTAACGCTTGGGCTTTTTGAGATTACAGCTCGAAATGGCGGGAGGCATCCGACAATGATGGCTTTACTGTAGTTAGTATACTTCAGTGGTAGGTCCAACGTAGGGGTCACTTGCATATTGAGGACTCGGCAATACTCCATATAGCAAGGGCTGCTTGGTCAGAGTATGCTTTGCCGGTGATCTCGATAGCGCGAACAATTGCCGCTCCGATAATAACAAATCCGAAACCGAAGACAACCGCCAAACCGATCTTTTGCTGGAGGTTGATTCTGGTGCCCCAAATCAGACTAAGTGGAAGAGACATGACTAGTACGCGCCCCAGTGTCAATTATATTGTGTTGAATTATCGCGACGATAGGAGGCCATACTCAACAAGTCCGTGATTATATCAACTACCGTACTATAAGATATAGAGATAACAGATCCCTTCTGGTCAATCGGCTTGGTGCATTTTCCTATGAAATGTCAGAGATTGCCCTAGCAAACCGATTTCATAGAGGGAATACTATACCAAATCTAAAGTAGTCGGACGGTGGATGGCAGTTGAATATTGAAGCCATCCAGCAGCCAATATATGCCAATACCGCGAAAACTGTAATTATCCACCACACGCGCCGGTATCGAGGTAGTCCGTCCGACAACATCCAAAATAGGGCCAGAAACGATCCTTTGACGCTCCATAGCACAGACCAAAATATACCAATGATAGGAAACTCGAAGCGTGTGTAGAGCAGCCCATGGTGAACAATATCGGGCTCCGTGGTTTGAAGTATCATATAATAAAGATGAGGTGCCTGTAAGGTTTGTAGGACTGCGTTGGTAATGAGAAAGGCCAAAGCAAGAAGCATGAAGTAGTCATCGGCTAGCAGGCGGTGCATATATTTTATCCGAATTGCGATACGAGCAACTGTGAATAGAGTACCCAGCGCTGCTCCAACCCAGGTTATGGCTATGAGGCCATTCACTGAAAGATGGGTTGCCACTCCATGAGGGATGGGTGCACTGCTCATGGCCACAGAAGTTGGCATGCGTAAGCGCGCAACGGTTGCTTTTGTGAGGCAATAACCAAGAGGCGATGGTCCCAAATGGTCCTCGACAGCTGTCATGTAGGAGGCCCAGGGGGAAAAAACAACGCAATATTTCTCACATTGGCATGAAATTCAACTCGTCTATCTGCAAATAATAGCACGAAGAGCACAGCAGACCCTTGTAGACCTAGGACCGACAAAGATCCGGGCAAGAGGAGCAATATAACGGAATACGCATTGACAACTGAAAATAGTACGCACACTGGCCAAGCAAAGTGCCTCAAATGCGATGTAAAATCCACAATAAAAATGTTTAGTTCATCCTTTACAGTTCCTCGGGACTTGCCTTCAATCACACGAGGCTCTTGCTCCTAGTGTTCATTTCGTTCATCTATCAACTCATCTCTCGAGGGGCTGATTTGTGGATACCCAGATGTACAAAGTAGGCAAGATCCGCAGTAGTGCGTTGAAAAATTTATGAAGGGGTTCGTAATCCCTGTCGATGGGTTAACAACTTCGCCCCCCGGGACGGAAAGGCGGCTCATATTCATCCCTTTTAGACTAGGCGAGGGGAGTTAATTAATGTCTTTTTCACACTCAGCATTTGTGCCAGACTTGAGTTGGCGCCAAATGAAATCAAATAGATGGATTAATCAATCAAAAAGTAAGGATCAACACGAAGTCGACACCCGGACGAGCCGGAATATCTGGGGTTTATGGGTAAAAAGATCAATTGAGCAGATTATAGTTCAATCTATTTTGTTATACACTAAGTTAAACTAACGCCCAAGCGAGCTCGGTATTGTTGATCCTTGACAATTAGTTTGATTGTTAGTGTTACATATATTCTAGCGGCCCCAGCAGCTTGGCCCATTGGGCTTGTTTCAAGCCTAGTGTCCTTTATCTAGGCCGCATTGTTTGCATATTTCATTGTGATAGGGGGTGTGAAGAAGCACAAGTGTCTCCCCCATTAGTTGTTTTTCAATTTGTTCTTCCAACGTAGCATTTATTTTTCAATGAAGGAAATTGAGAATAAAATTCACGATCCATGACCCACCCAAACCACACAGACCACACGTCGGTTATGCCCCAGGGCGGAGGTCAATAACGCTACGGAGTGCTCCATATGAGTTTCCACCTTCTGGTTGGGCTAGAAATGGTCGTAGAATGAGCTGATGCGACAATCCACTCGCGCTTGCTATATGCGTACATTAGATGGTGCCGGGAAATTATTCTATCCGTGTGCCGTCTGCCGCCCGCAGCCCCTTAAATATTTGAATGAAGAGTTTGTTTGCCCCGGATTTGCTAGAAGCCCTCTTCATATCCGTTACTCCCTTGGGATAACGGTATTTTGCCATGTTGTCAAGAATTTTGTCCGTTCTAGCTTTTGCCGGCATCGGCTATGCGAGTCAGAACGCGTGCAAGTGCGTAAGTTATATATATTTGAACCCGACATCAAATATCGATTTTTCCACGTGCCTGGATTAACTTTCTCTGCAGACTCCAGAAGACTCATGCTGGCCTTCTGTTAACACTTGGAATGCCCTCAACACAACAGTAGCTGGGAAACTTATCCACAATCTCCCAGTTGCTATTTCGTGTTACCCCGGCACTTACCAGGATGACGAGGAGTGCGCCCACGTCTACTCGCAATGGTCCAATTCTACATTTCAAGAGCTTTCCCCGGTCGGATACGTTTATCCCACGGATGTTTCATGCCCCGCCGTTGATCTGAGCACGGGCCAAAGCACTGAGAAGTGTATCTTAGGGCCCGCCCCAGTATATACGATCAATGCAACAGAGCCCGCGGAGCTTGCAGCTGGCATAGCATTTGCGCAAAAGAATAACGTTCGCTTGGTTATAAGAAACACCGGGCATGATATGCTGGGAAAGTTAGTCACACCAGTGAGATCATCGATAAATAATCTATCTACTAACCTATAACTTGATTATAGGAGCGAGGGCTATGGAGCACTCCAAATTTGGATCAAATATATTCAGACGGGAATTACCTTCCACGAGACCTACACGGCTTCCGATAAATGCGCAAGCAGCGGTTGGACAGGCTCTGCGATCACCATTGGCGGAGGGTATGTTTGGGAAGATGTGTATGAAGTGGCCTTCAAGCGCAATGTCGTCATCGTTGGTGGGGGTGATCCGGTATGAGAATTCATATTATGTCCCCAATTCCCGCCAAGTCTACAATTCTAATATGTTGTTACGGAAAGACCGTTGGGTGCATCGGCGGTTACACACAGGGAGGCGGTCACTCGCCAGCCAGCCGTGACTACGGTCTTGCTGCGGATCAAGTGCTAGAAGCTGAGGTTGTGCTAGCTAGTGGCGCTATTGTTACAGCTAATGCTTGCCAAAATTCGGATCTCTACTTTGCCATTCGCGGCGGTGGAGGTGGCAGCTATGGCGTCGTTACCTCGATGACAGTTAAAGTGTACCCCAGCAAGCCTGTTGTTGCACAATCCCTCACAGTTAGCCCGATTGCGCCTAGCGAGGATACCGACTCACTCTTGGATGCTATTACCGATATTCACGAGCAGTACCCTAGTATCATGGATAAGGGGTTCTCTGGGTATGGCTCCTGGTCTATTAACAGCCCCATGAAGCTCTTCGGCAACGAGACCGTTGGCTATGTTCATGCTGCCGCAATTATGGGCAAGTCGCTGGCTGAGGCACAGAAAATTTCAGCGCCGCTTCTGGAACAGCTGCAGAAGTATAATGGTACTTCGCTTTCTGTATCTGTCTCATGGTTTGAATTCCCAACATACGCAGCGTATTACCAGGCTATGTCGGGTATGAAGCAGCCTGGTGGATCATCGAACTCGGCAATGACTTCGCGGATGATTGGGAAAGCCGCTCTGACGTCTAGTCGGACTCGACTGCGTAGCATGATCGGAGCTATCGCCGGTGAAGCAAATGAATATACAATCAATAATGTGGAACTCGTTGCTGGTGGCAAGGTTCTAACTGATGGGAATGATAAACACTCTAGTGTCAACCCTGCGTGGCGCTCTGCCTACATCGTGGAAGTTGTCGCTCGAGGCTGGGCAGACGAGTCCACTGCTCAGTCTGTGAAGGACGATATCACATACACCAAAGGAGCAGCCATGAGCCTGTTAACCCCAACCCTAGGCAGTTACATGAATGAGGTACGTGGTACATTGATACTTGTTGAGGACTTATATTAACAACAAGAAAGGCCGATCGCAACGATCCCTTGTGGGCTACTAATTTCTATGGTACGAACTATCTTCGGCTTGCAGCGATCAAGAAGAAGTATGATCCGACGGGTCTGTTCTACTGCCCGACTTGCGTGGGAAGCCCTTCATGGTACCAGCACTATCTACCAGGGACACACTACGGTCCACTTTGTTCGACGGGTGTTTGATCTTTCACGCTCTGAAGGACAGCCGTGATACTCAGGGACTATCCCAATGTTTTTCGATATGTATTCCATTCTTCAGATGTCCCTTTGGAAGTCCAATTCTTTAATCCAATTGACGCGCATATTGGGGCATCCCCAGTGACAAGCGCTTGCACATGCATCTTGCCTTCCTTGTACTCCATTTGTGTATGTGTGTTGATGGGTCTCAAATTCTTCTCGTTTGTATACTTAATCAAAACGGTCATCTCAAATATCATGTTCATCGGTGTGCGATGTAGGCAAGGTCGAATAGTTCGCAAACTCTTTTGGTATCTGCCAATGTAGACGTAAATGAAGCACTGCGAAAATCTCATGGTTGCCACTACCGAACGACTATATACAAGATTTCCTTGCTGCCGTCTAGGTCAAGCTAACGAGGTGCTTCCACGAAGGTAGCATTGGTAACAAACATAAATAGTTGATTTCCGTAGCAATATAAGTACGATATAATCTAGGCATTGATCTCACATTGTTGAGGCAGCCTTACTGCCTAACATGGATAGGAACTTTGCTCCCCATCTAATTGATCTTCTTTCCTCTCTCATCCCAGTGAACAACTCAATTCGACACATAACTTCCTGCTCACCTTGCCTAGTGTTCTGGTCTTTGTACACATGATTACTACACTGTGCCCGGGACGTCGTTGGCTTGCTGAAACCCCCCTTGTTTCACGAAAGCCACGAGTGTGGCCTTCGGGATGGGCCCTGGCAACATAACCAGCTCGACGACGACCTGCGCACCATCATCTCCCAAACACTCCTGAATGTGATGCTCGATATCACCCAATTCCACGCGCTGCCCGCGGATTTTGACCTGGTTGTCCTTGCGCCCCACGAATGTCAGGGCGCCATTATTTGCATAACGAACGAGATCACCGGTCGTATAGAGCCGACCATGTCGGCCAGGTTGGCCAGGTGCTCCGCAAAGGAGCCACTCCGGGTTTTGAATGAAGGTGGCAGCGGTTTTCTCAGGGTCGTTAAGATAGCCGCGACTTAGCGATGGCCCTTCCAGCAGAAGCTCGCCAACAGCTCCGAGCGGGCTGAGCAGGTTGTGGTCATTTGGATTCACTACCCAAGTCACTAACCCCGCGGCAGTGCCAATACTAGGCCGCTGATCGAAGGAAGTCGAGCTATCGTAGATCGTGCTGGCAGCGGGCGATTCACTGACTCCATATCGACAGATCACATGCGCCCGGCCTTTCCATCGAGAGATATCGTCAGCTCGTACTGGTTCCCCAACCAACATGATTGAACGCACTTCGGGTACGGTATTCGGCACCAAAAGACGTGCGACAGATGGAGTAAGAGCGGTCGAATTGGCTCTCAATGACCTGATGCTCCCTGCAATATTATCTAGCCGATCCTGCTCACTCGGAGTGCAGATACAACCGCCAGTTATGAGGATTGCAAGTGCATTGCTGATTGAGACATCATAGCTGTAGGAGGCAAAATCATAAAACCTCGAATCGGCAGTGATCCCCAGTCGGTCGACCTGATGATAAATGGCTGATGCAACATTTCGATGCTCGATTACAACACCCTTTGGAACACCTGTACTGCCTGAGGTGAAGACCACATAGAGGACAGACGATGGACGTGCCCTCAAGGGGGTTGTAAGGGTGATAGGTTCCACATTTGGACAGTCGAGCGACACACTGACGACAGTGTCTACCAGTCGGGCCCCCAGAGCTTCGTGCTTAAGGGAGGAGAGAAGAACCGTGGCATTGACTTGCTTCACAACATCAACCAGACGACGCTCAGGTTGCGCTGGGTCGAGCGCTACGAAACCGGCGCCGGCTTTGATCACGGCCAGCATTGCCACCGTCATCCACCGCGATTTCTCAAAGCACAGTGGTATAATCGCTTCAGGCCCAATTCCTAGGCTGACCAGTCTGTTTGCTATCTGACCTGCTAGTTGATCTAGCTCAAGATAGGTTAAGTCACCATCCCAAGCGCACACCGCGGGCGCCATGGGTTTGGTGCGTGTACGCTCGCCAATCATCTCATCTATGCATCGCTCCATTGACGTGGGGACTGCGCGGTTCCATCCCCAGATAGACACGAGGTTTTCCTGTCCCAAATGCGTCACTGTTTTTTGTACTGAGACATGGTTTTCGTCATTTGTGGTGGGCTTTGTAGCAACGACAGGTGGTTGGACAACGGCAACAGCCATGATTCGGGGTCTCGGATAACTTTATTTAACGAGCACCTTTTGAGCATAAGGTGATGGGGCCTGTTTATAGTTGGGCCTATGCAGGATCATTGAGTTATTTGAGCCAAGTCAATAGGACCGGGTCAAACATCGGGTTTTCTACTCTGTTATGGGGTTATGATACGGCGTATGCCTCCGTAATATAAAGTACAGGATGATCGACATCAGAAACCCACAAGGTCGATTCTGAAATCTCGGAAACCTTGCAAGGTTGTAATTTAGGATTTAGTGCCATCAAGCTACCAACCCTAGACGGAAGGTCGACTGTCGATCTTCTATATATTGGGAACAGGTTCGGCGATTTAGACCGCTTATAGGTCACATTCCTCGGGTGTCTTATCGGGTGAAGAAAACAATACTCATATAAGCGAGACGGTTAAATGTACTAGGTTCATAGGCTAGTACTACATCCAGGCAGCCACACAGTGTATGCAACCCAGCCCCGAACGTGACGGACTTGACCTCAATTATTCCCCGATTGATCCGCAATCTTCATGCAGACATAGGAGGCGATATGATTGGTTTAAACTATGACACGACAGCTTTGTCTTATCTTTTCTGCTTGAAGCAGAGTTGTACGGAGTACGAAGAGAAAATACTCAAAGTTGACCAAAGGTGGTCGGTTTTGAAGATGACTTGTATTTTGAACTTTAACCACGATGATGACAAAAAGACAGCGATCACCCGAACAAGCTGTGACAGATCTACAAGCCAATTTGGGGGAAATTAAACACATCCAAGATGACTGATGCCAAAGTCAAATGGGGATTGGTCTGTATGAGATCAAAGGCAGCTTGAAATTGATCAAAGAATCGCTGCCATTGGATATCAAGATCCACCGTTTTTTCGCTCACATGGAGAGCAACGCGTACGGTGGTAGAAGACAGGGTTCCGATCACCTTCAGGTTCCAAGCTGCCTGCGCGCCATAGTCCGGCATGTGCCAATCTCGGAATATACTATCGTCGCTGATAGCTTTCTCACCTTGCAGAGCCAGCAGGGTCTGGAATTGACATGATAGCGCCGCTTCGGGAGTCAACGCTGCAATATCCTCGACACTGATTCCTTCAAACTCTATTGTAGTCAGCGCTTGCTCCTGCACCATGTCCATATTCATTTGCAGTGATTCCTCCGGCATTAGCTGAATCCGCTCAGGGAGAATTTGCGCGGTGGGGGCGGGCAGGGTTGCGACATCTGGAACAGGGACTGTCCGTCGGCTAGAGACGGTGCCCAGGAAAATATCATTGGTTCGGTGATACCATGACATAGTGATTGTCAAAGCCAGGCGAATCTTGTTGGCGACCGTATAGTCATCATGAATTATGGGCATTTCGCAGTGGAGAATGCGTGTTTCCATGGGCACAAGATTGGCGTCCCGCAACGGAGGGAATGGCTGCCCATGAAGGCCGGCAAATTTGTCAACCCAGAACTGTCGCGTCGATTCCCTAATCTCATATGCCCATTTGACAAAAGGCACGTACGTATGAGATGAAAGCACCTGGCCCTGGTACGCTCGCTCGATATCATTGAAAATTAGCGGCCAAGAAAAGCCGTCGTACAAGGCATGGTGAATAAGCATGACAAGCAAATCCTGTTGAATAGCAACTCGGACTAATGGTTTGCCGAGTTGCCAAATATCCAGCCCCGGCGCATAGTCAACATTAAGCTTGCTCTCGTCACCCAGATTCAAGAGTGGGATGCTCTCTCGTAGCACGGCCTGGAGATATCTGCCTCGAAGATCCCTGGCAATTCGCGTGCGAAGAAGTGGATTGGAGTCCACTGTTGTGTCCCATGCCCTTATGAGACGAACTTTATCGAGATCAGATGGCAGTTTGACCTCTAGGCGCATAGTAACATTCGCCCCTCGCTGGACGACCATATCGATGACACTGAATTGCAGCCCAACGCAAGGATATGCATCCTCGATCAATGAGCGGTCTATTTGACACTGCTCAGCAATGTCGTCGAGAAGCTTCGGTGCGTCGAGTCCTAACAGCTTGAAAGGCTTGATCTGCTCCGTGTGTCTCGGTTCCTTATGTGTTTCATTCCGTTCCTCTGCCAGTCGGGCTAGAGCGTGGATTGTTTTCTGTCGAAGAATATCTGGGACGACAAAGGAGTAGCCCTCGTGCCGGGCCTGAGAAACAAGTTTCATCGCCAAGATGGAATCCCCACCTAGACGAGTCCAGTTGTCATGAATCCTGATTTTATCCAACGGGAGGCTGAGCACATCAGACCATATACGTTGCAGAGTCTTCTCGGTTGAGGTCGCGGGCAGTGTCTGGGTCTCATTCGTGGCAACCCCTAAGTAGCCGTCAATTTGCTCCACAGATAACTGGGCCGCCTGCTCGCGTAGGTATTTTCGATTGGCCTTGCCCGTCGTGGTCAAGGGTATCTCGCTCATGGGGATGCACAGCTCGGGAATCATATGGCTAGGGAGTCGATCTTTCAACGTCTCCTGCAATCTGGCAAACTTCATCCGGAAGGCCTCACATGATGTCAGGAATACCTGCCCCTCTGACAATTGGGATAGATGATCTCTCGGCTGATGCATTTTCGGCGTCTTGTGGTTGCTTCCAATATCCTCGGCAAAGCTCCGGGGGCTTTTTTCTGGGAAAATTGGGCGTTGGTCCTGTAAATGATTCATACAGAGCTAGGAAAGTAGCCGGTCGGTTGGTAATGATATCCGTGGACGTATAGCCGATGTGCAATAGAGTTAATGTGAAGAAAAGAATTCGATAAAGCCGGGCGCGTGGGGGAGAGCTTGGAGTGTTCTCCCTGGGTAGATGCCTCCAAGAGATAGGTTCCAAAATTGTGACTAACAAACATACAGTCGACAGATGCCCACGGACGATTTGCTCAGCTACGCCATGACGAAAGTATGATCATCTACGGAGTACTCCGGACAGTGGTGATTGATTTCAAATTTCGACACTATTGAAGCCTTTCCCCTGACAGTCTGCAAGCGACAAAAGTAAATGTGCAGCAAGTGTCAGCTGAAGTGGAGATCGGCAGTGCATGGTATGTATCTTGGTACTTCCAAGGTTCGTACTGAAACTCTAAACCTTGTCCCAATCAAACATGTGGACCCGCCGATTAGAATCATGCATGTTCCGATCAGAGTAGCTCGGTCCCATGGTTTCTTCCGATTTGGTGGGTCAATAAACAGTGGATACAGAGTGGGTTCATTCAGCTAGGTGAAATGGTACGTATCTTGTCCGTATTGTGCTCTGTCCTGCTAGGTAATCTCATTCTGATCTTATATCACGAGCACATCTCTATTTTGTGCTGGCAGCATAGCACATAGTTTGTTAAAGTCACAATGACCTTCAAAGGTAAGGATGTTGGCGAAACACGGCCGTCGGAAACTCGGGCCCTCCTAAGCCCACCAAACCCCTGGGATGGGGAGCAAGACCCCAGAAATCCTAACAATTGGTCGAAAGCCCGTAAAGCGGCGATATTGGGATTGGTATCCTTTGCTGGCTTGAACGAGTTAAGATCCCACACTCCAGGCGCGCGAGAGCGTTTCTCGGCGCATATATATGTTTGAGCTAACATGGTCGGGAAACAGCTCACTAGGAGCCACGATGATCACACCAGCTGTACCTCGAATCGTCGGCGATTTCCAATCTTCCAGCCCATCCGTAGCGGCCCTTCTAATATCCGTGCATGTCATCGGGTTCGCTCTCGGCCCTCTGATTGTATCGCCTGCGTGTGAACTATACGGGAGAAATCCGCTCATGCACATCTCGAACTTCATGTTTCTCTTCGCCACGCTCATGTGCGCGCTGAGTACGAACATGATCATGCTCATCATCGCGCGTTTTATGACGGGCATGGCGGGGTGTATACCGACTGTGCTAGAGGGCGGCTATATCGCGGATCTGATTCCGGTAGGAAAGCGTGGAAGGATTATGGCTATTTGGGCTCTTGGGCCATTACTGGTATGATTACAGTTCCTAGGTATTCGAGAATGAAGGCATCATTTTACTAACCAGCTCTTCTTAGGGGTCTGTCATCGGTAAGATTAATGATAATCTCCTTGTCCTCAGCGGGCGCTTTGCAGAACTGTGATCTAATTTATTATAGGCCCAATTATCGGCGGATATCTGACACTCAATGCTGGATGGCGATGGGCATTCTGGTCTATGGTCATTGTGGTGAGAAATCGCATGATAAACAGGTTTACTACGAGGCTAATTCCAACTTATCAGTCTGGGGCACAAGCCGCTGCAGGAATCTTCTGTCTTAAGGAGACATTCGTGCCGGTAATCTTACAGCGGAAGAATGCTACTCGAGCACAACCATCACTGTCCAAGGAATTGAGTCCGTTCTGGACAGCCTTCGTCTGTCCCGCCAAGCTTGCGACTAGATCTCCAATCGTCATCATTTCAGCACTGCACATAACCATTGCATACGTGTATTTCTACTTCATTGTGACAACCTTCCCTACCTTATTTGGGGACCATTATGGGTTCAACTCTGGCCAAATCGGTCTTGTCTATATCAGTCCAGCACTAGGATACCTAGTAGGAATGATCACATTTGGTTCCCTTTCCGATTGGTACCTCGAGCGAAGGCAATGCACCAGGGGAATGAGTGATCCCGAAGACCGTTTGTTCTCCCTTTTCCCTGGGAATATCCTGATCGCGGTCGGAATGATGTGGTATGGGTGGTCTATCCAGATTGACATTCACTGGATTATGCCTCTTGCTGGAGTCTCTTTCGTTACCATTGGAATTTCTGGTGTCTTTTTGGCAATTCAGCCTTACTTGACTGATTCTTTCGGTGTTCACGTTGCACATGCCATCGCGGTCAGCACCGTCGTGCGCTCTATCTTTGGGGGTCTGTTGCCACTAACTGGTCCCTCACTATACAGTCACCTGGGATATGGATTGGGGAACACCCTTCTTGGGCTTTTGGCGTTAATCATTTCTCCCACGGCGCTTTTGTTCTTCAAGTATGGTGGAAAGCTTCGCACCGATCCCAACTTTCACGTTCTATAATAATTAGTAATTACACTGGCCCCTTCTGGCTCCATGAAATAATATCACGCATGATTCCGTATTTAGTTCCCTTGGTGTGGCGGAAAAATCAGAATTCGCGCAAATATAGAGAGACCAGACGTAGAAATGGTTGCTCAACATACATAATCGTCAAGTGAAACCTCTGGGAATATACTTCGGGCTTGTAAATCACCTACTTTATTTCATTCTCTATGCTTGCATGATGGTAAATTTTATCGAGCTATGCTGGATATTGAGGATTTGATTGTATTCTCAAGTATTAACACGGAATTCGGTTGATTTCAACGCTAACCCTACCTTGGCATTTCGGCTCGCCAAGAAACTCCCAGCAGCAATATTAGCGCTGCCGATCTAACCCTAGAGTTTGACACCGCTTAGCACTTTCCTTGTATGCAAATCACATCAATTTCTTTTCTATATTAGCCGACGGGATATGTCATAATGGTGTTGTCTTATGTTGTATTTTTATCACAATCGAACAATTGGGCGGATATCAATATATAGATAGGGGTGGAAATTTCAGCTGTGAAGAGATTAGAACGCTTTGCAGTTCACTTTTGGTACTACTGCCATAGCCTCGATATCTTTGCAGAAAATTCATCCTAATATACACGCAGTATAGCTTCATCTACTATATGTTAACACCGGGGTTCGAATGTGAACGCGTCCTGGGCTCTGTTTATTTTCAGCATGCACTATGAGAACAAATGGACCACTGAATATATATTTCTTCGTTGCACTCTCTTTATCTTTTTTTTGCGCAGATCTCCTTTTGTGCACCAGGTTGCATACTTCAAAATAAAAAATACCTCAAAATAAAGACGACTATCAAAAGAATATGACAACCTCTCGAAAGATAGGGTATCCAACAACCAAAGGTGGATTAGAATTTCTCGATAATTCGACCTCGTATACTCCGTCCGGACTATGTACCGCCGAATAAATCCGATTGGCGCACGGCGCCTTCTAAATCCAATATTTCTCTTCACGTTGTCTTCGCAGTGACATTGTCTCGTCCTGTGCCGTGTTCATGTGGAGCTGGAATTAGATTCATTGGTGTGATTGAGAACACCGAGTGGAACGCGCCGATCCCTAAACAAGATGTCTATACGCATATGCATGTTCAAGCAGGCGTAGCTGGGTTGAATATTAGGATGAATATGCAGGAGAAAAGCATATCTCCGCTCAGGTGACAGATACGAGTCCTTGAGGCTTAAAGTTTGTTTTCACAGCTGTATCCCAAGGAGGCTAGTTTCAATGATATACCACATGTACCATGTACCCACGCTCTAGTATAGATGTATCAGTAATTGTATGCTTAGTTGCCCATGTATACGGAGTACCCAATTGGCAACGTATTTGCTCCTTCATCCTCTGTGGCAATACTAGTTTCGGAGTATTGTTCATGTGCGATTATAGTTGCTATGTTGAAGTTTCCGCTCAGCGATTTGACAATTGGCTGTAAGAGGAAACAGCACCAATACCAGTGTTTATATTTCAACTATCGCGACTAAACTGGAAAGCAGAGAACTGGAAAGATCGTCTCAGCATCATTGACTCTCTGAAAATCCTATTAATCTACGCTTTGGCCGCAAACGACGACCCCCTTTTCTTGACCTTCATGTAATAAGAATGCGTTGGGCCACGGGTTGAGCTGACAGCTCCAGAAATCATTTCCGCGGCTTCATCAGCGTCCGAGATCTGCACGGCCAACAATCAGTATTAAAAACGGGAGCAAATTGAATAAGATCTTGCAACCTACCTCCAACTTCATGAGGATCATGGAAAGGACCTTCATCGTCTTTGCCCGAGCAAAATGCTGACCTATGCAAGTGTGCTTTCCACTTCCAAACCAAATCCCACATCGCTCCATGAGCTTTCGTTGTTCTTCACTTGCTTCTAGCCATCGCTCAGGCCGGAAGTTTTTGGCATCTTCGCCATAAACATCCTTGTTAAGGTGGATTACTCTCGAATGACATCCGACGGTGGTTCCTGCTGGAATATGGTGACCACATATCTTCATGCCCCCCTTTGGGACGACCCGATCCATGTTCAGCTGAAGTAGGAGTGCATATCGTAGGCCCTCCTTGATGACAGCCTCAAGGTATGGAAGCTTCGATAGGTCCTTCAGGGTTGGTGGATAAGACAGTGTGTTTGCTAGCATAGCATTATCGAGTTCTTCCTGGAGCCGGCGCAGGGTGGCTGGATGTTTGAGCAAGTAGTACACCGTCCATGCCAAATTGAACGCCGTAGTGTCCGCTCCTGCAAGAAGCGTCGTGAAAGTCATTCCGATAACCCTCTCGTGGGAAATGAGATTTGGATGCTCCTGGCGTGCTTTGATGTAAACATCCAGAAGATCCTCCTCTTTTATCGTAGCTTTATTCTGCTTCTCCTTGCTTTCCATTCGAGAATTGACACGCTCCAAACACATGCTGACCAATTTCCCACTAGGTCCGACAAAGAAACTTGCTGCCCATGCAAACCACATGAAAACCGTGGGAAATGCAAATACATACATCCAAATTGAGGTCACAGCACGAACCGTGTTCAAAGTCCCACCGACATCCGTGGCGTGTTTCATGAATCCAAGGTCGGAGGAAAAGGCAATATTGTTCATACTATCAATGGCCCAGTATGAGAGCCATTCATTCATATCAACAACATCCCGATTTTCGAGTGTTTGGACCAATTCCCCCGCGCTGTGGTCGATATGGGATTCGTAGTTCAGAACTGACCTCCAAGAAAACGCTGGCGCAATCACTCTCTTGACATTGGCATGTTCAACTTCATCAACCATCCCCTCAAGCCCAGCAACGTTCTTTCCTTTGAACCAACCAATAATACCCTTGTACATATTTCCCTTAGAAACGATATGTTAATTTCCTTTGCTATTATCATCACACTTTTGAACACAGAAGGAAAGATTTACCTTATGCAACAAAGGCTTGATTTGGTAAACCCTTGGGACTTCATTAGGGTCCCCAACACTAATATGACGAGGCCCCGTACGGATCATTGGACCATGGCGCTGATGCCACCAGTAGAGAGTCTCGCCATAGTCACCTTTTAGCAAATGGTATACTTTCCAATAGTCGGTAAACTTGGCAAGAAAGGGTCCTGGAACGGCGGCGAGCCTTCGTTCAATTAGAATAACCTGGAAAACCAGGAATATCCCCAAACACGCCACGGCAACCGGAAGTGTAATCATGGTGATTGTATATTGAAGATATTGCGTGGGAAGTTGAGGTTTGAAACTTTAGTACGTATATATAATGACACTAGCTGCCAAGAACGTCGTATGGCCAACTCGTAACGCGCTGGTATCTCTTCTGTATAGATAGTAATGAGAGATATCAGATCCAACACAATAGGTAAAGTATCCGGAGATCGACATTAATGATCGACGCAGTAAGTATAGCCGTCCTGTCAACACGAGCTGAATGATTATCGTGATGACCGATTTTGAGTATACTACCAGTACAGGCATGTTTTACTTTCATCCTTTAGGAAAGTAGGAGCCGCGAGTCTAAGTGGGTCTTGCAAATAGCGTGTAGAGGTTCAGCTGAAGGTTCAGCTAGATAGGTTTATTTTGCTTTTTGGAAGTTAATCTGGCAGGTCCGAAACTTAATCGTCCATGCAGTGGTGCGCTAGGAACTCGGGAATATTTGCCATGCATATTGAAATACCATGAATACACTTGATAAGCCATCTAGATTTTATAAGATATACGGAGCTCCAAGGTGACGTAGGGAAAAGATATATAGGCTCGGGCATGATCGTAACCCTCGGGAAGCACACAATCCATTTAGATTACTTCCTTCACTTCTTGAATTATCATTCAATCTTTAAGCCACCCTGTCCCACTCTTTTCTGTCGATATCCCCTCATCCATCACAATTGACCCGACATAATGTCATCTTTATCTGCGGGTCGATTGCTTTTTGAGCAGATTTACGACGTAATCGGTCTTCTCATATCCAAGACGAACGTTGCTCAATGGATCGGGCCTTCCCACCCATCCCGGCAGACTGTGACAGAGAAGAGCCAAGAACCAAACCATGGAGTGACGAAGAACCAGTACGAGGCTTTAATGAATGAATTCTTGCAATCTGCCGGTGTGAAATCAAAACATGAGCAAAAGCCTAGCGACTGTCTTGAGACCGCCATATTTGCGAGGATCGAGCCCGTGACACCAGATAAGCGTTTAGCTAAAGCCGCCACAAAGGTCGGGGCGTTGGTTGCTCTTTACTTTTATCCAGCACATGGAGAGAAGGAGCTGTTTCTGATTGGACTTTATACGGCCTGTTTCTTGGTCGTTGAGGACTCCGGTCATTTGATGATTGATGATCTCGCACGGTTCCGACAGCGCATGATGACTGGCGAGAAACAGCCTGAACTTTTCGAATTGATGAAATGGCTCTTTGTTGAGTTCGATCAATGCTTTCCCACACTCTGTGCCAACAAGCTGTTTACTGGCATCCTCAACGCGTGGTCAATCTTCGAAGTCGAATATGACCAGTCTCCAGGTACCGCATTGATTGTTGCGAGTGCATCGCCCTTGTTTCCCAAATACTTCCGCAATATGACGGGCAGCTCGGAGGCCTACGTGTACTTTCTCTTGACCAAGCAAGAGTTTAGTATGTCACGAACGAAGAAATTGTTGCATGCTGTTCCCGAGCTGCTCAATGTCACTGACGAGCTGAATGATCTGTTCTCTTTTTACAAAGAGTCAGTGGTTGATATTGAAAGAGCGGGTGACATCGAGCGAGATAACTTTGTATATCAAGAAGCCTGTGTGAAAGGGATTCCAGTGATTGATGTTTTGCAATCTCTAGCGCGTCAGATCCACCAACGACAAGCGGCGGTTGACCATATCTTGAAGGATGATGCGCAGTTAAAACGTCTGGCGCGAGAGTACATGGTTGGGCAGATGAAGTTCTACCTAATATCGGAACGCTATCGACTGTCAGAGTTGGAGTTGGTCTAGATACACGTTTGCATCTGGCGTTTGACACAATTCGTATTTGTTTCTCTGTTTGCACGAACTCGATTAGCACATCTTAGCCCTTGAAGTCATTTTTGTCATTGAGACAGTGTATGATCAACCAACGACTGCCCCGAGAACTAAACTTTGTAATCACGACCACGACTACTCAGTGATCATGATCCAAAATGGTGGGAACCATAGAGATGATTTCTTCGATACGATGCTGCAAGTTGACGCAATGGTTCAAGATTACAGCCTACCTGATTTATTAAACTGCACGTACACGCAGTCTTAGACAGACTCTGTGGGCTCATCTGGGCGATTTGGGCTAGCATGCCTCAGTGAGTATAACTGTACAAGTCCGTCCAGTTTAGTGACTTGGAAGTGGCCTGGATTACTACACGTTTCAAACTTGGTATGTGATATAATCGGTAATAATCACCACTTGTGCAGCAATAAGGTCGGAAAGCCTTCGTTGCGTGATGATCAATGATCGACGGGAATGATACAGAACCTGTAGAGAATGCTACTCAATGGTGAATCTCTGTGATGAAAGGGACGGTGCAATTTACTATAAAATGGAGAGGGCTTGTAGAAAGGAAATGAGAAGAAACGAGGGATTTATCTGACTCCAGGGTCCTGATTCGATGAGGGACCCAAGGTGGATAAAAGTTCATCGACTATGCACTAGCTTCATCATTATTCTTCTCATCAAAGCAAATACACAAGGCTGCGATCAGTGCTGCATCCACACCAGGTGCTACAACAACAGCGTAGGTCTGCTGACCAAAGATAAGATCGCGGCCGCTCAGCAGTTTCCGGTCAATGCGAGCCACGGTTTGGCCGCTCTTGTCGTCGACAATATCGGCAGTATGATCGAACCAGCCTCCTTTCATTTTGAGAGCCACTGCCTTGCCGTACCGATCAGTGAAGCTAGCTGTAGCTTTAGAGCCGACCACTAGTGGGGTTAGTAATGTTGATAATATACGGATTCGCCGAATAGTCTTGAATCATTGAAGGACGGTACTTACATTTGAGACTACTCTTCACCTCACAAATCTTCTTGTGATGGGTGTCTTCGATTGCATACGTCGAATGGATGTGTAGCAGCTCCTTGACAATATCAAACAGGTGGTTGCCTTGGGCGTCCTCAACCTTCTTGCGACCAGAGATCGACACCCAGGCTCCTTTCACTTTCAGAAATGGCGCACCATTGGCCAATTTGATTTCAAAGCTATCACCAGAGACGGAGAGTACCTTTTCTTTCAAGATTATTGTCTGCGGCTCCGTCGAGACAAATTGTTCGAATATGGCGATAGGCTCGACGACAGGGGCGAGATTTTGGTGACCCAGGATACCCATAATGATGGCGACAGGTGAATTCACTTGAAGCGTTTTGAAGGAAGAAGATCAAACAATGAGCAGATAAAAATCAAACGAAGGATCGCGGGGTCAGGCTGAAGCCGATCATCGGTTTGTCGATCATCACGTGATATAACAAACGCTTTAAACGACATAGCTATCAAGTCAGATATTAAGCAGTAGGGTGTTAGACTGTTCGTGAGTATTATACGACTCTCAAAAATATACCCATATTTATGGGGGACACACTAGGGAGTTAGTGCCAAGTCAGACACTATTGGCACAGTACTCTAATCCTTTTCTTGGATAGTGGCTCTTGGCACTTTCCAATCCGGGAATGAGGATTTCGGTGGAAGGGCCGTCCGTCTTCCCTTTGAGTGTGTTTACCTGAGATAAAAAGAATAATTTCACCGATAGGCGCATATGTGATCAACTTGAAAACACCCCGATAGGGTGCTCGGATAGGGCTATAGAAGAGATGCGGGGACCCTCGCCAGACCCCACCAAGCCGGGGAGTCTCCGCCGCGCATCGCTGGGTGTGTAGGGATATCGGGACTCGGGGGAATAGCGTCCAGAGGTTCCATCGAAACATGAGTCCGACGTAAACAGATCGAAGCGGTGGATCGTGGAGGTACTTATATGGAGCCGCCGCACGGTGTGCTTCTGTTCGCTCTGCGTAGAGGTTACAGGCATAGATATCTTTTTTTGAAATTCTTGCTTTCCCTGAGTGGTCATTATGGCAGACACATTTGATGTAGAGCATGTTCTATCGAACATTAGCGAGCAGGACAAGATCGCTCTTTTATCCGGTAAGAGAAAGACCGTGATCTTTTGGGATGTCATCCGCTAACAAAAGCAGGAATTGATTTCTGGCACACACATCCTATCCCCGAATTCAACGTCCCCTCGATTCGCGCAACCGACGGCCCCAATGGTATCCGGGGCACGAAATTCTTTGCCGGCATCCCCGCCGCATGCTTGCCCTGCGGCACAGCTCTGGGCGCTACCTGGGACCGAGATCTGATATATCAAGCGGGGAAGCTGTTGGGTGATGAGTGCATTGCAAAAGGAGCGCATTGCTGGCTGGGTCCGACAATCAACATGCAGCGCGCTCCCCTCGGTGGCCGCGGGTTCGAATCGTTTGCGGAAGATCCGCATCTCTCGGGTATTCTGGCCAAATCAATCATCCTCGGATGCGAAAGCAAAGGGATCGTTTCCACGGTGAAGCATTTTGTGGGCAATGACCAGGAACATGAACGCCGGGCGGTAGATGTCCTCGTCACCGAGCGAGCCTTGCGCGAGATTTACCTCCGACCCTTCCAGATTGTGGCGAGAGATGCGAACCCCGGCGCGATCATGACCTCGTATAATAAGATCAATGGTAAGCATGTGGTAGAAGATGCGCGCATGCTTAATATGATCCGCGAGGAATGGAAGTGGAATCCGCTGGTTATGAGCGACTGGTATGGGACCTACACAACCATCGACTCCATGAATGCGGGCCTTGACCTGGAAATGCCGGGTGTGTCCAGATATCGCGGAAAGTTTATCGAGTCCGCCCTGCAGGCTCGCCTGATCAAGCAATCGACTGTCGATGCACGAGCGCGAAAGGTGTTGGAATTCGTGAAGCAAGCGAGTCAGGTCCAAGTGTCAGAAGTGGAGCGAGGACGGGATTTTCCAGAGGATAGAGCGTTGAATCGCGAGATCTGTGCGAACAGCATCGTCCTCCTTAAGAACGAAGGCATCTTGCCTCTTCCAAGGGAGGTCAAAAAGATCGCCCTCATCGGATCTCACATGAAAACTCCCGCAATATCGGGTGGTGGTAGTGCGTCGTTGGAGCCATATTACTCTGTGTCGTTATACGACGCCTGCATGGAAGCGCTTCCCAACACGGAAGTGCTCTATGAAGCGGGCGCATACGCCCATAAGATGCTCCCCGTGATAGACCGCCTCCTGAGCAACGCCATCATTCACTTCTACAACGAGCCGATGGGAAAGGAACGATATTTAATCAGCACTGAGCCTGTATCAACGACTGCCTTCCAGTTCATGGACTACTCCACTCCCGGCCTCAACCGAGGACTCTTCTGGGCCACACTAATTGGAGACTTCACGCCCGATACCTCCGGGCTTTGGGACTTTGGCCTGAGTGTCTTTGGTACCGCGAATCTTTACATTGACGACGAGCTCGTGATCGATAACACCACGAGCCAGACGCGCGGGACGGCATTCTTTGGCAAAGGCTCTGTGGAGGAGCGGGGATCGATGGAATTATTCGCTGGCACTACATACAAAATTCGGATTGAGTTCGGGTCTGCGAACACTACCACAATGAAAACAGTGGGAATGGTGAATTTCGGTGGCGGCGCCGCAAATCTGGGGGCCTGTCTACGGATGAACCAGGATGAAATGATTGTGAATGCAGTGAAAGCTGCCGCAGAGGCCGACTACACTATTCTTTGCACCGGGCTCAACAAGGACTGGGAATCTGAAGGGTTCGATCGCACACATATGGATCTGCCACCAGGAGTTGACCAGTTGATCTCGAAGGTGTTGAAGGTCGCCGCAGACAAGACCGTCATCGTCAATCAGTCTGGTACACCAGTTACCATGCCGTGGGCCGACCAGGCCCAGTGTATCGTCCAGGCTTGGTACGGAGGTAACGAGACGGGTCATGGAATTGCCGATGTCCTCTTCGGTGAGGTAAATCCATGCGCAAAGCTGCCCTTGTCCTGGCCGGTGGATGTGAAACACAACCCGGCCTACCTGAACTACGCCAGTGTGGGTGGCCGGGTGCTATACGGCGAGGACATCTATGCGGGTTATCGATTTTATGAGAAGACCGAACGAGAAGTCCTGTTTCCATTTGGGTGAGTTGGTTCCTTGGTCTCCTAGTCTCATCTAACCATATTGTAGTCATGGCCTGTCATACACGACCTTTAAGGTCTCACCGAGTGTTACCGTCGCCCCGGAGATCTTCAACATGGACCGTCCTACGGTCGCCACCGTACAAATCAAAAACACGGGCAAACTAGCGGGCGCCCAGATCCTCCAACTGTACATCTCTGCCCCAGCATCCCCAACCCCGCGCTCAAACAAGGAACTGCAGGGGTTCGAAAAAGTATTCCTACAACCTGGAGAAGAAAAAACGGTTAACATCCAGCTGGACCGATATGCGACCAGCTTCTGGGACGAGATCGAGGACATGTGGAAGAGCGAGCAAGGGACGTATGAAGTGTTGATTGGAACCTCCAGCCAGGAGGTGGTGGCCCAGGGGAAATTCCAAGTGGATCGCACCACGTATTGGCGGGGACTCTGAGGATTCATCCCGCGTTGTTTGAGGAAATTTCCCGGCTAAATGAGGCCGTCTTCGCTTGATTGGATGATTCAGCCATTCGCCTAGCGCATTACCAATCACCGACTTCGTTGTTTTTCTCTTGGCCTTTGACCAACATATCTTTCTCCGAGTGTCCGACTGCAGGAAGCCCCAGGAAGAATGGACCGTTCGTCGACTGCGCGACCTCGCAAGAATACCCGGGTGCTCACCGCGTGCGATGCCTGTCGTCTCAGCAAGACTCGATGCGATTCGGCACGGCCCGTGTGTGCCAAATGTATTCAGCGGGGTGTAGCTTGCGAGT